TAGTTCAGAAGATACATTTTAGCTACTAAGTTTCCTGCCCATAAAATAGTAATAATACCTTATCAGCTAAACGGCCTCCTGAGAATGACGTTAATTCAAATTTATAAAGCCACTGGAAGTGGGGATGGTAAACACTACAGAAAAGGAGAAGAAGAAAGGAGAAGATCAGGAGCCCTGTTTGCAGACTGGAGCTCACATATGTGTGATAGACAGCTGATGGATTTGTATACAGCATATGAAAAAAAAAAAAACCAAACCAAAGAAGGGGATAAAAAGTAAAAAAGTAAAAGGCCACTTTTTTTTTCTCTCTATGACCGATGTTCTTCCTACATCGGTCATGATGTAGGAACAAAGAAGGGACATCGAGAGGAAAACAATCTGTCATTACGTAACGAAGGACAACCGTGGCACCTACGCACAAGGAGTCCAGGAGGGGAAAAGTCAGGCTGGCATTTCTCGACTCAAAGCGCAGGGCTGCGACACCTTCTGTGGGATTGTGCTTTCATTTACTGAAGTGCTCCCTGAATGTGTGAGTTCAACATTTGCCAGGTTCGGATCAGGTAAAAACTCTCAGGAAGACCGTGCCACGGGCTAGATTACTTCCAGATGTTTTTTTAATTGTGTTCTTAACGCCTTACGGGGATGTTACTATCCTGACAACAAAATTAACTCATTTTCTCCCCTTGCTCCCAGCGAAGAAGCTCTCACACATTTACTTACCTCAGCTTTACAGCTTCTTGCCTTTATTAACATTTCTTTTTTCTTTCCAAATTGCTTTTCTTCCGCAAGCTGTGCGGAGCTGCTTTGCCCCGGTGCATCTCGGAGGGGGCCGGTGCTGGGGGAACAGACATCCCGGTCCGTGTGCCCGGAGCCCCTTGGGGGCGCCGCCGGGGGCCGCTGTTGGCCGCGGAGAGCGCGGAGCGGGCGGGGAGCGGGGCGGGAGCGGAGCCGCCTCCGGCCGCCGCAGCACCGCCTCCCTCCCCCCCACTTTTATTTTTTTTTCTTTCCTTTTTTTTTTTTTTTTTTCCCCCCACATGGTGTTAGAAAACCTCTTTCATCATCACCCGGAGGTGAAAAATTTGATCCTCTCCCTCTACCCCTCGCCCTCCTTGGGAGAAAAGTTCTTCCTTGTTCCTTTGTGTTTCAGGGGCTCCAGTGGAGGAGGGCTGGCTGCCCGTGCTTCAGGGGACAGCGGATGCAGCGCAGGGAGGTTTTCAGCTGCCATCGGAGCTTTGTCGCTGTCACTGTCTGAAACAGGTAAAAGCAGTGACAGCTATGCCTGACTCTAGTACTTGCAGACTCCCAGATAACCTCAGACAAAATCACCAGCACAGCAGGTTCTTCGGTGATATTACATTATTTCTTCTTATTTTGCTTGGGAGCCGCCACTGGTCGCGATCTCGCTCCTCAAGGTGCTGTGCAAACCAACCAAACAAAAAGACCGATCCATGCCTAAAGATCTCTCCAGTGTAAGAGCAGTGACAGTGGGAATGTGGGAAACAATAAGGAGACCCTGAGCCGGGTTTGGTCAGCAGGATGTACAGCAGCAGCAGCGCAGCGGCAGCCTGGCCTCTGCCGAGATGCTGTTAGCACTGCAGAACACACGAGTTCGCAAAAAAGGCTTCAAAAGCAACACACAAAACGTGAAGCTTTCGCTGCGCTCAGCCACAGGATCAAGGACTCTGCAGCTGAAAGGCAAGCAGGGTATGCAAAATGTAATCCGAGCAAGAACAGCTCCGGGAGGGAAGGATAATAAAAAAAATGCCTGGGATGACAGATCAGCATCTAAAACACAAGGTCAGGGAGCCATACAATTATTTAGGCTGGAAGGACCTCTGGAGGACATCCGTTTCAACTCCCAGCAATGGTGGGGGGGAGTGGAAGGCAGGATGTACCTCCCAAGCTCAAAGCAGGCACAGCTGAAGTTGCTCAGGGCATTTGTAATACAAAATACATGTTTTGTTGTAGGGATACATCTAGTGGTGGGAGGCACACAGCCAGTACACAGTGGAAGGAATAAAAACAGTAATAAAAGCAATTTGAAGATAAAGTCTGGCTTGTTCTGGGACTTCTGAAACATCTTTTCAAGCCAATTTACAGAACTCAGAGTATCAGAGGGTTTCTAGAAAGTATAAAATACATTTTAATAATAATAGTCAGGATTAATAGTCATAACAATACTTTTATATATTAACCAAGTAGGGAACCATTTCCAGAAGCATAGGACATATCCATTCTGGAAGTCAAAGGAGTTGAAATCCTAATATATTTGTACATTTTTGCAGATACTGTCTGATCATACAAAAGGAGTGTTCTGTGCACCTTTGCCATCTCTCTGACCTTTCACTTGTTTAGTCTTACTTGATCAGGAGACATTTGTTTAATGTTCACATCTGCAAATGACACGAAGTACAGGGAAGTAGTGAATGGCACCTTTTGCCTCTGACATACTTAACAGGAATACTAATTCATCACAGTAGGATGTAGAGGGTCACCTATACAGGTTGAAAATACTTTGCTAAGCTTATATTCCCATTTAATTTTCTCCCTTCTTGAATATCATTTCTTCACATAGCTCCTGTTGTTCTGAACAGAAGCTTTCAAGTGGTTCTGTTTTGTATCCATCATACCCTAGAACTTTCAGATTTGTTTGTCTGGGTTTTTTTATACACTGACTAAAAAGAAGCCATAAAGCAAGATAAGGGTGAATGACTCATTTCACTAAAAGACAGCACATACATGTGCTATTCCTTATCACCATGTGATGGAATAAAAAACTCCTGAAGCTTACAAAGCAAAAATGCGGAAGCAGAAACTTAGCTAACACCCATTCTCTCTGTCAAACATGAAAAATATCCCAAATCCCCTCTAGAATCCAAAGCAATTACATGTGACTAGAATCCTCAAAACCAAAACTAATGCAAGCTGAAAAAGATTGAATACCCAAAGGACAAAACACAACAGCCCACACTGGGCCCACAGCTATCTATATGTAACAATTAAGGAAAGCCTTCAGAACCCCAAAGTCAGGAACTTTTCTGCTGCATGTAACATGACCAGCAGCCCTCTTTATTGTTAAACCGGTTGATGAGATTCATTAGGAGATCAGCTTTGCAGTCATTTATAATTTAGTCAAAATATTTGAGCTAAAATTTCCTCTGCTGGAGGTGGAATATTTATTAAATGTTCCAGGTAAAAATAGTTCCACTATTTTCAGGAGTGAAGCTACAAGAAAAGATCATGTTTTCTGGTGTGCTTTTTGAGAAGTTGTGTGCTGTGGAGGATACTGTAACTTCAGCAGAGGAGCGGCCTCTTCGGAGGGTGTGGCATCTGCCAGCTGACATTTCATTCATTCTTGGCAAGCTTGCCAAGAGAAGACAGAGCCACACTCTGCTCGTAGTGGCCCTGAGAAGGCACAACAGCCATGACTTGCAACAGTCCTGGTGAGCATTAGGAAAAGCCTCTCCCCAGGGCACGTTTCAGCACTGCTGTGGGTACCTCAGCAAGCTGAGGAATCCTCATCCTTGGAGGTGCTCAGAGCTCACCTGGGCAAGGCTCTGAGAAACCTGAACTGCCTTTGGGTCCCACGTACATCCTCTCTGCTCCTGGCTTTGGCTGTGTGACCCTGGGCACAGGCCAGAGGCAGTGGAGCTGAGCAGCCTCTTCCCTCTGATGACTTTGGGGAGAGTTTCCAGAAAGCTCTGCTGGAGCCTCAGCCAGGACTGGCCCCCTGCCCCAGGAGATGCTTTTAGGCTGGTGACTTGCCCTTGGCTCCTGTCTGAGGAGTCTGGCTGGTGCCTGACCATGCAATCTGTGGATCTAGACCCGTGGATAGGCTTCTTGGCTTGACCCAAGACCTGCCTTGTCATGATGGACTTGTCAGGCAATCTCTGGACTGTGGCTCACCTTGGTTCCTGCCTCCAGACCCAATCCTGATGCTGACTTGACTTCTTACTTTGACCTTGGACCTGCCCCATCACCACAAGCTTATGTGATGATCTGGATTCCCAGCTGAACCCGGCTGTCTGCCTTTGTCTCCTTCCCTTGCTGGCTAAGACTCGTGTGATGATCTGGATTCCCAGCTGAACCTGGCTGTCTGTCTATACCTGCCTTTGTCTCCTTCCCTTGCTGGCTAAGACTCTTCCCCTGCCTGCCTTGTTACATGCCTGGATCTCAGCTCTTGTATTCCTTCAGGGAGTTGCCAGCCCTCACCTCCCCCAGCAGCCTGCTGTGAGCAGGCAGCCTCAGTAGAGACCTCCAGAGGTCCCTTCCCACCCAAATCTTTCTGTGAACTTGTAACAGCACTCCAGCCAAGTTAAAAGGAAAGAAAAAAGTAACTTCTCTGTGCAGGGAAGAAATCATAGCTCTGAAGGCATTGCATTGATGCTTAGGTGCATGGTGCATTACGCTAGGGAAAGAAGAAAGAACCAGAGGGACAGGGACAAGGAAAGGGGTCTAGAAAGGATGAAGGTGGCAGAAGGTTTGAAAATGAGCAGCAGTGCATCTGCTGTAATATCACTCCGTTATCCCATAAATCCCAGGACAAAAGGGTCACAGAAGAGATGCACACAGCTCTGTTTCCTCTCCAGTTACACTGTGTCACATTCATGGCAGTCCTTTAAAATAGGAATATCTACTGCCCTGCAAGCCCTCTTCCACCTTTCTCCCTGCATCTCTTGGGCACCATTAAATGTTCTTCATCTGCAATGGATTTCAAGGCTGCTGTGCTGGTGATGCATGGGCTGAGCAAGGGGACAGAGCTGGCTCACACAGGGCATATGTCTCACAGGCAGGGGGTGGCACAAGGATGTCTCTGCAGAGAGGCTTGTCATCTTCTACAGGTCTTCCTGAAGACCTGCTTCTGCAGTCATCTCTCATAAAAGAGAGGGTCTTCAAGGGAGACTGCAAAAATGGATTTAAAACATGGTATCTCCTAACACCAACCCGTGATGTATTACAATACATTTATTCCCACAGCAGTCATGAGGTAGGAACTTGAAACCAGATTTATTGCTTATTGAGAAGTCTAAAAACTATAAACCTTAGCAGTCTGGACTACATTTCTTGTCACTTTCCCTGACCTTTCCTTTAACATTAAGAAAAACAGAACCAAACCACTGTAATGAATCCACTCCAGAATAGCCTGAGACCTGCTGGAAGCCACAGAGAGGCTGTTTTGTAGTGCAATTGGAAAGGCAACCCTTGGCCATCAGCAGGAGTGAAAAACTGGGGCTTCTGGCACTGCCTGTGTACAGCCTGATCTTGCTTCTGGGGAGATTTATAGGGCTTTCACATACAGTGCAGCCTGGAAAAGCATGTACAAACAGTGCAAGCAAATACATCTCACCACAGCTTCATTCTCTGACATCATTCCTTTTCAACAGTGAAAATCACTCAGACCTGAAATCAGTCATCCTATATAGGGGCCAGCAACAAGAGAGTGCAAAGCACTAACATCAGCATGAGCTTCTGACACGATGACAATATTGGTATCCTCTCTTTTGTTCTGGGGCCATTGGGAATGTAGTTTTTTAAAGCATGCTAGTGTTTCCCAAGCCATTTTGCTTTAGGTAAATGTATAGCCATTGTGCCACGTGCGTGTGTTTACAGCTGCAGATTTGACATACCTCCTGAAGATTGTTTTGCTAAGGTCTGTGATTTTCTATATAATTAGGAACCTATTTTCTGCAAGATTACTGAAAACTCAGCTATTCTCCTTGACCTCAACAAAGCTTGCTAAACGCTTCAGTTCTTTCGGAAAATTAAGATACACATTTAGGTGTCCTGTGCTGGACCTGTGACTCAGATTGAAACAGCTGGTCAAAGGTTTTCCTCAGTCACTGCTAAATTCACTTTGTCAGCAGTGAGTACTGTATCTGTGTTCTGTTGATCCCCAGAACTGCCTCAGGCCATAGTGCAGCCAGGAGCTACTCAGTCAGGATGGGTTTGCTACAGGAATTCATGCTGGCCAGACCTAGACTCACTAAGTTTGTTTCAAATCCTTGTTCCCCACTCTGTTTCCTGTACCAAAAGAGTCAGGTATGACCATGTCACGAAGGCACCTCTGTTTATTCAAAACAACCTTTCATCCTTCAGCTTTGCATCATCACGTTCACCCACAGAGAGTCTGCTGTGCTCCCTCAAACAGTTTGCTGCATCCCACAGGCTTGCTGTAGTTATTGCATATGTGACTCTGCAATGGTATGGCTTTCCTGGGCTTAAATCTCTGAGTCCTCAATGGGGCCATTCAGGAACACTGCAGTAGGAAGTGATGGTGAGGATTCATTGGGACGGATAAAGTTCTCAGATGGGAACAGTTTTACTTTAGACACAGCGTGGTCTCGGGCTGACTTACACTCCACAATCTGATGCTTAAGCGTTCCCATCTCTGAGTCCCAGGCTTGTCCCCGCCGCAATTTCTTGAAGGTGTTACGGAAGCCCTCAGTGCTGAAGTAGTAGACCAAGGGGTCCAGCATGCAGTTCATGCTGGCAAACATCATCGTTATAATTAACGCCTGGCGCACCGAGGCCTGCGTTTGTTCCTCGACCTTCATCACCCGGGCCTTGATCATCCCATAAACCGCCAGGGTAGTGTTGTAGGGCACGAAGCAGATGATGAAGATGACCAGATTGACCAGGAGGAGACGGACGGTCTTCCGCTGTCGCAGGGTCTTTGTCTGGCTGGGCTGGCAGAGCTCCTGAAAGATGCGGATTGAGCAGTATGTCACAGAGCTGAGAGGCAGGAGAAACCCCAAGATTTCAGCCAGGATTACCAGGGGGAAGAGGTTATTCTGCCACATGTTGTCGCTAAAGCTTTCAAAGCACAGATAAATGGTCTGGTTTTTTACTTTACAGTGGTTTTGCTTGTGGACTATGGCTGTGGGGATGGAGCCCATGAAGATCACAACCCAGACGACGAAGCAGAGGAGCTTGGCCACCTTGGGGCGCCGCAGGTGCCGCCAGCGAAGCGGGTGAACAATGGCAACGAAGCGATCCAGGTTGACACACATGAGGAAGAGGCAGCTACCGTACATGTTGATCTGGAAGACTGAGCCAGAGACCTGGCACAGGAAGCTACCAAAGGGCCAGTGGTGGTTGGAATAGTAGTAGAGTCGCATGGGCAGAGAAAGTGTGAAGCTGAGGTCACTTATGGCCAGGTTCAACATGTAGATCATCACTACAGACTTCAGGCGCAGGTATCGGACAAATATCCACAGGGCTACCACATTGAGTATCAAACCTGTGATGAATATCAGGGTGTAGCCAGGCATGAGGAGGTGGTGGTTGAAGGTGTAATCCTTGCATGTCTGGGATGTATTGGATGTATTGGATGTATTGGATGTATTGGATGTATTGGATGCTGACATGCCCAGCATGGGTCAGGGAATGCTCTCGCAGAGATGGCTGAGCCTGGTGATGGGCTAAGGAGGCACAAAGAAAAGTGCTGAGGGAAGTCGTTCCCCTCTGAGGAGCCACGGGCAGGTCATTCCTGTCACCTGCTGCTGGGAGGTAGATGAGCAATATCTCTCTTGGCTGGCACTGCTTTGGATTGCTGGTCTGTGGTCATCTGGCACGGATGGTAATGTGAAGTCTGCTTCTGCCCCCAGTTCAGCAATTCTTTCCAGTGGTTATGAGGTGACAAGGTGATGGAGGATCATTGCCAGCTGTCAGTACAATTCCTGGTCAGAGTGGGAGACCAAAACATAAGAGTTTAAGTTGGAGGAGGAAATCTCTTGAAATGTTAAAATCCCACCATGGTGGCTTCTGCAGTAAGAACTCACAAAGAAACCAGAGGATGAGGGAAAATGGACACTAGAAATGTGAATAATTACATGGCAGAAGAAGACAGAGCACAGAGAAGGTGGTTGTTGCACAGAATCATTTATCACTCAGCCCCAGAAAATGCACTTGGCTTTGATCACTGCTGAGAACACATGAATACAAGAAAGGGACACCACAAGCACACACGGCAAGCAGTTGAGGCAGCTCCAGAGAAAGAGAAAGAAAAAGAAGAGAGCAGTGTTTTGAAGGAAAAATGCTGACTGGAAGGAACTTGAAATAAAAATGGCACAATACTGTTTTATATCAGAGAAAAAGGACTTTGTACATCCACTTCAGATAAAAAAAATTACAGTACAGTTAGACCTGACTCCACCCAAGCTCCTTTTCTTACGTAAAACAACACACACAGACCTCAGTTCCAGTGACTCCAAGGTCCTTATGTTTCTTACATTCATACAGTTCCTTTGGTGTCCTTACTTGCATGGGACCAGTGGTGCTTCTTTGGATTGTATGTCCTCATTCTGCTGCTTGAAGCAGCCCATATCCCAGAAACAGAGAGCACAGCCACAGAGGGGAACACAATAAAAAAGGATGTGCCATGGGATTCATGGGGACAAACTTCAAAGCAGTGTGAGGCTAGTAACCACTCTGGGTACTAACTAGCAGCACTGTCCAAACACTGATCAGCTGGAGTGAGCCCAGTGGAAGGCCACCAAAATGGTCTGGGGGCTGGAGCACTTGTGCCATGAGGAGCTGCTGAGGGAACTGGTCTTGTTCAGCTGGACAAGAGAAGGCTCCAGGTGATATAACAGCAGCATTGGAGTTTGCACGGCAAGGTTTTGGCAGCTGGGAGAGCTATAGGTGTGGTTCTGTGAGAGTGTGCTAGGAATTTCTTCTGTGTCTGATATAGCCAGTGCCAGGAGGGACCTGCTACTGGCCAAGGCTGAGCCCATACGTGATGGCACCTCTGGGATAATGAAAGGGAAAAAGCTACTGTGAGGCAGCAATTGCAGGCAGTGAAGGAAAGTGAGATATGTGATAGAAACAGCCCTGCTGCAGACACCAAGGTCAGTGAAGGAGGGGAATGAGGTGCTCCAGGCACTGGAGCAAAGATTCCCCTGTTGCCCCTGGAGAAGACCATGGTCAACCCATGCTGGAGCACTCTGTTCCTGAAGGACTGCACTCTGTGGAGGGGACTCACACTGGAGCAGGGATTGGGTTACACAGTTCCCCACAGTTGTTTGCAGGGACCCTCATAAGAGTCCATGTAGACTGTGATTTACTTCAGAAGGAAAGTGGAATTTTCTATCTAGAGAACATCTTTACATGAAGTTGATATTACTCGGCAACTTGACAGGCATGTCATGCATGTCAGACCTTCTGGATGGCATTGTGTGTCAAGGCACAGATCCAGAGAGAATCTGCTGCACACAGAACCGTGTGCTGACCTCACAGGGAGGAAGAGAATCATTCTGCTAACAACATGTTAAACAATGGAAGTGGAAACCTAATACAAGAGTGTAGACAGCTACCAACTTGCCCATCCTTTTGTGTTGTTGTGCAGGTCCATCACCAAAACAGGTTTCTTAGGGAAACTTCTACTGGTTTATCAAGCTATATCTGAGTGGATTCTACCCTTCCTGGTGGATGAATACTTTGCATGAATTCTTGTGCAAGTTTGGAGTATAAAATAAGCTGACAAGGCAAAAGTGCAAGAATGTTGTTGGTTTCATGCTTCAAAAAATCTCAAGGAGGAGCATCATCAGTGGTCAAAGGAGATGATTGTCCTGCTCTGCTTTGCAGTGGTGCAGCCTCACCTGGAGTCCTGTGTGCAGTTTTGGGCACTATAAAAGAGACATTTAGAGACTGTGCAAAGGAGGGCCATGAGGATGGTGAAGGACTTTGAGGAGAAACTGTGCGAGGGGCAGCTGAGGTCACTTGGTCTGTTTGCTTGGAGAACAGGAGACTGAGGAGAGAGCTCATTGTGGTCTACAACTTCCTCAAGAGGGGAAGGGGAGGGGCAGGCACTGATCTCTGTGCTGACCAGTGACAGGCTCCAAAGGAATGGCCTGGAGTTTTATCAGGGGAGATTTGGGTTCAATATTAGAAGAAGGTTCATCACCCAGAGGGTGGCTGAGCACTGGAACAGGCTCCCCAGGGCAGTGGTCACAGCACCAGGCCTGACAGAGTTCAAGAAGTGTTTGGACAATGCTCTCAAGCACAGGGTATGATTCTTGGGATGTCCTGTGCAGGGCCAGGAGTTGGGCTTGATGATCCTTGATGATCCTCATGGGTCCCTTCCAAATCAGTATATTCTGTGATTCTGTAATTCTAGGAGAATATGTCAGCTTTTGCTGGAGCAAACACCCTGAAATGAATAGCAGACTGGTCAGACCTTTATCCTGATGGAAACAAAGTTATTGAGACTGTGATTTAGTGAGTGACCATGACCTGCTGTAACACATGTACTCAGACAAGCCAGATGTCAGGTGAAAAGGACTTATCTCTACAGACAATGTGGTTTTTTTCAGGCTTTCCTGAGGTACTCAATTAACAGATCTAGAGATTATAATATGTAAGCACAGTCCATGGTGTGTCAGGCTTTCTACCACTAATATTCCATCTCAAACTGTGAGGGTGAAGGGATTATGTTAACAACAGTACAATCATGCAGTTACACTGCCTCAAGTTGTCTTCCTGCTTCCAGAACAAATTGTAGCCCAGGAATTTCTTGAGCCACAGGTGACCTAGTTGTACTCAGTAGGCCTCAGGGAACTTCTATTTCATTGTGGTTTTTTCAGTCATTTTTTTGAGTTGATGTAAAATTTACCATCTACATTATCCAGTGCCAGGAGTGCCAAGGAGTTCCACAGCTTACTTGTGCCTCAGATGAAGAATCACTTCATATAACCATCTCTGATTCATCATCTGCTAGATTCAATTATTAGCTTTAGTGCTGGAACAGACAGGGCAAAACCCATCCCTATCCACCTTCATTTCATGGCTGATAATATTGTAAATATCTACCACATTCCCACTCAGCAACTTTTTTTTGTTTTGTTTTGTTTGTTTGTTTTGGTTTTGTTTTTGTTTTTTTTTTTTTTTAGGCTAAAGGGTCCTTGTCTTCATAGTTTTTCCTTGTAGAGAAGCTGTTCTGTACTTTTGAACATCCTTGTTGCCCTTCTCAGCACTTTTCCACTTCTGCTGCAGCCTTTGTGAGCCTGTGCTGGGGTGCTGAAAACATGCAGTGCTGATAGTGTGGATGCACTGAGCTGCGTAGGTGTAGATCTCATTTGCAAGTGGTAATGGCCAGTTCAGTTTGCTTTTTCCCATCACTTCACTAGATAAAATTTCAGCTGTTAGTTTAAGTCCAGTCACTCACACTTCTCTTAAGCTCTGCAGTTTTTCGCAGGCAAACTTCATCTTTTTAAACTTGAATAATTTTATGTCTCCAATAGATTTGTTATTTTATTATTCATCCCTCATGAATAAGTCAAACAGTCCAAACCCCAGCACAGGTGTCTGACAACTCCACTGAGAAAAACAACCTTCATTCTCTGTCCCTTCTTTTAGGCACTTTTTATCCAGGCAGGAACATTTTCTTTACATTTTTTTTAAGTACCATTGGTGAGACCGCCTTTGAAAGCCTTCTGGAAAACCACATGGGCCACTGTTCACATGCTTATTGAGCCCTTTAAGGAAGAACTGTGGGAACAGCATCTCTTTATAAAAGGCATGATGACTTTTCCCCAGTAATTAGATGTGACCGCATGCCAATTGATTTTTTTCTTTATTATAGCTTCTACTAATTTGTTCAGCAAAACCATCAAGCTCCCTGGTCTGAAACCCCCCAAGTGCCTTTTCTTAAATTGAGTCTGCCTTTAAGAGCTGCTTTAAGCAAAGGTTTCTATGGCACAATTAGTCAGGTCTTCCACCCTTCAGTTATTTATGACCTCTGGGGTAGGAGCCGTGTGGTTTTAGACACTCTTTCCTTCATCTTGCTGCTCCGTGGTTGATCCTACTACTGTTTTGACCAGAAGTTCTTTTATGAACTTCCCATAAAGAAAGTTTCTGCTGTGGAAATCTCCCAGGCTTCCATAACTACATAAATACCAATGAAAGAGACCTCTTCATTTTTTTACTCTCCATCAGGTTTTCTTTCTTTTCTGAGTGGTCTTGCCTTACATACTCCAGCCTTTCAGCCTTCAACAGTTCTGAACTGGCAGCAAAGATCACTGAGAGCAGAAAATAGACTGGGGTTTTGAGGGGATTTTTTCTAGTGGGTAGATGGAAACACAGAAGAAAGAGTCTGCTGTGGTGCTGGTATGGAAGCTGAGCTCATAGTCCCAGACTTGCCATAACAGATACAGTGACCAAGACACATGAGAAAGGAGATGTATGCAGACACAGTCATTGCAAAGATAAAGTTGTAGGTGTGGAGAGTTTCTCCAGTGAGCTTTGGAGGTTCTGCTTTGACTGTCCCTCTCTGAAAAGGAAAGCTATGGGTAGGTAAAGCAGGCTGGCAGCAGGGAGACTGATTATCCTTGCTGGTTAATGTCTGAGAGTCAAAAGGCATGTTCCTTGTGGCTGCCTCCAAAAGAACCCCAAGTACTCATTGCTCTGCACAAAAGCTGCCAAGAGATCTCAAGCCACCCTCTGTGTAAGGAGGCAGTGGTACCACAGCTGAATAACCCCCCTCCTCACAACAAGATGCCCTATTTAAATCCTGAAGAAACTTTCTCTTTGGTGACTGACCTTATGTGTCCCAGGAGGTGGAAAAAGCATATTTTGCCTCTTATTTGAGCCCCTGAATACCATCAACTTCCAAGACTGTGACTTCCAAAATTAGTGGGATTTTGATTTTTTTCATTTGTTGGGTGAGAAGCCCTAAATATACTTTAGGTCTAGGACAGGCAGGCATGCCCTGACATGGGATGTGTGCCTGGCACCTTGCTGCCTGGTCCTGACAATCCTCTCTCTCCTGTCTCACTAGGAGTCATGGCCTCCAAGCACTACAAAAATGATGAAGAATCTGAGTATGGGGCTGAAAAATGAGGTGGAAAAAGAGAGATGAAAAAATACTAATGAGGATGCTGCAGGGTCAGTGTTTCTTGTTAGTGGCTTTCCACTAAAACCATGGGGAGTTTTGTGGCTCCTGTGAGAATGCAGAGAGCAAATGTGGCATTGGGGTGCAGAACTTAAAACACAAACTGCATGAGCTCGCTTACTCGTTCTGAAATCAAAGAGGAAACAACAAAAATGTGTCAAACCTCAGAAAACATACCCGACTTTACTCTAGAAATTGGAGATATATTTTTTTTAATAAATGTGGGTGCTTTTTACCTGCTGTAGGTGATATTCAAGCCCCACTTTTCATGTGTTTTTCTACGCAACAAATTAGTTTTTTGTGAGGATTTGGTTAGATTTTGCGAAGACATTAAAGCCTTAGGATGGCTTGTTGTTAAAGAGAGACACATGATATAAAAGCTGAGACCTTTGTATTTAACTCATGAGGTTTGATCACACTGCTATTGCCTCCTCCTTAGAGATACTACCCCTCTTCACCTCCTGAGAGTCCCGTGGAAGAGGGCTGCCACGGTGGGCACCTTGGCAAGTAAGCTCTGCAGGCTGCCCGTGCTTTCAGTATCACAGGATCCCAAGGAAAGCCTCAGTCTGAGCAAATACAGAGATGTGCCTTGCACCCCCAGGTCCACGGGGCCACTGACCTGGGGCAGATGTGCCGCAGTGCCTGGCAGCACAGGGCAGCAGCGCTCGGGGACCGCTGCCCAAGGTGCCAGACCATCCGGCTTCCAGATGTGCCCGCTGCCTTACCTCACTGCTGGAGAAGAGCCAAGTGTGGATGCCGGCTGGCTTGCTGCTCCTTCTGCAGAGGTCTCGATCCGGGCCCCAAACCCACAAAGCAGCTTGGACTGAAACAGAACCAGGCGGGCTCTTCATCCAAATCACAGCTGTCCCCTACCGTGCTGCGGCTGATTCTACATCTGGCATGCTGCAGTATGTCTCTTCTCCTTTCTCACTTCCTGATGCACTTCTGCCTGGCTACAAAGCATGAACTTTGTTATCAAGGGCTGATAAGCTAAACCACATCCTACAACAGCAAACGCAATCATGAAAGAAGCAGTACCCAGGTGTCCTTGCAACTGAGAATACCTGCTCTGGGTCATAGTGCCAAATATGTGCTTGTCTTGCTAACTCAGCCACCCCCAGGACTGACAGAGGGGAAATAAAACGTCCCTCTCCCCAAAATATTGCTAAACAGGAGGTAGAAGTGAAATATGGGAAGTGAGAGCCAAGTTGATTTAATTGCTAGCCTGCACAAAGACTTGGAGTCCTGTCACTCCCGTGGTCTAGGGGGCTTTGGGATTGAACTCCTGCCCGGGGGCCCAGCTGTGCATTGCTGGCATGTGGCAGGATCCCAAAAAGAACCAGGCTCCGGAGAGGTGTCATTATCTGTGGCAAGCAAAGGCATGTTTGCCACGAACCTCAGTCCCTGGTGTTCAAGGCTACAGGAGGCAGAGTGCTATGAAAGTACAAGGGCTGATTTACCAGCACATCTGTGACCTGGCACTGCCACGTGTAACTGGGAAGGGAGCTGCCCTTGTGCAGAGCCCATCTGGCACTCTGTTGCTTCGAGTCCTATTTCTGCTTTGCCAGTCTCAGCACACCTGGAAGAAGACACAAGTCATGGCGACACTCCTAATCCCACTGTCGTCCTGCCCCAAGAACAGCTGTCCTGGGAAGCTGCTGTGGGCTCCCTTTCTCTGCAGCCCTTGCCTGCTGGTGTTTGATTTTCTCATTCCCTGCCTCCCTTGTTCTGCTGTTACCGACTCCCCATTCAGGGAATGACACACCAAGGGATATATATGCTCCTGCTGATCATAAATCCTTGGAGGGCACAATAGCACCCGAACCACTGAGCTCACCCTGCTTCTTCTCAGTGCCTCTCTTTTTTAACCAGACCCCTTTTCTCACTTGCTAGTTGCTGGGATCTTTGTTCTCATGGCTTTTTGTGTCTCTTCAGTTCCCATCAAGGTGTTGTTACTGATAAAAGCTTACAGATATGCCACAGGGGGTGTCCTTTGCCTAAGGAGTGTCTGACACATCCTCTAGGAACTCCCCCCTCCCCCTGCAGCCCTCACCCCTCACACACATGAGCACACACCTGGCTGAGCCCGGCAGTCCTGGCTTTTCCATGTGTGAGAAGACAAGGACACAATGGCAGCCAGCCCGGCCCATGAGCCCCACAGCATCCTCACCCAGCCAAGTTCACTCACCTCCCCGGATCTCGGAGCCCCAGCCCAGGAGCTCTGTGTCCCCTCAGCCGGGTGGGCTCACACATCTGCCCCTCGCTGTCTCTTGGAGCCTCAGCTCGTGGGGAAGAGCAGCTCAACCCCCGGCGTTTCCTCACCGCTGTCTGAGCGAGCAGCAGGTAAGACCAGATTACTGGGGTGTGTGTTGGAGGCTACACCCTGATGCTGCAAATCCCAACATGCCTGCCACCCCGCAGTGCGGGCTCCAGAAAGTAGGAGCAAGGAACCCAGCAGGAGAAGGGATGCAGGCAGCTGGGAAGGCAAGGAAAGAGGTGAAATGCACGCTACAAGAGAGAGGCTGCTCAGGTCTGAAAGGATGACTGATGAACCACAGTGCTCTTCAGACTTCTTTGTGCAGCAAAATATGGGAGAGCAAAGGGGTGAATCCCTTTATGGAAGCCCTGCTTCACTTTCTGAATGATTCAGACAGGAAAAGCAGAAACTTGTGGCTGCAGAGGAGTTTTACCTTCCAAGGTGGTGGGAACACCTGGGACTTCCCAGGTTGGCTGGGGAAAATGGCAGTCCTTTGTCCCGGGACATGTCAGCTCCCTGGTCACACAGCTCACATTTTCCTGGGCTCCCAGGGGCTCTTAGGAAAGGGGTGCCCAGTGAGAAGGGGGGCAGCCACCTTGTTGTGCCTCCTAGGAGAAGGGCAAGGGCTGATCATGGGGAAGGACAGACCATGGGGAAGAAAATGAGGGAGGTGAAGGGAGACCTGCCAGGGAAGAGTTAAGAGAGGCAGGGAGCAGCTGGGCTGTGTCTGTTTGCTGCAGCTACGTGGGCTGCAGGGTAGAAAAGAACAATCTCCAGCCTGGAGGAGGCAGATGAGGGAGTGTCTTCAAGAACAGTGGATGTGGATGAGGGAGGCAGCAGGTCTTCCCCTCTCTGCTCCCATGAGCTGTCACTGCAGGGAAACTCTCTGTGTCCCCAAAAGGTCTGGTGACAAAGCAGTGAAGAGCTGGTGGGTCTGGCAGCAGTTGCTTGGTGCTTCTGGCTCTTCTTGTGTGGAAGACTCTGTCTGCTGCTGAGCGGGTCTTGGGCTGCCTCCTGCTGAGGAAGTGACTGGACTGTGGAGGAAGGCAACCACACATCTCCTGACAGGATGGCACAGGAGAGGGTGTGACACAGACGCTGTCCCCTCCCCAGCCGTGTGAGCTCCCTGTGATGGATGCCCACCCCAGAGCCTAGCTCAGAGCTCTCCCACCATGCTGCCCAAGCTGTGGCACTGGTGTGGGTGACCTCGCAGGGCCAGCCCAGCAGGGTTCTGCAGGCTGCAGGGTCTCTGATGCTGGCAGACACACCTGGACAGCCCATGGTCACTGCCCAGGGCTGGGGCTCCTCCTGCTTTGCAGTGCTGAGCTGGAGCTGATGTGAAAGCCACTGTTGGGCAGAGGCTGTGGAAAGCCACAGAAGGGGATTCAGGCAGCTGCAGCTCTGGAGTTGAAGGTGGTGAAGTTTTGGCCGGTGTGGCTGCATCTGATGCTGATCCACGTGCAGCACATCACTGCTGTGACCTGGCTGTAAGTATGCTTTGTGCTTGTATTGTCTGGTTTGGACAGCCACCTAGGGAGGTGCTGTCTCCTAGAAAATAGGGTGAGAACAGGGTGGAAGAAGGAATCTGGGCAACCAAAAAGCTGAAGGGGCATCTCTGGGAGAATGGAGGGAGAGGGATGGTAAGGCTGAAGAGGTGCAGACCAGAACGGGCAGCAGGAATGTCCAATTCACAGACAACGTGGCCACAGCCCCCTTCCCTGCACCATTTCTGCTCTAAGACATGGCTAGAGAGGGTTAGTGCTGCAGAGGTGAGGCTCTGGCTCTAGCCCATCTGCAACTGAACCTCTGCCCTGCCCCACAGGTCCCTGGCCAAGCAGACTTCCCTGCAGGAAGGGGCTGTGGTGGCCTGATGGGGCTGGAGGAAGAGCAGGTCCGTGTTTGCTGGTGGCAGTGAAAACCATGGAGGCGGCGAAGTGAGGTGTGGAGCTGGCTGTCCTCGAGTGCCAGTGCCAGTTTCCCTCTCACTGCTGGAACTGCTCCACCCTGCAGGGGCTGCAGGTCTTCGGCAAGGCCACCGTCCAAGGTCAGCGAGGGCAGGCTTGGCATGGTGTCCCTCCAGTATGCCCACTGTCCCCTTGACACATCAGCCTTTCTGGGCTAGTGTGCAAGGGCTGCACTGGACCCATCCCCAGAGTGGCCAGTGCCTGCTTCCACATGCTAAAGTATCAGAACAGAGCAAACTCAACTGAATGCTCTCACACACACAAGCATTCTGGAGAAACTTCTTCCCGTTTGGCCACATTTGGCTTTTTGGTCCCATTGGACCACACTGGGTGCCACCTCTGCAGACTGGTAAATTTTTCAATGACCCTGCCACCTACCCTGCCACAGAGCCATGGCACTTACTGACTCCCAGCCTTGGGAACAGCTGCACTGGGTGAACATCCTGACATGTATTTCTCCCGAGCAGTCTCCATCCTTCCTGCATGCAGTGACAGCCTCTTTTCCCACGCTCTGCCCTATAAGTGCCTTTGCCCTCTGCAGACTGGTGCCACTTCTTGTCCCACTGCGGGCACACGGGAGTGTGCTTTCATCCACGCCATCCCGGCTGTTGGCATTGCTTTTGCTGTGAGCCGTGCCTGCAGCTGGGGGAGACAGGCCGGAAAAGGAGACGCTTTCATTCTCCACAGGGCTTTGGGAGACCCTCTCAGGGCTTCTCTTTCCTTGTCACAAGGCTGCCTTCCCTCTGCAGGTTTCCAGTGGTCAGGCTGCTCTGATGAGAACCTGTTTTATAGGATTGTGTTCTCTCAGGCCTTCATGGACAGCCCTGAGAGGAGCCGCGGTGTCTCCTCCAGCCGAGCGCTCATGAATCTGCCCAGCAATGAGGGAGGAAGGTACGGGCAGGACCAAGGGCTGGCTGCAGGGCTTCTCCCTGGCTCAGCAGAGCTCAGTCCAGCCCCGCACCCCAACAGGCACCTCAGGGCAGCCAGGGGCTCCCAGAGCAGTCTGCATCCTGCTGCCTTTCCTAGCCCAGCACTGTGCTGATCACCCTGAGCCGGCTCCTGCCTGTGTGGAGGGGAGTCCCAGCCTCCCCTACTCAATTCTGTGCAGTCTCCTTTTCTGCACAGATCCCAGCTATGGGTCAGGAAATAATTTAGTGTGTTCTGTTCCGAAGGGCCTCCCTGCCCCTCCAGCCTCGCTTCAATAAAGGCAGACATCTGCAGGGCCGCAGTCAGATCTGGTCCCTTGAACATCCTCCACTCTGGCCAGATCTGTTCCCCTCCCCACAGCCCTCCAGGTCAGAACAGCTCCCCATCCCTCTCTCTGTATCTAACAGACCCAAACCATCTTGTTTCCCACAGAGTGCATCTCCTTCTGTCCATAATGGGCTGGATTAAAAAGACACTTTTGCCCTTTCCTTTCCCCTTTCCGGCCCCGATCTCCAGCCCCATGGGCGGTGTTGGGGGAACATCAGCACATGGGAGGTGCTGGAGGGCAGGAAGGTTCTTCCGAGGGTCTGGACAGGCTGGATTGATGGGCACACAAAAGCTTCTTGCTCACATGCTGTGTTTGGGATCAGGACAGTCCCTGTCTCTGGTCCCTCCCCAGTCTCTGGACATGCAATAAATGCCTTTTCCAGTGCTCAGCTGCTCCTTTGGCTGGAGACATGTTTCCAAGAGGAGTTCCAGTAGCTGCCACAGTGAGGCTCCCCTCATTCAGTCTGATCTCAGTGCCAGGGAATGTTATGGAACAAGCTATCCTAAGTGCAATCACACAGCGCTACCAGGGAATCGGCCCTAGCCTGGATGGGCTCATAAAAGGCAGGTCCTGCTTGACCAACCTGGTCTCCTTTTATGACCAGGTGACCCGCCTAGGGATGAGGGAAAGGCTGTGCATGTTATCTTCTACCTGGACTTCAGTAAAGCCTTTGGCACCAGTTCCCACAGCATTCTCCGGGAGAAGCTGGCAGCCCATGGCCTGAGCAGTGCATTCTTTGCTGGGCTAAGAACTGGCTGTGTGGCTGAGCCCAGAGAGCGGTGGAGGGTGGAGTTGCATCCAGCTGGTCACCAGTGGGGCTCCCCAGGGCTCCCAGTCCTGTGTGAAAACTTTAGCAATGATCTGGATGAGGGGATCCAGGGCTCCCTCAGTCAGTTTGCAGGACACACCAAGCTGGGTGGGAGTGTTGGCTGCTGGAGGGCAGGAAGGTTCTTCAGAAGGTCTGGACAGGCTGGATTGATGGGCTGAGGCCAATTGTGTGAGGTTCAGTAAGGCCAAGTTCCAGGTTCTGCTTGTCAGTCACAACAACCCCAGGCAGCAGCACAGGCTGGGGGCAGAGTGGCTGGGAAGCTGCCCAGAGGAAAAGGACCTGGGGGTGCTGGTGACAGCAGCTGAACATGAGCCAGCCGTGCCCAGGTGGCCAAAAAGGCCAATGGCACCTAGCCTGGATCAGCAATAGTGTGGCAGCAGGAGCAGGGCAGGGATTGTCTTCTTGTGTTCTGCACTGGTGAGGCCACACCTCGAGTGCTGTGTCCAGTTCTGGGCTCTTCACTTCCATAAAGACGCTGAGGTACTGGAGTGTGTCCAGAGAAGGGCAACAAAGCCTGTGAAGGGTCTGGAGTGGCACAATGAGATGGGGTTGTTTAGCCTGGAGAAAAGGAGGCTCAGTGGGAGCCCTGATGACTCTCTAGAACTCCCTGAAAGGAGGCTGCAGCCAGGTGGGAGTTGATCTCTTCTCTCAGGCAACCAGCGACACGACAAGAGGAAATGGCTTCAAGCTGCGCCAGGGGAGGTTCAGGCAGATATTAGGAAAAAAGTTTCTTCATTGAAAGGGTGGTCAGGCATTGGAACAGGTTCTCCAGGGAAGTGGTGGAATCACCACCAGGCTCCCAAGTGGGAAACAAGTGGCGCTTTGCAATATGGTTTAGAGGGCATGGTGGTATTTGGTCAAAGGCCTTGACTATCTTGCAGGTCTTTACAAACTTTAATCATTTTTTGATTGCTTCCTGGAGAGGCTCTGGAACCTCTCTTGCCACAGCTGCACCTCCTTGCGTCCCTCCCTCGCACTCAGCACCCGGTAGGTCTTGTTAGGCCTGCATTCCACGCGAAACACCTGCAAGGAGAGCCTGGCTTCGTGGGGTGGTACCGCTGCCCACCCTTTCCCAAGGAAAGAGACCTCCATGGTGGATGGCACCTGGAGGCTGGGATGATGGGAGCACCAGGGGAAGAGGGGAGGACCAGCTGAACTGACAGCAGAACTGTGTGTTTGCTAGGATACAGGCCAGTCCTCTGTCCTGCTCTGGTGATTTGGGATTTTGCTACTGCTTAGCAGATGAAGGAGATCCTGCCCTTCAGGGATATACAGGGATACTATCCCTCATGTTGTCTGTGCAAATCTCACCCAGCAATGACTCCCCAGTTGTATATTTCTCTCCCCACCTCCCTCAAACACACCCAATTCTGTCCTCCCAGAAGGAAAAGCAGTGGGCCAGTGAGTCCAGCAGGGGCTCAGGGCTGGCTGTGGAGGGGCCAGCCATGGAAGAGCAGGCTCTGCAAAAGGCAGCGTAGCTGCTTCTCACCCTCTCGTTGTAGATGCTCTTCAGGAGGCACTGGTAGCTCTTGAACATGCAGTAGTTGGGATGCTGAACCCCGCTCGAGTCACAGATCTGGTGACAGGAGAATGAAGGTCAGAGAAAAAAGAGGAGAAGGAGGGATGGGACATCCACTGATGGTCACGCACCTTTCCCGAGCCATCCACGTCTGGGAAGGTGTCATACTCTGTCTTCAGCCAGAGGGTCACAGCAGGGTCCTTACAGCCATAGACGGCCATCCGGCTGCACCAGTACTCCATCCTCATCCCTCTCAAAAAGTCCATGTTGTAGTCCTCCAGGGTCTGTGAGGACCTGGACTGCAAAGGGGTGGGATAAAGTGAGCCGTGCTTCTTCCTCCCCTCCCCCAGCTCCCAGTCCAGGCTCCTCCTGCGAGGGCAGCAGGACACAGAGCTCGCTGGGTACCTTGCCCTCTGTGTGCCCCTGCTGGGCTGAGATCTCGGGGTTGATGTAGGTGACAAAGCTGTCTGAGTCGCAGTGGACGCGGTTCAGGGTCTCGATGTTCTGGCACTGCTCCCTCTTCAGCGAGCAGAACGCGCAGTCGGGGCACAGGTCCACGTGGTGCCGCCCAAGGTTGTCACACACCTGGGGTGGATCCAGCGGGGAGTCGGGAGAAAAGGAGACTCAGAACCTCCCCAAAGAGGAGGCTGGGGAGTTCCCATATTCCTGGCTTGGAGCCTGCCTCCCTGGTCGCCCAGGTCAGCTGCTCTCAGGAGGTGGCTGTGCACAGTGGGGGCCAGAGGTGGACACTGGTGTCTTTACCGAGTCTCCGAACCCAAAGATTCTTTTTTCCATCTCCTTCCAGGCCATGGTGAGCATCGATGAGAGGCAATTTCCCTCCAGCACTGCGTAGCACAGGATCAGCACTGCCTCATCATTCTGCAGGGCCAGAAGGCTGACAGAGAAAGGGAAGGAGGGAGCCATCTCATTCCTTGCACAAACTGAAGAGACGCATCTTTAGCTAGAAACTGAAAACAACCCCAAAACAAAGTAAAAATTCCCTTCCTAAAGAAACCTTGGGCTCTTGGCTAAACTGCTCTCTGCAGGGTCTGCACACATGCCTGTGTGACACTGAGGCTGCAGGAGGGTTGCTGTGCATTCAGGGGCATGTGAGAGGGACTGGATGAGGAGCACAGCTCAAAGAGCTTTCCCAGGGCCCCTGCAGCAGCTGCTGCCTAATTTCATCCATCTGAGTGCACAGTGAGGAGATGTTTGTTAGATGTCTGCTGAGTGTTGAACGTCAGGCAGCCCCATTTGGTTCTGGAGGATGTTGCATATTAAACCTCCCTCCCAAGTATTTGACAGAAACGGAGAAAAACTTGTTAACTATGAACTTACTGTTCATCCAAACTGACATGGGTAGCTAAAAGTAGAAAACTTAAGGACAATGGGATGAGAGCAATGAGAATATTTGGCATCTCTTAGGAACAGTGGAATTTGTAAACATGGTACAGAACTGTTAGCAGACAGGGATGGTTGGTTTCAATCATCATCAATGATGCAGAAGAGGTAAACATGCTCATTAGATATTTGCCTCTTGTGTCTGGAAACAAAGCCAGTGATAAATAAACAAACTTTGATCTGACAGAGAGTAAAGAAGAGCAGCAGCTGCTTAAAATGCTCTTAAAATCCATGCATGGGCTAACATGTATGGTCGAGTTTTCCTGAGAATATCTGAAACTTCTTGGAGACCTTCAGATTAGCATTAAAATTAAAAAATTAAGAAGAGGTGGAGGATCTGAAAGAAGGTCATGAAGATGAGATTTCCTAAGGCCTGGAAAACTTTCACCTAGAGGTAGAAGCTAGCAAAGCTTCACTCAGCTGAGCAAAGACACCAGTGGTTTCCACTCAGTCAGTCAGCCCTTCTGCCAAGGAGGGCTTCAGCTGGAAAACTCTCCTTGTCAGCAGGTGGAAGAGTAAAGACATTTGGTGACTAGAATTTGGGGCGTGATCCATTCAAACCAGAAACAAACTACATCTTCCTGACACCATGGGTGTTTAGCACGGGAGCAGCTGATGGGTGCTTCCCCCACAGCTCAGAGACTTCAAAAAGATATCCCAAACTGCTGTTAGGAGTGGAGTTTTGGGCTCAACCACACAGCACTGTTGTCTTCTTTGAGGCTCACCAGACATGACTCATGTCCTGTGCTGAGCAGGAAGGTCAGGGCAATTCCTAGACATGAATGTTAAAAGTAATGAGCTTCACAGAAATCTGAGTTGTGCCACACTGCCTAATTTTACTACGAAATTCTGCTGTGCTCTCTGTCACATCCTTTTCCTGCTCTATCTCTGCTCTCCATCTATCTCTGCTGTGAAGTTTTCTGGCTTCACAGTTGCAAATTTATGAGCTGATTTACCACCTCTGGGTGAGTATAACAGCACTGCTGCTGGCTCTCTCCACTCATTGACACGCTGCTGAGCTGTTTGTGGATGCACGGAGGTTTCACCATGCTTCAGGGAAAGGGATGGGTCTATCTAAAGCAAGTTCCTAATGCAAATCCCTCCCCAGATTAGTACCTCTGCCTGTTATTGTCCTAACCACTGCCCTGGAAAAAGCCTAATGGGTCCTGTGAAGCAAAGATCCAAAGAAAATGTGGAAAAAAAACAAACCAGGATTAAGAAGAATCTGTGGGCCGAGATCAGTAGCTGATCCAAGGCAAAAGAGAAAACTTCAGGTACCAGCTTATCACACTTCATCATCTCAGGATGTGGAAGGACACACAGAGCCTGCTTCAGTGGTATCTCTGAAGAGTGCTGGGGAGCAGCATCCGCCTCTCCCGCCACGTAATGACAAGGATTTGGGCCATTAGCTTTCGGCTGCTGAGCCTTCCTGATACTGCCTGGCTGAGGTGCAGGGAGCACCTGAGGCGAGCAGAAAAGAAGATAAGGAGAGAACAGCAGCTTTCCAGCACCTGGTAAATTCTGATTTAGGGGGGTTGCTGCAGGAAACTAAAACCGGTTATGAAAAAGCCACTTTTAACAGCTTCAGAAAGAGGAACAAAAATCTTTGACTGCATCCCAGGACTGGGATCATCAAAAAGATTTTTTTTTTCTCGGGATGGTATTTTTAATGAAGGGTCTGGCCTTAAAATGAAAGCCTCTGGGGTTGAAGTAGATAAGCACCACAAGGACTGTTTGGAGGGGTAAAGCCAGGAGGAGGGTGGGGGGGGGAGTCACCAGGATTGTGTGTATCTCTCACTGCACATAACTATCTCAAGGGTGGGTGTCCACCAAGAGGATAGTTCCAGACTCTTTACAGTGGTTCCTGGCCACAGGATGAGGAGCAGTGGCCATAAACTAAAACACAAAGAGTTCCACCTCAACATCAGGAAGAACTTTACATTGAGGATGGCAGAGCAGTGGAACAGGATATCCAGGGAGGTGATGGAGTCTCCCTCTCCAGACAATCAAAACCTGCCCGGACATGTTCCTTTGTCACCTGCTCCAGGTGACCCTTCCTTGGCAGGAATTGGACAGAATGATCTCCAACCCTAACAGTCCTGGGGTTCTGAGAAGGCTCAGAGCAGCCTTGCTGGGGAAGCTGGGCTCACGTGAACCACAGGCGAGCATCCACATGTGAATGAGATCTGGATCCAGGACAGCTGTGGTGCTGAAAGGGGTGCAGGGGTTGTAGGTGACAAATGACACAACAGTGGGAAGCTCTGGGAAAAAAAAGGCAAGTGCAATTCTTCCTGCAAACAGAAAAGCAGAGAAGGGAGGCTGAAGTCTTTCCACGTACCCAAATGCTGAATCCCATCACTGGGTAGTGTGCCCAGAGCTGGAACATGGGCATGTTTTGAAGGGACACTGAAAGTTGCTGCAGAAAATGAGAGTTGCATGGGCTTTACAAGGTAAGGGCTACAGAGCTCTCTTTAGCTTATTGCAAGACTGAATCATGGTTTAGAGTTAACTCTGAGGAGAGGATATACTGGGAAATAAGGCAGAAAGCACAATAAGGACTAAAAATAGCAAATAGGTGCAACAATTTTCATTTCCCTCTCCCGCCCAATGATTCACTGCTACCAGCAAGACCACAGGAAAGTGCTGCAGATTCTTCTTGTGTTACTACCCCTGCCCTGTCTCCCTCTACAGATCACAGCTGGCCTCATCAGGCACTATGAAAACTGGAGTAGCTGCCAGAGCAGCTGCCACAAGCCACGGGGGATGAATAAGAAGGATGGATGTCCTGCTGGGCATAAGACCCTAGGGAAGACTTGCAGCTCTGGGATCTGTGTCCATCACAGCCCTGCCCACCTTGTGTTAAAGTAGATGCTTAGTGGCACCTGTGCACAACGACCAGTCCCACCCAGCACTGCTCCTCTTGCTGGAATGGAAGTGCCTCCAGGCATTTTGCCCCTTTTTTAGGTCATGCTTTGAAGTCCCTCTGAGAGGAGGTGGGATGTGGCGAGCTGCAAAGCCGACAGGCGAGGTCTATCTCGCCTTTTTATCCTTCAGTGGGGGTTTAAGCTTTGCTTAGCATGATTGATGGGGCTCGGCTGCCAGTTACAGACACACAGTCAGCATTAGTGTCTTTGAGAAACTCTGCAGCAGAGCAGCGAGTGTCATCTGCCATCACAGCAGTCCCCCAGTAATCCCAACAGAACTCTGTCACAGCAAGGCTCAGTTTCAGAGGCAGGGGGAACGAAATCCTCAATGAAACACCATTTTGCCTGAGAGCACATACACCAGGAAAACTTTTGCCAGGCTGTGAAAGCCTCCTACGATATTAGGAAGGAGGATGACATATGTTAGAGGCTTGCAAGAAGACAGTTATGGCTTTAACAACACGAGGCAGTTCATCTTTACATGCAGAAGTGAATCTCTGGCTGCGCTGTGGCAGTGGTGTGCAGCGTGCTCAAGAGAAACCACAGATGTGCAGTGAGGCACAAAATCTGTGTGCTTACAGGAACATCACCAGCCTGCAAGAGCACGAAACCAAAATGACTTCTCCATGAAAACCACATCTAGACACCTTTTTTTTTTTCCTCTTGGTAAGCAAAATAATATTTGCATGTCAGTCAAAGCAAATGGTCCTCAGCCACAAGGTACCAAAGGATCAAAAAGTGACTTTGAGTGAAAGCATAATACCCTTTTGCAGGTTTTTTCTCTGTCACCAGCCCCAGGTACCTGAGGACAGAGGCAAACAGATCCTGACAGACCAGCTGAGAAGAGCTGAATGTGCTCCATGAGCTCCTAACACATCCATAGGCCAGAGGAGCTGGGGAGGGTGTGTGACAGGCTGCAGCAAGCTGTCCTGGTGCAGAGCCCCGTGCTGAACTGCTGTCATGCTGCCTCCAAAACCAGAATGGGGAACCAGAAACATGCCAGGAAGAGCTGTGCACACATCCAGAGTGCACAGAGGTGCACATGCTCAAGGAGAAGCAGTAGCTCTGCACAGCTTTGGGCTCCTGGCTGTTTCCTAGTCCAGGGCTGCTGTAGCTCCCCTTGGGTGAGGACAGAACACTCCTGGGAGGGTTCCTCAGGTCAGGCTGCTTTAAGAAACATCTGCTTTGCCTTGCACACCAAGAGACAAGGAGCACAGCAAGACACATCCCAAGGACCGGTGTTTGCAAGGACACTGTTTCTGCACATCACCCAGACTCCTGGGACACGTGTTTGGAGGAGGACGAGTGCAGAGACGATTGTTTAGTGCAGATGGCCACAGTGTGGGGAAACAAAAGCATGGCACAAAGCCCTGCCTGCAGCTCAGGCCCAGACTGAACTCAGTTTGCCCAGGATACAAGGACAGTGCCGTCTTCAGGCACTAACAGTGCTGGATCACTCTCTCCCTGCTCACTTTGTGCTGGAGCGAGGTGTGCCTGGGGGCTCCCCAGGAACCATCCTGCTCTGGATGGGACAGCTTGCTCCAGAACACTTGCCCACACTCACCAGCTGCTCCGAGCAGGGACATGGATGCCCTGGGGTTGCTGTGCACAAGGACAGCCCTGCACGGGTGGTGTTTGGTACCCAGAAAGAGCAGACTTCCCCTCACCTGCCTCGGGGGGGAATTCCCTGCTCTGATGTGCGTCCTGGGCTCGGGCTGGTGAAGTTCCAAAAGGCGGCCTTGGTGTCCAAGGATGCATCCAAGGAGAGGGCCGAATGGATCAGCTGCCAGATGCTTTTTCTCAGGTTTTGTTCATCAGGGGATTCCGTCCTGGAAGGTGAGGTGGCAGCCCAGAAATTTGGTGTGTGCACAGTCCTGCTCTCCTGCCAGGGCGTGGGCACCTGTGGCGTGGCTATGGGGTGCTTCGTCGGCCACGGTTCCTGAGCTAACAGCGCAGGAGAGAACTTGAGAAGCTCTGCCACGCTGTCCTGCAGCAGGGCATCAGCAGGTGACAGAACAGCCTGCTCCTGGGTGCTGACACAAGGCATGGAGCGGCCGAGGGTGGCTTTTGGAGGCCAGACAGAAAGCTGCAGGGGTGCAGAGCAGCTACAGGAGACCAGCAGGTGAGCAGGGGTGCCCAGCACAGCTCGGTGCAGCCGTACCTTGTGTGACAGGGGAGGCTCTGCCCTCTATCGAGGGTTTCACGGTGCTGGATGGCTCCGCTGGGGAAGGTGGAGGCTCTAGAGACTCACTCAAACATGGGATTCTCTGAGTGGAGGGGACAAACACAACTCTCACTGTGTTATCTTCCCTTCCTCCTCAGCCTTCCATTTCCCACGGCATACTCACCCCACCTGTCCCACAGCCCACTCCTTACCTTGATGAAGAACTGCTGTTTGAGGCAGCGGTACTGGGCGAACTGGCAGAAGGTCTGGAACTGCACTACCTCTGGAAATTCAGAGCAGACTGGCCCTAGAGACAGAGATGTGGCATGGAGGCAGGCCTGGGTGCACCAAGAGAGGGGGACCCTCTCAGGTGGCAGCTTGTGGATGCAGGGAAGGTCCAAGCTGTGTGCCCCAAGGTGGAGATCACAGCCTTAGGCTGTCAGAGGTCCCAATTCCAGGCACCACATCCCATTTCCCTCCAGCTCCCTGAGGGTTTCACTGTGTCCTTCTGCCCTTTTTCACACAGTTACCTTCCCTATGACAGACACACAAATTTCCTGTTTCCAGCCCCTGAGGGTTTCACTGTGTCCTGCCCTTTTTCACACAGTTACCTTCCCTATGACAGAGAGACAAATTTCCTGTTTCCAGGATCTGATGCTTCTGTTATTAGTCCTTGCTGGGTTTGAAAAAGAGAAAAAAGGCAAGTAATGATATAATAGGTTAAAAAGATGACCAGACCAGCCTGGGAACACCAGAGAATCAGAGAATGGTTTGGTTTGGGAGGGTCCTTATAGAGCATCAAGTTCCAAGTCCCCTGCCATGGGCAGGGACCCCTTCCACAGGACCAGGTTGTTCAAAGACCCATCCAGCCTGGTCTTGTTGGGTCAGGGATGGGGCTGCGACAGCTTCTTCAGGCAGATGGCTCCAGAGGAGACAAATTCTTCAGGGCAAAATAAATTGACATTGATTCCAGCCTTGCAAGGGATGGAGGAGGTTCCATAGGGCCAGGATGCTGCTGCCAAAGCCTGTGCCTGTACACACATAAACTGCAGTCTGACCAGCACTGCCAGCACACTGACTCCAGAGCTGCAGCTCCTGCAGTGATTGCAGGAGAGCCAAGGGCGTGCAGGAGAGCAGAAAACCCTGAAGAATTGGCTGATCTTGTGCTCCCTCTTCTCTAGGAGTGCGTGGCCTGGCTGGCACAGCCAGCCCTGTGAGAAGAGGGGGAGTGCTGGCTGAGAGGGAGGGCATTAGCAGTGAAATTGCACTGCTCTCCTGATGTTGCTCATGCACCACCCTTTACCCTGTGCTCCCTTCTTGTGCTGAGCAAACAGCTGCACCATCAAAAGTAGAATTTCAGACACACACCAGGATCCCAGCCCAGAAAAACACCCAGCTTGTAGAGAAAACTGCAGAACCCCACCCCATCCCTTGCTTAAAGCACAAGGTGTTGCAGGGAGCACTCCAGATCCTCACACTGTGCTTTGTTTAGAGCACAAGGTGACTGCCTTCCTCAACACCACACCTGGATGGGCACAGTCAATGCTCATGGATAGCTGGGTGTAGACAGCACTGCCACAGCTCTGTGAGGACAGCAGAGGCTAAACATCAGAGGGCACACACTCTGCCACATCTGTTCCACCTCTCAGCCTGGCTGAAACGTGCCAAAATAGCCCCCAAACTGGAAAAAAGGTAACACAAAGGGGGATAAATTCTGCTGGATAGGTGTGTTAGGCTGAGGGATAGGAGAAAAGAAGGTAAAGAGGGCAACCTGCAAAACTGTCCCATCTTCTGGCATTTCCAGATGTTTCTATTCTTGAGAACTGATCTCTGAAGGCAGCAGCAGTGGGAGTGTGGCTGGACATGACAAAGAGCAGTGCTGGGGAATTGGGCACCACAAGAGAGCCAGGGACAGACCCTGGGTGCACAAAGCACCAGGGCACAGTGGATTGTAGGGGCCCAAAAGTGAGTGAGGAGCACAGGACCCATCCCTGGGTCTGGAGATGTGGGGTGGGACTCGTTCCCCCAACACAGCTGCAGAAACCAGCAAGAAATAGTTGCCCTCAAGCTGCAGTCCAAATAAGCACAGTTGGCTGATCATTCAGCTCATTGACGTTCATATCTAAATATAAAGACATATTTTTTTATGAGAAAATTGCTCCTATTTTTTTTTTCCTCTGAAGAAAAATACAACAGAAGTAGTCCCAAGTTTTTCAGCTGCACAGATATAATTATACCACTTAAATTCTCTGATGCAGGGGTGCAGGGAAAATATGACTGCAGAGATCTGAAGGGTGCTGTTGCTATGGTGCTTTCTGAACTGGGATGTTTCTTGGCTCCTGAAATGTTAAACACTTAAAAAGGCAGCTTATCATCTCAAGTTTTCTTAAAGACCTACGAGAGCCCATGAGCTAAGATTCTGCATTAACCCTCAGATGAAGCTGGAAGGAGCTGGTAAGAGATGAGGAGCTACAATGAGTTTAAGAAAATTGTGGCCACTTTTTCCTCCTGCCACCCCACCAACAGAGAGGGGGAGAAAGGAAGGGCCACCAAAGTGGCTGTGGCTTTTTTGGCTTTACATGACCTGGAAAGAAAGGCTGGGACAGCAGTGCTTGCTCAGCTGGGTGAGGAGGAGGAGTCACAGCAGCCCACAAGGGCTTGAAGGAAACCTACAAGAGGACAAACCCTTTTTGGTGGTGCCAGACAGGGCAGAGGAGGAAGAAATGGAGAGCGGGAAAAACATGCGAATTCCTGCTTAGGAGGTTAGGGCTGGCCTTTGGGAAAAGGTTTTTTTCTCCAGAAAAGTGGTGCAGCAGTGAAAGGGACACTCAGAGAGCCCGTAGAGCCCAAACCAACCCATCTCATTCCCACAGCCTTGTGGCATTTTGGGGCAGAGAAACAGCCACGCTGTTTCTGCGTGCTCCTGTGGGCCCGGGGCTGGGTGATGGCCTTACCTTCGGGGATTTCCCCGTGGTTCTCGTCCTGGTCCAGGTGTAGGATGCTGGGGCTGAGGCAGCCGTAGGCCTGGCGCAGCAGGCAGAACATGTTGGCCTGCCAGGGCGGGTGCAGCCTGGAGAAGAACTGCTCGTACTCCCTGTCTGACAGCGCGCTGCCTGGCACGGGCGCCGCCGGCGCTGCCACTGCGGCCCGTGGCACGGCCAGCAGTGTGCCTGCGGGACAAACACACCTGGGCTGGCATGGCATGGCACGGCATGGCATGGCATGGGACGGGGACAGGCGGCTGGAGGTAAAGGAGCAGCTGGCAGGTTGCCCTGCTCCGGTCCGCTGGCACAGCGTGCTGGGACAAACACTTCAGATGCTGGCCTGAAGTGTCCCTCCATCAGCCCTGCCTGCAGGGTGCTGGGGTAACCAGGAGCCCCAGGGAAACGGGGCCATAAGGAATAAAAAGGAAGGGAAAAATCCAAAAATCTTTAAAAGGCAGATTTTATTGTGAGCTTGGTTTGGACTGGGGGGAAGTGGGGAAGCATTTCGATTTTGGTTTTGTTGTTTCCCTTTTATGTGTGTGTGTGTGTTTGTGGAGGGAGGTTGAGTTTTCTGGTGTGGTTTTGTTTTTGCTTTTGTTTGTTTGGGGGTTTTTTGGGGGGGGGTGGTGGTGTTGATGTGCTTTTTTTTTATTTTTCCCCTGAAAAGCCCCAGCCTGCAGAGGCACCCACAGTGGTGGAGGCTCCCCTGCCCCCTACAGCACCACGCTATGGGCACATCCCTGTCCAGGGCGACTCCCTCCATCTCCTCCCTCCGCTCTCTGCCTCCGGCCGGGCCCCCTCTCCTGCTGCCTCCGCACCATCCTCTGTCCCCCCCTAAGGCCCCACAGGAGCCTGCAGCTGTCCCGGGCGGGCAGAGCTGGGGCGGCAGGGGGACTCCCTCCCCTCTCCTGCTGCCTCTGGCTGGGTCCCCTCTCCTGATGCCTCCGCACCGTCCTCTGTCCCCGGCTAAGGCCCCACAGGAGCCTGCAGCTGTCCCGGGCGGGCAGAGCTGGGGCGGACATGGCCTGAGGGTGGTCTTGTGAGCCAGGGGCTGGGCCAGCAGCAGCAGCAGCAGGGCTCCGGCCGCGGGCTCTGGGCAGTCACTTACTCAGTAGCCAGAGGAGCCATTTGGTGTGTGCCACTCGCTTCGGCATCGTGGAGCTGCTCGGTGGCCAGGCGGGAGTCACTCACAGCGCGCAGGAATTCCGAGCGCTCGGGTTCTGCCCTTGGCAACGGTGGAACCATTCCCGGGCCGCGGCCCCGCAATGGGAACCGGCCCGCCGTGTGGGGCTGGGCCGGCCTGCCCGCGGCCCGGGGCACACGCCGGGCCCCTGGGGACAGGGAGGAGCGGGAGCCAGGCTGCGGGGCACCGTGGTGGCTGGGAACGACCCACAACAGCGTTTGGGGCCTGGCCAGGCTAACCTGAGGCTGAGGGTGCCCCAAAAATGGCACCCGTGGGGTACCTTAAACCCCAGATTGTTTTATGCGGGGAAAGGAGGCAGTATCTGTTCCATCCGCAGGGGTTTGGGAAGCACCCGTGCCTTCCCGGGAGTGTCCCAGCTTGCTTCAGGGTGCGGTGGGAAGCTGGCTTGATCTCTCCCACTCGATGAACTCCCGGGGAGCAGCAGCTGCTCTCCCTCTGCTTCTGCCCTGAGCACTCTGTGTGCACAGTAAAGCCTTCCCAGGAAAAGCAGGAGGATTGCTGCCGGCAGAAAGGGTTTGGGGACCACCAGCGCAGAGCCTGAGGACTGACTGTGGGGCGGCCCCACAGCCGTGCCCGTTCCTCGGTGCCGGGACAGCCGAGGTGCAGGCACGGACACCGCAGCCCTCACGGCCGGGCACCTTGCGGTGCCGCGGGCAGCGAGCACGGCTGAGCCGCTGGCAGGAAAACGCTTGGCACAGCAGCTCCGGGAAGTGCAGGCGTAAGCAGAAGCCAAGCTGGCACAGCAGCCTGTCACCCCTGGCTCTGCGGAGCCGAGGAGGGGCTGCGGGCGAAGCGGGCAGAGCTCTCAGCTGCAGGCTCCGCTGCAGACGCTCCGGCTGCCGTGGCCAGGCTGACACATCGCCTGCCACAGCCCTGCGCGCAGGAGCCGCCTGTGCCGCAGGCCCGGGAGGTCGCGGCCGCTCTGCCGTGCGGAGCAGCCGCAGGGCGCTGCGGACGCTCCGGCTGCCGTGGCCAGGCTGACACATCGCCTGCCACAGCCCTGCGGCCACTCGGGCCCGCGAGGTGACAGCTCAGATCGCTGCAGCCAGCGGTCTGGTAAAAAGGTGTGTGCTGTCCGCACGCAGCTCTGCGGGGCCTGGCAGGGGACGAGCTGCGGTTTGCTTTAAGGTGTCTTGGTGGAAAGTAGCGCTTCTTTCTGAGGAGCTGGAAGCCTGACCATTCAAAAACAGCACTCTGAATTTTGAATGCTTTTGCAGCTCTTTAGGAAAACAATGATCAGGAGAGTTTTTCCAGCTAGCTCTTGCTACCCATATTAAAACAGGAAACACTGCTGGAGCTTGAATATTTTTGGCAGCTCCTAGCCTTCCATTACTTAGCTTGAGACATATTGCTTATTAGCTGATTTTAAACCATTGCAGGGCCTTCAGCTCCCTAGCTCTGTTAATCACCTCCACTTCTCTGCAACGAAGGAGCCAAGGCTGAGCTCTGTCACCTTGATTGAGGAGCTTCCCAGAGAAGTTCAGTGCTGACCTCACTGGCTGATGGAAATGTGGGACTAAGGAAAGCACACTGATGTGGCGTGCCATAGAATCATAGAATGGTTTGGGTTGGAAGGGACCTTAAAGATCATCCAATTCCAGCCCCCCTGCCACAGGCATGGACACCTCCCACTAGAACAGGTTGCTCAGGGCCACATCCAGCCTGGCCATGAACCCTGCCAGGGATGGGGCATTCAACACTTCTCTGGGCAATGCCACATGGTGTTATTGATATCTGGCAGGTGCTGGTTACTCTGCCTGTGTCTTCACGTGCCAGCAAGAGATTTATTTTCCTGAGAACAGGAAGCAAGAACGAATGCAAAAGAAGGGGCAAAAGAGGGAGTGCCCCTTGGCTGGTGCTCTGGCAGCAATGCCTGTGGGGAGCTGCTGTTTATTTGGAAAGGTGGTTACGGATGTGAGGACATGCTGGCTACCCAGAACTTCTCATGCACTGTGGCACGTCCTGGACGTGGTTCAGGTTGTCAGAATCCTTCAGAAAACTCGTAGTCCACAAGTGGACTCTACAGAAGCCAGCGAGTCTCTGGCATGCAGCCAGCAGGGTTGGGAGGCTGCGAGAGCAGGAGGCACTGCTGTGCTGTTTGATGAGGCGTGTGCCAGCTGGCTGTGGGGCACCTGCATTTCAAGTCTTTGCAAAACCAAAGTCATCTCTGGGGGAGGGAAGGGGAGGGGAGGAACAGCAACTTGTACACGATGCATCAATGCTGCAGGTTGGGGGAAGTCTACTCCCTACTGCTGCATCAAGCAATTACAGTTGTCAGCAATGCGGAGCACGGGGGTGATGCTAATTCCAGTGTTTCTGATTTCTGAGGGCTCACTTGGCACCTTTAAGGCTGTACCCTTGATGGCGCATTGCAAGCTGTGTAATTTTTTGCAGTGAAGCAGATTTGCACCCTTGTTTTCAGGGCTGCCACACGGCAGAGTTTCCTGCAGCCAGTGTTCCTGTGCCAGCTGGGACACAGCGGGCTGAGGGACACAGCTGTGACCCCCAGGCCTATGGAGTCCTGAGCCAGCAGCAGGGAGAGGCAACAGCGGGACAAGAACTCACTGGAGTGGTGTTTTCCATGTTAATATCCAACTGCATGTCAACCCTGAGCTTTGTAAGAGCCTGTCTGGTTTGTGAGGGACCACCCTTCAGCAGAGGAGTTTCTCTTCCTTGCTGTTGTCTCAAGTGCTTTGGGTATTTCTCAGCATTTTCTGTGCTGCACCAGCAGCAGCATCAATGACTGAAAACCTCTCGGAAGCTCCAGGACTGTGGCTCACAGAGCTGTGTCAGCACAGTGAGTTAAACCGGGGGGTTTGGGGCAGGGAGAGGATGTCTGGTCAGCTGAAAACCCCATAAAGCTGGAGGCCACAAAGATTAGGTGTGCATTCCAGTGGCTTGTCAAGCAGCATCCCCAGAAAGCATGTGTCTTAAATTTCAAATGTGAGCAGAGATGATAGAAAAATGCTTCCAAACCCAGCTGGATGTGTGTTGGTAGAAATTAAACAGCAGGCTGCTCAGGGAGGAGGCCATGAACAGCTCTGCTTGTGTCGATGTTGGGGTGGTCTCAGGAAGGGTGGACAGAGCCCCCGGGACACGCCAGGTTGTGCATTCCTGGCAGCGCACCAAAGGAAGGTGTGGTGCCTCCGTTCCCTAAAACACACACCTGAGGGAGCAGGCAGAGAAGGGGGACACTCACTCTGCTCACACAAGGATTTGCACAGTCTGAGGACACTCAGCAGAGGGGACAGCCCTGCCAAGAGCCCCCAGGCCAGCACAGAGCAGACAGGCAGAGGGCCCCTTCCCAGTCAGCACTAACTCTTCCAAACACTTCTCCAGGATGCCAGGGCTGGACACCTTCACCCCGTGGGAAGGGCTGTAGGTACCAGCCCCTGCAGAGCAGGGCACAGATGCCCATCTGCACAGGCAAAAGCACCTGGGAGTGTTCTGATTCAAACCAAAATTCTCTAAATTGCTGACTTTATTCACAGGTTAAATCATCTTCATTCTGCATTTGTACTTTATTTCGGTGGGTTTACTGTCATTGGCTGAGACCTATGAGAATATGCTGATAAATATAGACTTTACATTAAAATTGGCACTCTTTTTAACCTGGTAGATATGTTAATCTATTCACATTTGTACAAGCACCGCACAGTTATAACGTGCATTAATTCAAATACTTAATTTACATTTTATTTTGTTAGGAAATAGTGAATGAAGCATTTTTTACTTGACATTTAGAAAATGGAATATTTAATTGATTGCAAAAACAGCATTTAAAAATGGTTTCTTGAATTATTAATACAAACTAAAATGGAGTGGATACATAAAAGCCTGCTTGAACAAACTGCTGTAGCCTTTTTAGGCAGGTTTGTTTCATGCAAGAACAACCTGATCCAACCACAATTTTATCCCTAATGTGAGCAGGGGCCTGGACTACAAAGCTCCAGAGAGGCTTCTTCCCACCTCAGTCTTTCTGTGGTGAGTAAATGAATTCTTCCAATGACTGCATCATTCAGGCTTTCAGAACAAGGAAATGCCAAGGTCTCACACTTCTTTTCCTTGCTTGTTGTCAGTGTGTAAAAAATAATTCCTCTCCTACTCCCAGATGGGGTTTCAGTTTTGAGTGAGTTGTTTCTTCAGTGGCAGCAACCCAGCCCACTGAAATTAAGTTGCACACCTGCAAAAACAGACCGAAGGGGACACCTTGCTGAACATTTCTGTCACACCAAGACGGAGGAGCTTAGTGTTTGTCACAGCTTTGCCTGTCCTTAAGCCTTGGGCACAAATGTGTTTTTCTAAAACTAACACTCCTAGTTTCTTTTATGTATTCAGAAAAATAAACATAAATTAGCATAAATTAATCAAGATGTTTGACTATTTTTATAAATGAAATTCATTTTATTGGATAAAAACAGCTTTATTTCTTCTTATACTGTAAGTAATAGGAAGCAGAGTTGGAGAAACTTCCTTCAGTTGTCTTTGGAAAGAAAGGTAGGACATTTCATTTCCTTCTATTAGTCTTTAACTCTTTCAGTGCTGCAGAAACTCTCCCTTGCCTACAGCCAGGTCTTTAGAGCAGATGTTGCCACTCAGGCTCTCAGTGTCTTCACACTGGCAGGGAGAAAGTAGAGCTGTGGTTGATTATAAAAAGAAAAACAGCTCAGAATTTTTCAAACCAGGCAGGTCTGAGACGAGATGGGCTTATTTTGAGTCTGTATGAGCAAGCTGTCTCTTGGGAATGTCTTCCACTGCCAACTTGAGACCTCTGGGCCGATTTGGGCAACATTTGACTTGAGTATACGTGACAGTGACAGTGTCCACCACACAGCCCTGGGTGCTGGCTAGGTCAGTAGTACCTTAAGAGTGCTTAAAGAGAGGCTGGGTGTTGCTGAGCTGTGGGGTGAGTTTACTCACAAGCAGGAAAGGAAGGTGGTGGAAACTGAGTCGTGGCTGGGATGGCTTCCATGCCACGGAGATGGTGGTGGCAGAGCCTGAGGGACGGGAGCCTGAGGAGCACATCTGCTCCTTGGAAAGGGGAATACATTGCTGAATGTCCTCGTCAGCAGATTTGCCCAGCTACTCAGGAAAGATGCCCACAGATGGGGCAATCAAACTGGGCAAGATAAATTGGTCGTTTGTGTGCAGGACCAATTATTATTAATAAATGGGCTTAACAAGGCTGCAAAATTCTTCCCTCTTGTCACGCTCTATGGCTTCAGCCTCCTGAAACTCAGACTTGACTTCACTCATCAACTAGGATATTTCCAATCACTCTAAAAGGGCAATTTCTCCAGCACCGTTTTAGAAAGTGTTTATGTTGCACTGACAGCTGTTCCAGGAAATCTGCAAGCTAGCCAGTTCTGTAACAGAGTTCATGATTACTTTAACTGAGTATATCCCTGCTTTAAGCACTTCAATTCTAGGAGAAGTAAACTTCTCAGATCCCATTACCACTACAGTGATCCAGGTAACTATTAACAAGGATCTTAAAAAAAAAAATCAAGTAATTTTTGACAGATTTTTTTGGCAACTTCCCATCAAACTGATTTTATTTTGTTGACGTGGATTTCTTGCTTGTTTTAGAGAGAAGCAATTTACTGCCCCGCTGTTCCAGTATTTCACATCTGGACTGTTGTGGCAGCCTTCTTGACATCATTAAGGACCAAAAAAGAGCTGGCCCTTTTCCAGCCTCATAGGTTTTCCTGAGCAGACCAGAGTCTGACAGAGATCAACCCACAGATGCCTCCGGGTGGCTTCCACAGGATGACAAACATCATTTATTGAGGACTGGTGATCAAAAAAGTCTTTGCCCCAAGAGGTGCCATTTAAAACCCTTCTTTACTGTTTGCCTAGGAAGTACACCATCCCCATATGACACCAGCACCAACACAGAATAAATATTTACAGAACACTTCCCCTCCTCTCATTACAAACAATTCTGCTATCTGCAGTCAGTAATGGACAAGTGCCATGTTCAATTATATCAAAAACAAAAGACATTCTAAAAAAAGCTGCTCATGTTTCCAGCCTTGTCACTTACAGGCTTTGTTCCTACTGGCTTCATTTTTGTACTTTGTATTTTCTAGCTTCTACTGGTTCTTTTCCTCCTCTGCTGATTAAATATTGCACAGCTATTGCCCTTATTCCCTCTCTTCCAAGGTTAGCTTTTAATGTGCTTTCATTTGCATTTATACTTGCAAGCCATTTAAAAATGCCCAGGTTTTATCCAAATTTTGGTCGAAGTTGTCTCACTGTGCAAGTCAGAGCATTCCCTCAGTGGCAGCAGAAGTCCCTGGAATGCTCCTGGCTGCTGGCTAGTTCTTCAAACCCCTCTCTGGCCCACAGTTCCTAGAGAGCTTGCTGCTAATGCTGGCCATTAAATCCCGTGTCCTATCCATGGAAACCAAGCTGCTTGGAGCAGTTTCCATCCTTCATCAACCCTGCCCGGGTCCTATCCATGGAAACCAAGCTGCTTGGAGCAGTTTCCATCCTTCATCAACCCTGCCCGGGTCCTATCCATGGAAACCAAGCTGCTTGGAGCAGTTTCCATCCTTCATCACCCCTGCCCAAAGCCCATTTTCCAATTCACACCTCATCCACCGTTTCTTCTGTCAGTTGAGCACCAGTGGATGTCCGAGTATCCCCAGCTGAAGAGATGAGTTCTGCCACAGCCTGCTCTCCCACTGGATCAGGGCAGAGTCTCCCTGCTACTAAAACCATACCAGAGACACAGCCAACACCTTCCAGAATTTGCTTCACCTCTCTTTATGAAAGGAAGCCCCAGGAAGTGGTGTAATAAAATCTGGGGATTGAGATTCAGGCTGTGGCAGGGGTATTACAAACCATGTAAGCCACAGCCTGGGGAAGAACTCATCCTTTTTTCTGTGCAGAATGAACAGAAAAACAGAATGAACATCCCTTCTTGAGGCAAAAGCAGAGACTCACTCCGTGCTAACTCACTTGAACAGAAAATAACACCAGCTTCTGAGCTGAGGGCTGCAGGGTCCCCGTGCAGTGACATGGTGGGAGTAGCACTGATCTTAACCCACACTGTCCTCTAAACCCGAGCAGAGCTTTGGCTTCATAACTAAACCAGCAAAATCCTGCATGGATCCTCATACAAGTAATTTGGGTGAGGAAAACATTCCATGTTTCAGGTGAAAGGTTTAAACCTTCCTGATGAGCAGACCACAAGGAGGAAGACTTGGTTTGTCAGTCTCCAGGCTGTGCCAGTGGAATTCATAAAGAGGAGCTTCAGTATGGGCCATCTCCTCACAGCTATCTGCAGACACTACAGACCTTCAGACTGCAGACTTCTGGAATTGTTTTGGAGCCTAATGTTATGTTAGGAACAGCAGGCAGAGTTTCTGGCAACGAGGTGATTGTGACCTTCTGGGAAGCAACCTATCTGGAAAACCTATCCACCTTCTTGGAGACACGGAACATCAGGAAGAGTTTCTGGCAGTGAGGTGATTGTGACCTTCTGGGAAGCAAGCTATCAGCATGTCTGGAAAACCTATCCACCTTCTTGGAGACACCGTGGTTTGTCCTGATGGCTCATCTTCTCAGCTGTGCTGCCCAACAGACAGTGAGGGTCGGCCTTTGCCACCTCCACTCCTCCTCATTTAAGAGAAGGCAACTGATGAAGTAAATGATCAAACAACAGTGGGAATAAATGTTCACCTTCCTGTGAGGGCCTGACTGCAGGGGCAGGTATTTTTCACAGCCACCAGAAAGCTCAGAAGCTTTCTGCAAGTACATTAGGTACATTTTCAAGCCTGACTTATGCAGAATGTCACTTTTTAGGGACAGGACTGCTGCATGAAAAAGCTGTACCACATTCACCATTTATAGAAGAGAGAAAGAAAAACTAGAGAGACCAATTGCTGCAGTTTATTTTGGAGGTGACATCAAGGCAAACAGAGCATTGGTTTCAATGAATTTTATTTCATTCTGTATTATACAAGTGGGATCTGAATCCCCAAACTTCCCACCATCAACGTCATGGAGAAGCACTGCTACACAAGAGGAAGGCAGAATTTTGAAGCCGGAAGACAGACTGGACCAAGCTGTTTCTCCCCACGTGGTCAGAAATTCTTCCTCCTTCACACAGTGTGCTTCCCAGACCAGCAGGTTTACCCCAGGAATAAGAGAGACAAAGCTAGCTCTAAACATCCCTCTGCCTCCTCCTCTCCCCAACAAAAGAGGCTGCCCAATGCCAGCAGTGGAATGGTTAAAGACAGGGAGCACATCAGGTTTTCAGTCTCTCAACCAGCCCACTAGATTAAGAAGTAGCCTGGTTACTCCCTCTCTCCTGAAAAAGATCCAGGAAAATGAATGACCTAAAATGCTGAAGACTTACCTCCTTTCCTTCCCCCATCCCATAGCCTTGTTCTCTAAGCAGAGAACAGGCAATGAACTCTGAGGAGGCTGAAGGAAAGCCAAGGAAAATCAGGGGCTACCTGAATCCCTGGGAATCTGGTGGCTACCCTGGTGCCCTCATTCATTCCCTTTGAGGTTCAGAGACCTGTTTGGAACAGTACACAGAGAGGGCCTCCCTTAAGGACTCAGAAGCAACCAGGGATACAGAACACACAGGAACCACCGTGAGGGTACACACCATTCCAGGGATGGCCCAAACCACAAACAGGGCAAGACTTCCCTTCAGCCATGGCCCCAAGGGCTGGGGGAACTGGGACGAGGCCCTGGCAGGGGGAAGAGAGCTCCTGCAGCAGTACTGAGGTCTCATGTCAATTTACTTCTTCTTCCTCTCCTGGGAACAGCGAGGGCAGAACCTGTTAGAAAGGGAAGTACAAAGCCAAACTTAGGGCATGACATGAGCCTCAAGTGCATGGTCCCAAAAGACCTTTTCCAAGGTCCCTGACAAAGCCTTAATTCAAATTTTCCTTTTAATGGTATCTTCTAAGTGTGTATATACAGTACTTTTCCCCCTGCCACCAAGGGCCTCCCCTTTCCAAAGGTCAAATGGGCCCCCCAGGCTGCTTCACTCACCATTTTCCTCTTGGTTTTGTTGTCAGACCCACACAGGCAAAATGAAACCATTCAATGGAACACTGTTGGGACGAAGAGCAGCCAGTTAAAGAGCAGTTTCCCTTTGAAGTCGTTGCTTTTGGGCTACCAGAGTTTCCCAGCATTTAATCACAAACTCCAAAATCCCTAGCAGTGATCAAGGATTGAATATTCACACCCAACCTACACACTGTTAGCAAGGAGAACTTCCCTTCTCCCATGCTAAGTTTAGGGACAAGAAAACAATTTAAGGAAAGCCCTGAAGAGGGAGGCACTTCAGAGGCCATTGCCAGCCACACCTCTGCCCATCCCAGCTACCTCTCCTTGTCACTGCCTGCTGTCCCAGGGCCCACCCCAGCAGGACAAGACTTTCCATGCAAGACTCATCTCCACTCCGTTCCCCCCACTGCCACCATCATGTGCAGGCTCTTACATCTGGGTTGTCACAGCCAATCATCTCCCCATAGGAGACCTGGTGGCAGAGGCAGTAAGTGGGCTCATTGGGGTCCACGGGCATATCCAGCACATCCGAGGGGTGCACGTTTCCAAAGGTGACAGAAGGCATCCCATACTCTGTGCTCCTGCAGGACAGGAATAAAGTACATCAGCAAAGTGACTGGCTTTGAGAGCCTTCGTGTGTCCCTTGTCTGCCAGAGACAGGTACTTCTCTTAGTTAAGTACATACACCCAGGGGGACCTGCTTTCCCCTTCAACCCACACTCCCCTGAAAGAATAAGAAAGCTTCCTTCCTCTTGCTTCCCAAGAAGGGACAGAGGACACACAGTTCCAGTCTGGGGATCTCAGGGAAGCCTGGCTAGGCCTGCCTTGGTCTGATTTCTGGTGCTGCTTCTCATTCCCTCAAGTCTCTTAAACACTCACGTGCGGACGAGCTTCAATTTCTTTTGGGCAGTTTTTGGTGCTTCCTCATCAGAGTTTTTCCCTTTGGAGCGAGCGCGGGCAGCTTTTTTCTCTTTCTGGGCTCGGCCCTCTGGCAAGAAGAGAAAAAGGTGTTGCATCTGTCACCCCACCAGAACAGACACCTGACAGTGACAACCTCTGCAGCACTAAAATACACTCCTGCTTTGGAATGTATACTGGCTTTGGGCCGTGCACCCCATCTGAATTTATCTAGCGGCCTTGAATACGCTCACACAAGAAGAGCCCAGTCACCATCTTTTTACCTGTCCTTCAGACTCCAGCGCAACAGTCTTTGATCTGCACCACTCCAGAGCCTGCCTTCATCCCCACCACTTCCACAGTCACTCGGCTGCCTCCTGAATCAATCTGCAGCCCAGTGGTGGTACTCACTCTTCTTGCCCTTGCTGGAAGAGCTGTCATAGTCACTCGACTCTATCTGCTTCTCCTTCAGGTCTGCTTCAAAGCGGGCGAGGTCTGTGTCCAGCCGCCGGATGTGCTTATCGACCTGCAGGGACAGCAGAGCCCAGGGGTTACCACAGGACAGAGCCCAGGAAGGCAAAGAGAGCACAAAGAGGGGAAAAAGGGGCAGGGGGCCCTTATTAAGCCCACTAAAGACTTAGGCCAACTAAAGAGCCGAGGAGCAAGAGTGGGCATGGCCTAAAAATGAGAGATCAGGGCCTTCTGAGATGGGTGGCTTTAGTCTGGGCGCTCACATGATAAGCACGAGACACTTCCCTTCATACCATCTCGTAGGTCTGCATAGCCAGCTGAACCTTGTCGTCCCCAAACTCCTTGCACTTTCCATAGGCCTCCTGGATTTGCTTGAGAAGCCCCAGTTTTTCCTCTGAAGACAAGGTCCGTGCATTGCTGATATACTCCGTGGCCAACTTATCGATCTCTGACTTGAGGTCTGAAACAAGTGAGCCATTAAATACACAAACACCACGCACACCACACTGCCCTCCACCAGGAGAGACTGAATGGCTGGAGCAGCTCCAGGCCTCCTCCCCTGCCTGGAGATCCCCATGACAAAGGCAAAGCAGAGCAAAGCTGGTCAAGCCACATACTCCTTGTCTTGCCAACAAAACCATCCCTGATGCTCACCTTCTGTCCTCTGATCCAGATCTCGCATGAGCTGGAAGTTTCTCTGTAATTCAAATGGCAGGTTCTCAATACCTGCAGAGAAAGGACAACACATGGAGAAATCAGGCTCTTGTCCACGATGCCAAGGCAGGAACAAAGCTAACCAATAACATACACATCAGCCTGCTTCCATTTGGTGCTGGCCCCAAGGGAGACAGGCTACAAAAACGTGATATATTTAATGCAGAAGCATAGTTCTAGAATACATATTAGTTAGAAGAAAACTGCTGCCACGCAGAAAGGTCCACACTAAGAAAGCAGAAACCCAAAATCTGTAAAGAAAGCAGAAACCCAAAATCTGTAATGAGTGTCAGTCATTATAATACAACGTCTCCATCCAAAAATTCCACTCAGTAACGAAAAAACCACCCCAACAGCTGGTAAATAAAGCCATTTAGTTACTTCTACACAAGGATGTAAAAATTAAGTTGATCAAATGCCAATTCACTGAAAAGTGAGTCTGTTTAATGCATTCTTGTAACATACAGGGGTCCATAGACACTTTGGGCAGAGCAAAGATCAAGTCTGAGATGGGATGGGGAACAGAGAGCAGTCTTAACCCCTCGTGACTTGTAACTTGTTGTGCCTTCTGCACTGTCATCTCAGTGTGGTGTGTCCAACACCTGGAAGGATGCCACACACTGTGAATAATAAATGTTTGTAGGGCTCTGAATGAGCAATGTGAAGTTGATAGTCAATTAATTTTCAATGCACTATGCTACTCACCCCCCAGGCATCACCAGATGCTCAACTGGCAAAGCTGGTAAAAACAATTCTCATTTTTCCATGCCTGTCTAATCAAAATGAGATCTAGTGTCACTGCATTAACCTGAAGTCTAAGCTTGATTATTGTCACCTTTATAGCTAATAAAAATAATAAATCTCTCTTGTAGGCTTAAAAAAGAAGGTCTTGGGGAAAGCTCTTCACAAACACAAGAGAAGCACATCTCAGCTTCCTGAACTCGCTCTGCAGCTCACATGGAGTGCATCACCAAAGCCATCCAACACATCAGTCCAGGCAGCAATCTCTATTTTCCCTGCACATATTTCTACAGCAATGAATGCCTTTCCACTTCCCTGAAGAGCAACCAGTTGACAGGGAAGGTTCTGTAGGCAAGAAGAAGGTTTTAACAAGTTTTAACAAGTACTACATAACAGGATGTGAAATTAATTCCTATAAGAGATAAAGCCAACTATGGGCCTTGCTGAGCAGTGAAGTTGTTCCTTTTACTTAGACTTTTGCCCAAACAGCATTATAAGAAGTTACATGCACAGTACTTAGGAGCAATCAAGCTGCTGCTTCAACAGATTTCTGTTGCCATTTCTGATGTAGTTACCTGAGAAATGCTCAGACAGTAGGTGTCCTTAAGTACCCAGACACATAATCCATAGCACATGCACATCACCCCTGCATTCAAGGACAGTTAGCAGGGCAAATTCAAATTCTGAAAAATTAGTAAGTGGCAAAATTAAATCTGTAGGCACATCCCGAATTGGATACTTCCATGTTTGTTCAGCACGACAGACTTCACACAAGGTTTAAGCAGCTGATACCGGATTACGTCCCTGTGGTCCGAAAAAGCATCTCAGAACACGACGGGGACACAATGCTGAAAATTATTATTGCTTATAGAGGGAGCTTATGGCAGGGATGAAATTCAGCTTGGGAATCTAGAGACCATGCCTTCTTCCCTCCTGCAATCCCCAGCCTCATCAACTCTAAACCTTTCAATTTACACAGCAAATGAAACATGGGTCATACTGCAGCACGCTGCTTTTCATTCCTCTCCAAAGCGCCCGCTGCAGAAGACAAGACAGGTATCCTCTAGAGGAAAACAGAAGCTCTTCCTGCACTGCACACAATATGTCAAATTTATATTGAGTTTATTAATCCTGGAAGATCACAGCTTCTAAATTCTGGACTTTGTGGTTTTTAGAAAAGATTAATGTAATTTCTTTTTCTCTTCTGAAAAGGACAGATGGTAAAAGCACAAATTCCACCAGGTACTGTCAGCTTTCCCTCAGCAGGGCTAGAAACCTTTAGACAGAGCAAGCTCCTGAACCAGCACAAAAACCAGTAGGATGCTACCATGAGGGCAGAACAACCCCACATGAGGTTAGGGTCACATTTCACAGTGATATTCTTGCACCAGGAGAAACTCAAGCAGGAGTTTGATTCAGCTACACAACCTGAAAAGAACCGTGCTCTAGTTTTTACAGCCATCACTGTAAAAATCTGCCACCACCACTGATGCCAGCACATGCCCTCGTCTGCACATCTGTCTGTCTTTCTTTTGCCTCAATGTGCTTTGTCTGTTCAGCCTGTGCCCCCACCCTGAGAGCCCCTCTCTCCCCAGAGGCTGCTCCCCTCAGTGCCAGCCCCTCAGTGGCTCCCTGCCTCATTCCCTGCCTGGTTTCCTGCCTCCAGGTGTGCAGAGCCCCCTGCTCCCGGCAGCTCTCGCAGTGTGGCGAGGGCTGTCACCTGCCTCTGGTCCTGGCTGAGCAAATGCTCAGCTCAGGCACCACGGGCAGATCATTTATGCACATCTGAGCCATGATCTTCCAGAGGCTCATTAGCTGGGCAGGCTTCCACTGGGGCTGACGAGACAAACCCCTGCCAGTTGAATTCCTTCCCTGCTAAAACCAGCAAAATGATTTCCTAAAACCACAGCAAAACATTTCACTCTGCAAATCTATTATTGGACAAATGTTCTGCCACTGCTTCGTCAATAAATGGAGAAAATGAAACAAGTGACAGTACAGTGACTTTATAATCAGAACTGCTACAAAGATACTTTATCTATCTGTTCAACTGAACGTGGAAGGAAGATGAGCAGACCATTACAAATTATGATCCAGAGAGAATCTGGCAATAACAAAAAGCATAACAAGATAAAGCTGCAGATAAGCAAGTTATAACTGAGCAACAAACTATTTGTATGGTACATAACTTAATCTAGCTGTGGGGATGTTTTCTACTATCTGCAGCTTAACTCCAAAGCTCTTGCATAGCCTTAAACAGAAGTGACTCTGCATCACAGAATTTATCACAGGGGCCAGAACACTTGCAGAAATTGCTTGACCTGTGCTGTGCTGGCTACCAGACATTATCACTCTCTAAGTGCCATTAAAAAAAAATTAGATTTGAGTCTCCATTTCCTCATTCCTACCACCACACTTTTCCTCACTATTTCTAAAAAAAATATTCATGTTATTTATGTAATTTCATTTCCTCCTGCTTTTCTCCTTTTTTCCCTCTACAATTAATTTTGCTCTTTCATCTTAGTAAGATTCACTTAAAATCATGATGACTAAATACTATGTATCATAAAATACCCACGTAATTCTCAGATTATGAAACTGATAATTGTAAAGAAAGAACACCCTAGAGGCATCTTTGATCGCTTGAGAAGAGTGATGATATGCAACAACAGACAGAAAAATAAGGAAAAGCAAGACCCTCTTTCCACACAAACGGCACAGCAGCAGGAGAGGAACAGGATGGTGAAAACACACAGGGAATAAAGTGCTAGCAAGGCCAGCAGCCTGGCCCAAAGCATGGGCTGGCATTAATGCAACTGTGTCACAGAATCACAGAATGGGCAAGCCTGGAAGGGACCAAGTGGGTCACCTGCTCCAACCTCCCGGCTCATCCCAGAGCACGTGGCACAGGATTGCCTCCAGAGAGCTCTGGAATATGTCCAGAGAGGGAGACAGCACAACCTTAGTGGGGGAAATCTCTTCTGGTGCTTGGTCACCCACTTAGTAAAGAAGTTCTTCCTCATTTTCAGTGGAACTTCCTGTGCATCAGTTTCTGCCTCGTGTCCTAGCGCCTGGCAGCCCTGAGAGGAGCCTGGATCCACCCTCCACACCTCCCTGCAGGTACTTAGACACTGATGAGCCCCCTCTCAGACATCCCTTCTGGAGGCTGAACAGGCCCGGCTCCCTCAGCCTTTCCACACAAGAGAGATGCTCCAGTCTCCAAATCATCCTCATTCCCCTCTGCTGGACAGGCTCCAGGAGCTCCATGTCTCTCTTTAGTGAGGAGCCCAGAACTGGACACTGCACTGCAGAGGAGCCTCTCCAGGGCTGAGCAGATGGGCAGAGTTCCTGCCTCAACCTGCTGGCAAGGCTTTTCCCACTGGACTCACTGCACAGATCCATACAGAAGCTTGGTGCAGCCCCACTGATTCCTCTCATGGTCTGATTATCCTGAAAATTACCGGTGCAGCTCTCTCTGTGAATTTTTTTCATCCCTTCCTTTTCTTACCTCGTTTTCATTTCTGATCACAAGCTAAAGTCTCTACCTACCTTCATCTTTTCTCTCCTCTAATGTTATCCCCCCACTAAGCCCATTCTTCTTTCATCTCTTTCACTCTCCTCTTTCCTCGTCATTCTTTTCCCTGTTCATTCTTCCACAGGCATCCATGACCATGCTGTCTTCTCCCTTCAGAACCACGCACTCTCTCTCCAAAAATCAGAATCCAACACCACTTTTTTCCCTCTCCAATAATTATTATTTTATTTACTTCTTTTTAGAAACACACGTGGGCTGTCAGGTGCAGGCAACTGATATTTAAACTTCATCTCCTTAACTCAGATGTTAACTGTGACACACAAATGCAGAGAGCAAGCCTACACAGCCTGATAACTTCAATTGTGCTTCAATCCTCTGCAGCACGTCTGTGCTGTGCCAAACAATGGATTTGTGCTGCCCAAAATCCTAAAAACAGATCAGCAGCACCAAGGACCATCCAAACACACAGTACCCTTCCCAAGACATCTGTTCACCCACCACGTTGAGATGCATGTTTAAATTTTATTAAAAAATGGGAAAAGACATTTTGAAACATAACCACAGTTGCTTTATTGAACAGCTTAGATTTCAGCAAACACTTTAGACATGACATTGCTGAGGGCAATTAAAACAATTCCTGCTTGTGCCAGGGACTGCCACAATGAGAGGGTAAGTTCTTTGCCCCCAAAGACTGCAAACTGGCTGGGATCTTGCCAGGGAAGCACAATGGGCATTTTGGTACTCCATGAATCTCATAGTTTTGCAGCACTTGAAGTACACTGCAGGACAACTGGCTTGCAGCAATCTTGGAGAGCTTCCTTGTTCCCTCATTAGGGGGCAGGGTGTCTTTTATATCCCTCCTTTCAGAGTGTACCACCCTCTTACACTCCTGCTTCTCCTCTGTCCTGTGTTCTCAAGTAATCAATCACCTTCCTATGCAGGTATTTACTGAAGCTTTTACACAAGCACCTTTACTGAAATTGTGCCTGAGCACAATCTATTCCTTTCCCTCTATTCAGAGACAGCTCAGCCCTGCTGCAATAAAAAATCCCAACCTGTACCATTATCCTCACAACACCCTGGAAGGGATAACCCTAACTACAAAGAGGGTGCTTAGCTGCATGGCAGACTGATTTAGCCACAACCACCCAGGAATTCTTTGGCCATACCACATATCCCAAGCTTTGGGGCAATGCACTGCATATCTACTTCAGACACTGTCCAAACCACTGGGCACCAGTCAGCCATGGAAATCCAATACTCCCCAAAATGTGGGCCCATTTCTGAGGAAGGGAGGATTCTTTTTGTTGTCTTACTATTGGAAGGGATAACCCTACCTGCAAAGAGGGTTAGCTTAGCTGCATGGCAGACTGATTTAGCCACAACCACCCAGGAATTCTTTGGCCATACCACATATCCCAAGCTTTGGGGCAATGCACTGCATATCTACTTCAGACACTGTCCAAAACACTGGGCACCAGTCAGCCATGGAAATCCAATACTCCCCAAAATGTGGGCCCATTTCTGAGGAAGGGAGGATTCTTTTTGTTGTCTTACTACAGCAGCTCAATGCTACAGCATCCACAGACAAGACAGCAGGGAATGTTGTTAAATGTCAGAAAAGGGATGTTTAACAATAAAGATCAACCTTGATTTGAAAAGCTTGGAGGGCTTGGAAGACTGACACAGCGAATGAGACTCACAACACCCCTGGCATTTCCAGCCTGCCCCAGACCTCCAAAGGCAGGGACAGCACCAAAGAGACCACAGGGCTGTTTGCCAAAACAATGACATCAGATTTGCAGTTGGGTAAGTGAAGAAACACAGAGAAAACACAGCATGCTTTGCCATGTAAAGCTATCTTGTATCAGCTCCAATAAAAATATCAGCCAACAACAAAACCAGTTCTAAATGAATTGGTCATTAAATGTATCAGCTCAGTGTGGGCTGTGCCAGTAGCTTTCACACAGCAACAAATGATGCCTATGAATCACCAAATTCTCTCCCCTGCATGAAATGTTTTGTAATTTTCCATAGATCATGTGTGGTGCATCACAGGTGTAACTAATGCAAAGTCTCTGTAAGGTGAAAGGCATCTTTTACTACTCTAGAACAGTGACAAGCAGAGAAATGATTTATTAAGAGACCTGCGTTTCTGAAGAATGATGTGAGAAACTCTAGAGGCAGGGACAGGGGTATGGCTGCATGCTACACTGGGGAAGGGATAAGAGTAATGAAGGCAGGGAATGCAAGAGATAAAGGAACTGCTGGGGAAATTGGAACACAGCCAGGTCTGGGAAGGAAACAAGGGCTCGCCTACAGCAATTCCCAGCATCACACCCATGTCCTCTAAGAGCTTTAAGACTGCAATACTTATCACACCCTCCTGTGATGAATCCATACAGAGGAAAAACCAGGCAGATGTAGCCATTCCAAAAGAAAAATCCTATTTTACTAGGTTAGCTAATGTTATCAAGGAATGAAAGGACATTCCCATGCCAGTTGTGGGAGAAAGAAGACTTCCATGAGGACATGTGCTGCTTCTATTGCTCTGTGCTTATGCTGGCTCAAGTCTTCCAGCAGTGACAAGCCCTGATGGTGCATCTCTGTGTGCCTGCTGACAAATGCAAACAGAAGAAGAAAAGCAAACCCGATGCCTCCCTGACCAGGGTAAGAAAGGGGAAAAACCCAAGGAATATTGATGCACTGTACCACGTTAACTTACCAGCTGAGGTCTCCTCCATCACCTCCACTACAGCATTTCCAACCTTGTCTGAGGGCCAACACTGAGCCAAACACAGGAACTCAAGCTCGAGCAAGCAAAACTCTTGAGTCTTTATGCACATTCCATCTTTTAATCACAAATCATTGTTTTCTCCCTTCTTCCATTCATTTCTACATCTCTAACTCTGTTACACCCGTAGGTTTTTCCTTACTAAAGCTGCACTGTGTTTCTGCTTGAGGGAAAGCACTTTTTTATCTTGCTTTCTCCCCTCAAAACCAGGCATAAAACAGTTTAGAAAGCAGAACGAGGACAATATTTGAAAACATGGAAATCTTTTTATGTTTAAATTCAGCCACTGGAGAAAAACACTCAGGAAGAAAAGTGAAACAAGAGACATTCCTCTTGTCCCATTCCCTGAATCCTCTGGCTCAGTAAGTAGGATGAAGGAATGAAGGGGATCAGAGTAGACAAGATATGGAGTTTCCCTGTCAGGATGCTCAGCACAGCAGGGATGTGTGTATTTTTCTGCTGCAAAAGCATCTGCCAAGAGCATAACACAGCTCAGAGAGATTTACTTTGTAATTAACAGCTTAAAGCCAAGGAAAAGGGCATGCCTAATCCTAGGTCCAAACCCAGTTTCAAATACAGCAAGACTTGAAAGCTGCTGAAATACCTGACCTAAGAAGCTTCTAGACACCTTTTACTAAGAGAACTCTTCTTAACTGGGCTGTTCCACCAAAAAATAATGGAAAAGAACTTTAGATGCCTAAAGCAGAGGGCTCAAAATATATGAACTGAAACAGCTGGGGCTGTATGCCTAACTCTGTCAGACTGCTCGTGCATTTTAACATAGAGATTTTAATCACCTACTCACATGATGTTTCATACAAGGTGTTTCTCATCCCCAGTGACTGAGCACTGATTCAAAGCTGTATTTTATTCTCTTTGCTCAACACAGAGTCACATGCTCAGACCCAGAGCTCAGTGTGAAAACAGACTTTGTAACCAGCTTTTCCAGGTGTTCACTGTTGTGACAATGAAGTGTTGTCACAATGCTGCAGTGGAGTGGCACATTTCCCTCACCAACACAATGAAGGCCACAAGATTTACTGAGGCCAGGAGATTAAAGCCAAAAGTCCAGTGAATTACAAACTCTCCTCTTGAAAAGTGCAAAAATGCTTCATAGCATGACTTTTGAGATTTATCTGTTCCAGGCAGACTCCAGCTGCAGCTATGAGCGTTCTGCACATCTGCTCCTCTGGCTAAAAATTTCCACTCATAATCTGAGGGAAGCACAATCCAAGCAAGGAAAACCTGAATAAAGTGGGACTCACAACATAAAACACCCCAAACTCACTTTGTCAGAGTGATATTCAGTTGCTTCAAACAGGAGGCCACCTTTTTTCTTCCTACACTTTTCACTTAATTCCTTACACACCTTCCTTTATTCAAAGATATGAAGAGGTCCTGCAAATAACTGCCCTCTTTCATCACACATTCCTCATTCATTCCCTGAGCAGATCCAGGTAGAAAACCACAGGAAAGAGAATCTCTGTGGGAAGGAAAAAGACATTCAACTGAAAACTGTGTCTGCAAGAGCACAATACTACTAAAAGAATCCTGTTCCAAGACACAGATGTAAATTAAGAATTAGACACTTTTTATAAGAGATGACCAGAAGTTCTGGACTTTTTATTTCTATCAAAATTCAGGAAGTTTCAGGATATTGGTGAACGACTTTAAAATGGAAATGGATGTTTTTAAAGCATATAAATAAGCAAATAATGTGGGAAAAAAAGGGGAGGAGCAAGGAGGAAACAGAATGCTGTCAGTCAGTCAGCATCAAGAAGAACACTCGTGTCTGAAATACTGCAAGCATTTCCCAGAGCCAGGAGTCAGGCAGAAGGCCAGGAGAGGAGGGCAGGCTCAGAGAAGAGCAAAATGGGTAATTAGGAATGTGTGCTATTACCTATCAGCAGCCTAGCCTACTGAAGGCTCTGGCGGGTGCTCTCTGATGCCAAGCTCACAATGCATACATGCTCTCCTGAAACAAACCTAGAATAAGCACAGCAAGTGTCTCATGAGTAGCTAATAACAGCAAGTAATGTACACCAGACAAAACTGAAAAAGGCCTTAGAGATCTAAGGGCAAGCAAAAGAGGCCAAACCATCACAGCAAGGAATGTTTTGTTCTTCCTAAAATCTTTGCAACCAGATGGTTTTAGGGACTTTTAGATTGTGCACATCACTTTCACATTATTTTTTTAAGCAAGACACCTCAACAACAACAGTGACTCTCCTGTATTAATATCCACCTTCAACAGGATGGGAATCTCCAATCCAGCTACAGGACCACAACTCTCAGCTGAGGGAGGAGTCTTTGGCATTTCCTCTGCCTGTACAGGAGAGGAAGAGGAGCTCCCAGGCTGGCTGATTTTACTTGACTCTGGTGACATGATCCAGAGGTGTCTGACTTTGGCAGGAGCGTTCTCCAGCCACCAGCCTTCCCTGCTCCCCAGCTGCACATCCCAGGCTTCTGCTCCTCTCTCTCTGCCCTGCAGCTCTCACCCAAAGTACACCTCTGCCCTCCCAGCAGGAAAACCCTGCATGCCCCTGTGCACTTATTCCTGGTCCATCTGCCTCCTTCTCCTCGCTCCCAGCAGGAGCCTCAGTCACTGCAGCCTTCTGCCAGGCACTGAGAACTGCACAAGAACACAAACCTTCGCTGCTCTCCAACCTGCCTCCTCATCCAACGCTTCCTCCTGGCTTTTGCCTCCTTCCTTGCACCTTGCCTGTTCAACTGCAGCTTCTTTTCAGCTTTCACTGGCATTTACTGCGGTTCTTGAACATTCTTAGAGACATTTTCTCTCCTAGAGACAAAAGGAGCACCGAGGACGCAAGGAACGAGACACCTGTGTCCCTGTCAGTGCTGTGCTGCAAGAACCCCGTGTAGCAGGACATCTCAGCAGCCAAACTCCATTTGTTTTCCATGCATATGCAAGCAGACAGGGAGAGATTTAGCTGGCTGGGTGCAGCGAGGCAGAAGACACATTACCAGAACCTTCACAGACACCATCCCGTCAACTCCTGCCCTGGCTCTAGTGCCCACACCTGACCAGCAGGAAAACAGAGAACAGCATTCCTCAAAGAACAGCTTATTCAACCTTCACTCATTACCCCCCTCACTGAGGAGCAACTCCTCCGATGGAACTGCTCGGCTGTTCTAAGAACGCGTGGGTAAAACACGCACTGAAAGCCTCATCCCCAAAGGGCACAGTTCTACCAAGTTTTACGCCCCTTAAGGCAGGACGGTAAAATAAGAGGTATCATAGGAGGGCTCTGATACCGCTGCCATCTCCATTAGCGTGTACAGAGCTCCTCTTCGGCCAGAAATCAGGGCTGCATTTGTACACTGACAGCGTGGAAAGCTACCATAACCACCGCCGCACAGATCCAGAAGTTATCTGCGGCTCCATGTCATTCCCGGGAAACCAGAGCCAGCCAGGCTCCCGCTCCCGGGCTCCTCTCTCAGGGCACAAACCAGCCGCGCTCGGGGCCGCGCTCTCGGGGCTCCCGCAGCAGCTGCAGCCGAGCCTTGCCCCACGGCCCGGGCCGGGCAGCGCCCGAGGGGCGGGCAGCGCCGCTGCCCGGCCGCGAAGCCGCTTCCGCCCGCCTGCCCCGGCGCTTCCGCCCCGCGCCCGCCGCCATTTCGGGCCCCGCGACATCGCTCCTGCGGGGAATGGCTCAGGAGCTGGGCCTCTGCAGCCCTGGAGGCTCAGGGCACTGAGAGGGGACCCCGTCCGTGTCTATGAGCGTCTGAAAGGAGAGCGTGAGCCTCTCCTAGGCAGAAACTGCAGCGCGGGAAGTTCCACCCGAACATGAGCAGTAACACAGATGGAGGGTCTGTGCTGTGCGGGACGGGCACCAGGAAACTCTTCCCACAGACCAGCAAAGGCACCCCAGTCCAACACATGGCCCTGCTCGCTCTCTCTTCACCGTGCCAGAGCCACTTGCAGGTTTAGAGCCCGTCCCCCGCCGTCCTGTCCTTTGCTACACGCACGGTGTGGTGTTGGGAAGTCACACGTGATTGTGGAGGAACTGAGACAAAATTACCTCACTTCTGTTGGTCCTTAGCTTCCAAGACATGCAGGGTTGGTTTTTTCTAAGAGGTCAGCACCTATTTAGCATCCTATACAGTTTGGGAGGCACTAGGTTTGGTAAATACTACATTTCATCCACCTTTCTCCTGCCTAGCCACCTAGAGCATCCTGCTTTATCCTGACAATCCATGTAATGACAGCCATTGCTCAGGACTGAATGCTCCAGATTCTGGCCACAAGGAGAAGTGATTAGATTTCTTTTTCTCTCTTTTCCCCCCAAAGATCTTCCAAGATGCCATGCCTTTATGGATATACTAGGATTAGTTCTTTGAGCAGCCTGCACTGCAAGACTGAGGAGCTGTTACATAAAGGAACTGCAGCTGTTTGAACTATGAACCACCTTGCTGTAAAACTACTGGGTTAATTCAGAGAGCCTCTGTGTTCTGACGATGGAGTTTTCCATTCCTCTTCCTACAGTCATTTAAGTTATTTATGACATATTTTTAATTATTCAAAACACATTTCTTAGTCTTTTCAGTTCCCATGTGGAGCAGCTGGCTTCAGTTAGCTGAACATTATTGTTAAGCCTCTTTAAAGTACTTCAAAATTCTCGTATAAATTGCCTTATACTCTTAATTAAGGGGAAGGATGTGGCTGTTACATAAAAAAAATAATAAAAAAAAAATCTGCTCCCTATACCACGTCACAGTCCTAAACCAGAATCTCCCAAACACATCCTGCTTGGGGCTACCAAGCTGAATGGAGCTGATGTTAAAAATCAGACATTCTTAGACATCACAGATTTGTTTAGGAGACCACCTGGGAACCCCATCTTATCCTCCAAGCCAAGGCTAGGAAGATGCCAGAAAGACAATCTCCCTCTGGACTTCTTGCCACTGAAGTACAAATGATAGGGCCAAGAAGAGGCACTTGCCTAAAATCTAAATGGCAAATCTCAGTAAAGTGTACAAATGTGTCTCTAACTGCATGAACTGCCACTGTGAATTTGAAAAATAAAGGGGAGAGGCAGTTTTGTGTGCCTGTGTGGTCTCACAGCAGTAAGCAGAAACTTTACCATTCCAGCAAAAACTAGTTCCTGAGCCCCGAGTCCCGGAAAGCTGGTTATTTTTGCTTTCTTTACAAAGTCAAAGAAAGGGTTTGCATGGCTCAGGGCTCAGAAGCACCCTCGCCCACAGAGGAGGTTATCTGTCGAGGAGCATGTTTTAAACACTTCTGCGGGCTGCAGTCCGAGCAGGGGCGTGATGACCGTGCAGGAAGGTGCTGTCCCAGCTGAAGTAAGCTCCAGAGACCCAGGCCCATTTCTGTCTAACCCCTGTGGCTGTCACACTCCTCCCCTGGCCCCAGGCTGCTGCCTCAGCTCCATCCTGCAGCTGATCCTGCAGGCAGCTCCCGGTCCGAGCTGCGGGATGAGCGGTGCTGCCCGGCCTACGGACGCAGTCTGCAGGAGTGGTTCCCAACCTTTATTGATCTACAGATGCCTGTGTGTTTTCCCTTGGAAATGTAAACATCTGCGTCCCAAATTCGGATTTTAGTTACCTTATAGACTTCTTAAATGTTGTCCCAGGATTGTGAGAAGGCCAGTGCTTGAGAGGGATCCTCATGCAGAGCCCAGCAGGACAGCTGGAACTTCCGACCCTCGTTCAGTTACCTTTTTGCTGCTGAGGTACATCCAGCTCTTCTCACTCTTTAACATTCTCAGTTCAGAGGTGCCTGAACTTTCAATTTCCTGTCTTCAGGAAACACGAGAGGTACCCACGCTTTGTTCTCAAAATGGCAAATGATTGATCTGCAGCACTTGGCCCCAAGGGGATTAATCAACTTTACAAATGAAAGAGGATGCCAAAGGCCACAAATTATAACTGTATCCATGTTTCAAAAACATACCTACTTCAGTAGCAAAACTAGGCGTAGACTCTAGTTCTTTGGTGTCACGATTTCTTTTCTTGCAGTTTTTTTTCCATTCATTACACAGACACTACATGAAATCGAAATGTTTGTTGGACCAAGTTACTACATCTCTCTAGTACTTTGGTGTTCTACTATACAGAAACAAGAAACCATGCACACAAATTTAATCTGTTGTACCTGAAAGGACGATTGAACAGGTACCTATCTTGTAGTTAAGGAAGTGTACAGAGCAATTTCATTCTATGTTCTGAAACTGCACTAGTAAACTTGGGCAGCTTTCAGGTACATTACCTGCAAAATATCAGAAGAAAATCCTAAACATGATATATATCCTTTAGTTGATATAAAGATGATAAAATAATCAATAAAAATATAGAAGACAGACAGAATCTCATAATTATATTCTATATTAGGAAGAAAGTTGGATGATGTAGACACATCCATGAGGTAATGAAATATTACCTATTGCCAATGAGATTTAGGAAGATGTTTAGTTCTATCCATTAAATAAAACATCCTAGAAGTTGCATAGCTAGAAACTGACAATCAGTAATTTGAAAAGAATTATCTGGCAAGCAGATGGAAGCAATGGGCTTTCTTTTCCAAACAACTTTGAAGTTCTGAATGTGTTCCAGACCAGCCAGTACTTTTACTTAAGAAGTATTTGCAAAGCAAGTGGGCTCATCCAGGTTGTTGTAAGGCAGTTAACCTAACACTGATGTGGCAAAATCACAGTGGCATTGACAGCGGCTGCACTCAGCTAAGGAAAGGAACATATTGTTGTTTGTTTTAATTTGAAGGAGAAGACCTAATTAAAAGAACTGGATATCCTTGCATGGCAGACTGAGTTTGGTGGCTGAAGATAGCCATCTAGGGCCAATGTAGCAAGACTTTAACTGAACACTGCACAGCTGGGTTGCTGAAAGGGAAAAGAAAGGCAACAGATAAGAAGGACATGATGGAGCCAAGCCTTATCGTGAAACACCTCACCCAGCTCAATTTAATTCAGCTGGTTGGAAAGATGAATACAGGGACTTGATCATGGTCTGTAATTCATTACACAAGAAGAAAGACTTCTTATAGCAGAAGACTTTAATGTACTCAACAAAGGCATAGCAAGACCCTATGGATTAAAATAAAAAAGTAGTAATATAGAGTGGCAGTTTCAATGGCAGTGATAACTAACAAAAAAACTGTAATGAGGGACATGGTTGATTAACCATAAGGCTTTAAATTATAAAAGTCTTAAATCTTTCTTGAAGATTTAACTGAATTATAGACCAGCAATACTATCATTAGTCACGGCTGAGATTCTGTTACTGTTTGTGGGTGACTTTTCTAAATGATTTCCAGCCTACATGATGTTTCCTTTTAAAGCAATGATAATTTGTAAAATCCAACTAAGAACAGAAAACCGGCTTGGAAAAAGACAAGAAGAAAAAGTGCTATTGCCTTTCAGCAAAGATACAAGATGCAACCTAATACAGAACTCCAGAGTCATTTTCAAGTCTTCTTGGGTACAAACATATAGAAACAAATGGATTGGCAGCACAATGAAAATGCAGGGTCAAAGAATTAATGGAGCTGAAGAAGGACCATGGGATCTTGTTAAGCGAATATTCCACTCTTGTGAGTGGGAGGTAAATAATTGAACTGTTGTTGGCTTGAGTGCACACAGCTGCAGACTGCAGAACCTCAGGCTTCATCTAGAGAGGGAGGAATTTTGTACAAGCTGATACATTTTGTGTCTCACAGGTAGCTACTGCACTTTTTAAACCATCTGGAGCACTCTGAATATGTGAAACAACCACGGGAATCCAAAGAGGAAGACCTAATCCAAACTCAAATAAGTGACACAGATAATGAGGGCAAGGTATCTTCAATTATTTCCACATCAGCAACAGGACGAGGTAAACAGAAATTCTCACTGATAAGAAAAAAAGAAGGCCCAGAATAAAGTGGTATTTCTGAAGCTCAGTGGGAGAGTTCCTTAGTAAGAAATAATTAATTTCTTCCTGGCCAACAGTAAAATCTATAGGCTCAGCAGCAAACTGCACAAACACAAACAGCAACACCTTTGAAATGACTGGTAACAGGAATTGTACAGCCTCAAACACATATGGATACCCATGCCAGGTATCAGATTCCAAGAAGGGAAAGGGCAACAGACAGCAGAAAACAAAATCTCAAACCAGGGACCAGGAAAGGCGATTTCAAACACCTTTAACATATAAACCAAAAAATCATTGCAAAGAATTTTAACTTGTGAGCTGTTCCCCAGGGAATTCAACCAGTCAGCAAGGTCTTACTCTGACTTTTAAAGCCTTCCCAGCTTAATTCAAGACACTGCACCCAAACAAAGTAATTTTTCAGACTTCAAGATGATGCATTCAAGATGAGAACAACTTGAGTGAAGCTGGCAGTTTTGTCCTGTCCGTGTGGAACACGGACATGCAGAGGAGACACAAGTAGTAATAAACCTGTGCTGAGTCTGATAACTTCCACGGGGAACAAAACTATAAACTGAGCTGTCCATGGGAAAAAAAGAAAGAAGGCAGAGGAATATGAATTAAACTCTCCTGTAAGAAGAAATGTAACAGATGGAAAAGGTGAAGGTCAGACAGCAACCAACATAAATTAGACACTATAAAAATAGAGAAAACTCTTAAGAAAAGCTTTGTGACTAGAAAAACTAGTGGTAAAAGGAAAGGAATATTTTGCTCTTTCATTCCTTTCAATCACAAAATAAAGAAACCTTACTAATATTACTGATCTATGCTAGATAAAAATGGTGAAAAATGCTAGTGACACAGAACAGGAGAAGCCAGTCAATAAATACTTCCAATTCCATCTAAAGAAAGGAACAGAATGTAGCAGTCATATGAAAATAGCAACTTCTATCTAGTACCATAGTATCAAAGTAGGAGATGAGACAACACCTACTAGGGATGTATGTTTTGATATCAGCAAAGAAACAGAAGGCCTGAAAGAGTTTAGTAACTAGCTCTCTAGCCCAGTGATTCTGATCTTTAAATTAAACTTGGGATATTAGACAAATACCTTAAGACACTCATGACAATACTCCCAAAAGGCAAAGGAAGCGACTCAATGACAAAATTATGGAAAAATTGTAGAGATGAAGAATTAGTGAACGAAAAAATAAAGCCTATAACACAAAGGTTTTACGAAATACAGATTCTGTAGTAAAAAAAACCAAAAACAAAACAAACAAAAAAAACCCCAAACCCTAATTTCATTCTTAGATGACATCATTATACATTTGGTTTAACAAAGGGGACTGCATAGGTGCAACATACTTAAATTTTTATAAGGCATTCACTTAGCACCATAAGTCAGAAAGATAAACTGTACATAATCAAATACTAAGAGGATTAAGAAATGCTCAGCCTACAAGTCTCAAAAGAAAGCTAATGAGAAGTTGCACTCAATGCTTTTCAAGTTAGCATAGGTCAGATGCAATATTGCATTTCAACCTGGATCTGAAAGTAAAAATAACAACTGATACAGTTTGCAGGTGACAGATCTATGAAAGCTGTGAGTAACCTGGTCCATCAGTCAGCCAGGTCCATTCACACAGGCTGCACTTGGACACAGCCCCACGAGAAGCCCCCAGGGAACAAGAACCCAGAGCATACCTGTAGAGAAGGGAAAATACTGTCATGGAAAGCCGAGATTGGATGATCAGACTTGAGCAGACAAACAGCCACTGTGAGCTCCTCTATAATGCTGTGAGAAGAGGGAAAATGCAGTCCTCTGCAGACTTAAGGCAAAGAGCCAGGAGGACCTCATCCATGGCACTGGGGCTTCAACACTCAATTCCAAAATGAACGTGTTTATAAGATAATGACAACTTTGACAAGATGTAGAAAGAAAAGACAAGAGTAATTCATGGGCTGGAAGAAATCTCTTACAGTGGAAGATTTACAGAGTTCTATCTGTTTACCTTGTCAAAAAGTGGATTGAGAAGAGACATTAGAGTGTTTAAATGCAAGTCTAGGGGGGAAAAGTCCCATTCAGGCTCTCTGAATCAGAGAGATGAATGTTTCCAGAACTAGGAACCAGAAGCCAAAGCAAGGGGAAATCTGGCTTAAATATTTAAACAGTGAAACATGAAGCTCTTGCAGCAGGCTACCAATAGATTTTATGTCCCAGTGCCTCAAAAATCAAGCCAATGCATTTTGTCAACACAGTTCAAATACTGATCAGTTCTTGGGGCTCCGTACAGGCTAAATGGATTGAAATGTCACCTGTGAAATGCAGGAGCCAAACCAGACAGCTCCTTCTAGCCTAGCCTATGCACCTACCAAACACTCCACCCGTTTGCAGCCAACCCTGGTGACTAAATGCAGAGTAAAAGCTCTGCCACAGGCTCCCCAGGTGCAGAGCTCCTCGCTTTCCTTGTGCAAACCGCAAAGTGCCAAAGGCAGGGATGTGCCAAAGGCAGGGATGTGCCAAAGGCAGGGACGTGCCAAAGGCAGGGACGTGCCGCCCTCGCGCCTGCCCGCACGGCCCCTCCAGACTCAGGGCAGCCAGACTCCTGCAGGGGGAAGGAACACACGTCACAGGGGCAAGCTGCTCACAGCAGCACCTTCAAGGAGCCTTTTACACCGATTTATTTCTATACAGGGTGGTTAAAAAAAATAAAATAAAGCCCCTATTGGTTGTTCATACAGAAGTCTGGGATTCTATAGGCTTTGGGTGGGTGACTGATTTTAAAACCCAACAACACATGCTTTTTCCCTTGCCTTCTCATTCTCTTCCAAGTCAGCCTCCATGATCCAAAGAAACTAATAAGTAACACACAAGACTAGCAGTCATGTGGACCAATTAAAAAAAAATAAGAGGAAGGAGAATTGAAGACGAAGAGAAAGGGAAAAACAAACGAAGATTGAAAATAAAAATTCGCCAGGATAATGCGTTTTATAAACACAGAGATAGAAACAGTTACAGCAAGGACAGAGCGGGCCGGGGTGGGGAATAGATATTTATATATATATATATATATAAATTCAAGGGGCCTTCAGTTTATTCTTGTTGGCTCCCCCTTCTCATTAGATTGGTCTCTCTGTGGGGATCTTCATCCCCTTCTCTCCACTGTCCACCTTTTGGGGATTCTCTCCCATGACCAGGGTCCAGAAGAGGCCACCACTGCCATGTGAGTCCAGCCCGTCTTGGCAAGAGGGAGCCTGGGAGAGCACTCTGGCAAGAGATGAGCAGGAGAAGCTAGCCTTTCCCTGCTTCCTGCCAGCCCCTTGAAAAGACTGGTCTATTCCTCCTCCTCCTCCTCCTCCTCCTCTTTCCCTCTGGGAAACTGGGGGCAGGACAGGTGTGTGAGTGTCAGAACTGCTGTCATTCCACCTTTCAGGAAAGGGAGTAGAGAGAAGGGTGATGATTATTTTGGCAGTCTCTTACCCTCCCTCCAGTTGCTTTTTGGTTTGTTGTTGATGCCTGCAGGCTTTTCTGAGGAGGAGAAAAGCAGGAGGGAGAGGAGGAGGAGTACAAGCTGCTAGGATATCATCCACAACGGGCAGGAAGGGCAATGAGCAGGAACCCACATTCCTACGGGGCCACTGTGCTGCTCAGACAGCTGTGAGAGAGGCAGCAGCCAGTTCAGACAGACTCCTCTCTACTGCTCTCCACCAGGGGAGGAGAAAGAATGCAATACTCTACAGCCCTTAGGCAGTGTAGGCACCTGTCCATCCCAGAGAACATGCCTCACCTCTCCCCCCTCCACTGGTCTCACCTTCCACTGGGGAGAAGGTTTCTCCCATCCAATCCTTGGGGCAGGACGAGCGACCCCCCCTCCCTTTCACAAGCAGGAGGGACAGGAATGGATATTTCTCTCTTAGACACTCAAGGCAATCCTCAAAGAACCCCATCCAGCTGTGAACCCTGCCACATTCTTCTGTGGCCTGCTAAAAACATGTGTCCAAGCCCCTGTATATACAAGGGCCATCTCTCCATCCCATCCACCATGCGCGTCTCAGCACGCAACCCCGCTTCGTACACATCCTACAGTGAGAGAGAAGGCAAAACAGGGGCCTTTCTTTGGGTTTCAAAGGAGGGGCTCTTGCATGAGGAAGTGATCCCAGCACAGGAAAGGGGCTCTTGCACAAGGAAGCATCCTCCTACCAGGCAGGCTGTTGCACAGAAGGAGCACCCCCTTGAGACAGGCTGTTGTGCAAGGGGCTGCCATGAACAGGGTTACACAGCCAGGAGAGGCTGCTGCAGGAGGAGAGGCCGGAAACTGTTGCACGAGGAGGGCCGCTGCACAAGCGGTGCCCCTGGCACAGGCTATGCACAAGAGGCGTTCTGCTCCCTGGGCTGAGGTCTCTCTAGGAGCTGGAGAGGTGCTCCACTTGGATGGCGCTGGTGCTGACAGTGAGGCAGATGTCCTTGTGATGCTCTGAAGTCTTGTAAGGAGTCAGGTCAAAGGAGCACTGGGGGGGAGGGTTGGGTTGGTTAGTGTCTCCAGAAGGGCCCCCTGCTGCCCCCCCGCCCTGCGGCTGGAAGTGCTGCTGCTGCTGCGAGGCCTGGGCTTGTGCCTGAACCACCTGCTGCTGTGGGTCAGGGATGTTGTGTTTCCGCATGTGCTTCATCAGGTACGTCTCCTGCAACGGGAAGGACCACGTGAGGGGAGGGAACGACGCTGGCAGGAGCCAAAGCCAGCAGGGAGGGACACGGCAACTCAGGGGACTGCTCCCGTCGGATCTACGGGAGCTGCTCCCTGGGAAGGTGAGGGCAGCAAACACTCACCGAGGTGTAGGCCCGGCTGCAGATGGAGCAGGTGTAGACCTTGGCGTGTTTCACCGTGTGCGTAGCCAGGTGTACCTCCAACGAGGCGGCATCCGTGTACGCACGGTGGCAGTTGTGGCACTTGAAAGGTTTGTCTTTGTTGTGCTGCCGTCTGTGGGACTGGGGGGTGGCAGCAGCAGGGAGGAAAGAAAGCAAGCGTGAGGAAGGAAGGAAGTAAGTATTACTACTGGAGATGGCTTTACCTCAAACACCCTGTCACAGCCAGGCCCCGAGCTCCTGGCTGCTGAAGAAGGAAAGCAAGCGTGAGGAAGGAAGTATTTCTACTGGAGAAACACCCTGTCACAGCCAGGCCCCGAGCTCCTGGCTGCTGAAGAAGGTACACCTGGCTCCTAGCATAGGGATGGAACTTCTCCCTCCAGCCCACCACACCTTCCCCACACACACCCTTCCCTCTCATGCATACTAGGGATTTGAAAAGCAGAGACTCTTAATGCTCCACAACCCCCATCTTCGCAGTTTCCATGCAACTCTCAGTCTTTTCCTGGTCTCTCCTTTTCTGCCCCTCTACACATCTGCTTCCTGCATCTAATACCTTCAGGGCAGGATTTGCTTAACTGCTTGCAGGTGTTTGCAGCTCTTTGCTCTTTGGCACACTCTACAGTCCCCCTCCTCCAGGGTACTGCAACAGGACACACCACCTCTGCTTCCTATATCCCTACCCTTATGCCCTCCATTTCATTGTAAAACAAAGAAAACCCACCCAGATACCCAGACTTTATTGGGTGTAACATTTTGCAAAAGTCTCGCCCCAGCTAAATTAGAAAACTGCAAAACAGATGGGGGGAACTTCACTAAGGTCTCACCACTTTCAAGTCAAGTTAATTTTACAGGATGCGACCACTTATGTGACTTCTTTGGGCCATTAGTGCCACAAGGCAGGAATCTCTTCCCTGCCCAGGGTTTCAATAGCTTTCTGCCTTCTTTTACTCTCCTCCCAGCCTCCCCACTTCCTCCACCTCCTCCACCACAGGCACCCTTGCCAACCCCTGCTGGCGAGCAGGACACACCCAGCCCCTTACCTGCAAGTTGGAAAGCTGGGTGAAAGCCTTTTCACACCCAGGGTGAGCACATTTGTAGGGTCGGTCCCCGGTGTGGATACTGTTGAGGGGGAAGAGCACAAACGGGAGGCAGTGAGCAGACAGGGCAGACTGCCAGGGCCTGCTGCTGTGTGAAGGGCATGATGTTGCCTCCAGATGCTGTTCTAGCTGGACAAAGAGAGCTCTGCCCAGCTCCCGCGTCCAGTTAGAAGTTGAAGACAGACAGTCAAGCAGATTTCAGAGTGAGTAGGATCGAGGAGCAAGAGCTTAGGAATGCCTGGACAGCTCAGCATGTGAGCTACCCAAAAATGTATTGGGAAGGGGTCTGGAGGTCCAGGCTCCCTGCTCCAAGCTCAGGAGTCCCAAATGACCAAGAGGAATCTGTTCTCTTGCTTACACAGTACCAAGAAAGCAGCTCTGTTCCCTCCAAGACAGACACACCAACACTTTTTCTTTTAAGTAACAGGCTGAGTTTACCTCCAGTGTTAATCTGTCCCTGTCCCCCTGCAATGCCAGGAGCAGCTTCCACACACTCAGTCCAACCCCCGTGGTGCCAGGCTGGGATCCCCTACAGCCAATGCCTCTCTCTCTATCGCTCTCTCTCTGTGCCGCCCGCGGTGCAAGACCAAGGATCCCCAGGGACAGCACGTGCCCACCTCAGCCCTGACGTGGTCAGTGTCTCCTGCGCAGCCTCCACTCCGTCCACTCAGGTGGGTCACCTCCTTCTGGGGGTGCAGCCGGCCGCATTCCCCGCCCGCCCCCCGCATGCTTGGCGCGCGTGCTCCACAGGTGCATGCCGGCAGCGCGGGGGGACCAGGGCCAGGCCCCCAGCCTCCTCTGGCCCTTACCGTGTGTGCTGCTGCAGGTGGGAGAGCTGGCGGAAGGCCTTCTGGCAGTAGCGGCAGGTGTAGGGCTTGGCCCCCGAGTGGATGCGGAGGTGCTGGGCCAGGTAGGATGTGTTGGCGAAGCTCTTGGAGCAGTGAGGACACTTGTGCGGCTTGACAATCGCCGTGTGGAGCTTGGAGTGGATCCTGCCGAAGAGGAGGAGGAGCAGCAGCAGTTGGACATGACCGCCATCTGGCTAGTGCTGATGGAATGAGGGCACAAAGGGGGTGGGACAGCACCACGCTATCTGCTACATGAAGGAACTCCAAACACAGCGGGAGCTCTCTTGGTCTCAAACTGTGCTCCCCTTGGATTCAAGAGACCGTGGTCTGTCTGCACCGGGGGAGGATCCAGAGAGAGGAACTATAGAGCTTGGACTGAGGGGCATTGGCAGAGTTGTGTGTGGGAAGCCTGCGGCTGAAACAGCAGGGGGGCTGCAAGCCTGGACTTGAGATGTTTGGCAGAACTACGCTGGGGAGACAGGGAACAGTTCTCCTAAGCCCGTTCTACTCTCACACTGACACAACCAGCCCTACCTCCTGTCAGAAAGCGTCACTCCGCTGCCGCCGCCTCTCCAGCGGAGCGGGGCTGACCTGAGCGCACCCAGCCCTCACAGCGAGGGACCAGCCTCACGTGTCCGACACCGCTACTGACGCGTACAAGACCTGACCAGCCTGTGACAACCAGCCAGGTCTGCCCAGGCAGTCGCCCACTGAGGTGCTCGCAGCATGCTGGGATGACGGCAACATGCAGTGCAGAGGGCCCCAGCCTCCTCTGGCCCTTACCGTGTGTGCTGCTGCAGGTGGGAGAGCTGGCGGAAGGCCTTCTGGCAGTAGCTGCACGTGTAGGGCTTGGCCCCTGAGTGGATACGAATGTGCTGGGCCAGGTAGGAGCTGTTGGCGAAGCTCTTGGAGCAGTGAGGACACTTGTGTGGCTTTGTCTCCGTATGGGACTTGGAGTGGATCTGCATCTCCGACTTGGAGTAGAAGGTCAGCGAACACATCCGGCACCTGGGACCGGGGCGAGGGGAAGAGACAGTGTCACATGGGGGTAAGCCCCAGTATGGATCAACTCTAACTGGATGGGATCGTCCACACTGAGTGAAGAAGGGGCGTTTTCCCACTATGTGGTACTGGGGAGGTTTCACCTGGGAGACTGCTTGGCTTGGTTCAGTCCCAGGGGAACTGGTGTAACAGAACAAACAATACTTCACAGCCAGACAAGTGAAGGTGTTGGAAGAAACCAGCTGGCTTGCAAGAGAGGTAGGGCAGCACTCTGAAAATTTTCCAACAGCAATCCTAAAGGGATAGGAATAATTCCCAGACAAAACCCCAACTTTGTTAATCTATGATTTATTGTAGTAAAAAAAACCCTTGGAAATCCCAGGTTATAGTTTGTATTAGAAGTTAATTCCATGTATTGTGAAATCTGTGAGAGCAGAAATGGCAAAATCCACTTAACTCTGCACTTAACACTCCTATTACTGGAGAAGACACTCAAATATTTAGGATACAAAATGCTGAGAATAACAGCAGTACTGCTTTTCTAGTGGGTCTCACAAAGATACTCTGGATATCAAATGTGGTATTTCATTGGTCTAGTGGGCTTTCATCATTTCAGTCTTACTGTGTGATGCAAAATGTTTTGTCTGGGTGTTTGGATCCATCTGTTCCCATAATGATCAGAAACGTATTTGTTAACACACAGACTCTCTGAACAAGAAGAAGCAGTTGGCAAAGCTCTGCTACGGATGCTGCTGTTAAGAACTGCTCCTCCACTACGACACCAGGCTGTTAAGAGAAGCTCGTACTGTTTTACAGTTCAAGATGGTAAAAGCTTTTGTCGTTGTTAACTTGTCAGAGAGATAGAAGCTGCATCCAAGTTACTCATTTCTTCCCCACCCTCCATGTGTGTCAAACAAGGGGCAGAGTAAAGGTTTATCTGAATTTAGGTTTTTCATTTAGATTAAAGACAAAATAGAATCTCCACATGTAATTTCCAGGGTCACATTTGAGAGAAGAGATGCCAGCCAAAGGAAGGCTGGTTAACATGAATTCAACATTCATAGTGGTTTTGTCTGGGAATTTCTTGAGTTTCAGCAACAACAGTCTCTGCAGGTATTACAAGCCAAAGAGCTGATCCTGCTCTTCCCCATATCCATCTCCTCTCAGGAGGATGCTTCATTGCATCTACTGTTGTGACTCTGTTGGAGCCAGAAGCTTTATGATGTGTGCAGCCTGATTAGGTATGTCATGTAAGCAGTATGTATCCAGCACCTACCTTAACTTCCACAGGCCCTTCCGAGCCACAGCTTGATTCCAAGCCATTTAGCTGGAAGCCACGCCTTCCTAGCAAGCACTCTAACACACACCTGTCATAACATTTCCCTCCTCTCCACCTTTGCTCTTTTACATTCATTATCATCTCTAACAGTTGTTCCCATGTGTCCTACCTTCATCTTAATCCATTTTAATTGCAAGCCCTAACAGAACATGCAAACTAAGTATATCCTTACATAAATCCCTCTTCAATACACACACACCCCCAGCAATCCCTGATGGAATCAATAAACAGAAGCAATTTGGCTGTTTATCCCTACACCAATTAAAGATATAAGGAGTAAAAAGGAACATCAGCATCATCTTTTTTTAAAAAAAGTAGCTCTTGGTTTATAAACCAAGTCACACAGTTTGTTCCAGACTTCCTGAAATGCCAGTAATCAAGTCATATTTACATGATGAGAACTGTGTATCCTTGAAAGCACCAATGTTAGAAATAACTCTGAGGTGAACATGAACTGAAAAATACCTTTGAGTCGCCAAGTCCAGTTCCCTGCTAATGCAAGCAATTACAGCATAATCCCATGCTTGACTTTTAGCAAGCTCCTTCTGAGCAGATGCTGACTTCCATTACTCTCAATTGAACCCCGTTCCACAGCACTGGCCCTCTGATAAGGAACCATTCAATTGAGAACAAGCTCCCAGTGTGATGCTGTGCTAATATGGCTCACCAAAACAAAGGGGAATAGCAGGTATTCTGTTTGTATACAGGAGGGGAACGACTGTTCTTGCCAACAGCATGTCTAATTCTGAAGTCAATGTCCTCAACAATTACTGCAAAACTCACACAGGCTCAGCAAACTTAAAGAATGATGGCATGTAGAAAATTGGCTTTGCAGGAAAGATTCACCAACTCCAGTTGATCTGGGTTTGGAGTACAGCTTAAAAGATCACTTGCTCAATATGCAAATAAATCTACGTAGGGAGAAAAATATCAATTACTAGGGGCTTATTTTATGAACAAGTCAGATATAACGAGGAACAACAACTGACACCAAAAGTGGAAAAAAGGGGAAACAGGCCTTTTCCAGCCGTGAGAATAATGTATCTTTGGAACAAGGCTTGGAGGCCACAATATGGTCTCAATCACCTGGCCCCTACAATCAGCATTCTGAGAATCCAGGTACCTTTCTGAGAGAAATACCCTTCTAAGGGGTTTCAACAGAATGCTGGGCACTAATCTCTTCTGTGCTGTACACAGGACTCTATATTTTAAATAGTCTATTCTGTTCTGAAAAATTAATGAACTTTACTGGGCCATCAAGGCTAAGCAGTCCCATGCATTAAATCCATAGTGCCATAAAGCCATCAACTTTATCTTCCATGACTTCTGTGCACCCTTTACTTTACTTATTTGCTTTGCCAGGTATCTGCCTTCAGGTCAAAAATTCTCTAAAATAAACTTTAATGAAGAGAAACAAACTGCACGTCCTTTTCTATTTTCAAAATAAAATTATAAAGAAGTTTTCAAAACACCACTGGCACTTGCACGACAATGATAAACCTGATTATTAGCAAAAACGGGCCTCAACAACGATAACATAACTCCCCAAAACCCTAACCTCCCCAAAAACCCCAAAATCCAAACAAAACCCTCAAATGAACAAACCAACCAATCCGTTGTCTGAATTTAGCAGCTACAGACATTCTGATATTGTTTTTCAAACAACATTTAGAATTAAAATCTTGCAAGAACTCATTTTCTAATCATCTAATTAGCATCAACTCTGAGAGAGCAAGAATGTTATGCAGCATTAACAAATTCATGAGCCTTATGAGTTAAAAAAAGCCCTGGAATATAACAGAAAGCTGCACTTCAGAATTTTATATTGTGTGGTATCAGGCATTTTCATGGGAACAAATGATCCATTTAATTAAGGGCTTTGCATTCTGCTTCAGACAACATCAAATATTAAAGGGGAAGATGCAATCAGCCCTCTAGTGGGCAAATATGGATTCAAAAAAATGTTAAATCTATATGGATAATGAGAATATCCCATCTGACACTAGCAGCATTTCAGTGTTCTACTTCAGTGAAATTCTGGCTGGGGAGAGGAAAAATAGGGAGTGCTCCTTGCTAAGCATGAATGAAACACTATATGGAATAATTGATTTCTACCCCCCCTCTGTTTAATATCCATTTTTAATAGTCTCCCCACTGTGCTTCTAAACTGCCCCTCCTTTGGCTGCATTCTTTCTGACAGCAAGAAACAGAAATGACTGCAGCATTCCCATTGATGGTGTGACACAACATCCCCTGCAGCAGCTTGTTATGGCTCTGCAAATTCAGACAGCCTTGGAGAAAATATCCTTAATAAAACAGAGGTTCATATCAACAGTGAAATTAGCACTCAGCCATATGCCAGAGATCAAAAGTAACCCCTTCCAATGTTTACCATGCTTTCTTTTTTATATGAAATAAAGACATTCAAAAAATGGTCATGCTAGACAGAGACACTCTCAAAAATCATGAAATGCCAGCAAAAGGTGGATGTACAATGCTAATTCTACTCCCATATGAAAGTCATCACAATGAGTCATAAAGAAAATGATGCCTATAGCAACTAGACTACAACTCTGTGGCACACAGTGCTGTATTTTTTTCCACTTTTCATGGAATGTTCCGCCTCATTCATCAGATGCTGTTAGGAGATAAAATGCCATCTGAAATACCAGCTCATAGTAAAATTTGCCCAACATGGATTAACAGCCTTTTTCAATCAAGTGCTTAATTAATCAGTATCACGGTTGTGAAAACTATGTAAGCTTTTATATGGCTCTGAGAATTCTTATTCCTAGTATCTACTGAGAGTAGTCTTACAAGTTAATTGAGTCCTTGCTTTTTCTGTTAGGCTACATATACAAGTTAGACCATCAGTAAAACTAAAAATCAAACCAGGAAAGTCTGAAGTTAGACTAGATGACAAGAGTAAGTTTAGGCTGTCAGAATCAGCAGTCCATTTAAAAAGGAAGGAAATGTCCTGCCTTTGCAATGCAGAGCTACTGAAGTAACTAATGCAAGCATAGCATAATAATGGATGCACAGTTCATGATAAATGCTTGACCCTCCCATTCCCCCATTTTTTTTAAGCTAAACACTTTCTTGTTAATATTTTGTAAGAGGAGGAGAAAGGAGACAAAACTAACACCCAAGCTACACAGGTACACTTGGGCAACATGCAAATAAAGCCAGCGAGCCTGAAAATGCCAGATGAAGGCACAGGAATTGCACCTCTGCTTCCACACTGGCACACCCAGCATCAGCCCCTACTCCAAAGCCAACACTGTGCTTCCAATGAACAGTTTATACTTCTGGAGTGTAAATCTATCAGCTATGCTCAGAGATCTTGGTCAGCTTACTTCCACAGTCCTTCAGTCACCTGGTGGCTTGGTAAGGCTGCAGAAAAGCATACTCTCATATACTGGCAAGGCAAAGAGCAGTTCAAAATGCTCTCATCATATGGCACTTTCCAAGTTCCCAGATTTGAGGGCATTCCTGCCTTTTGTCCATTTTTCCAAATGACCCTAAAAACACCTGACCCAGAATTTTGTGGTATTTCAGCATACTTCACATGTTGCCTGTCTTCTTTTAATGACTCAATCATTTATGCTTTCAACAGTTGCACCTTAAAGCACAGTCTTGCACTGGGAGCTTTCAAGATGCCACTTAATCCCTAGAAGTCTTTTTCACAGCCATTCTTTTGCAGGATACTGTTCCTCCATATTCCTTATATTAGACCAGAGACTTTCAATAGTCCAACAAAACACTTCTGTCTGATAATGTTTTCCATTGTGTCCAAACATCTGGACCTTAATCCCTGGCTGCTGGAGACATCAGGCTGTCCCAGAAAGCGAAGTCTTCCACGGGACTGTATTAAAATATATTTTGTCTGAACAATTAACAACCACATAAAGATGCCATTTTTTTTACAGCTATCCACCAGCATTGCTTTTATCTTTAGGTTATCAGCCATGACTTTCTGTTGACCTCCAAATCATTGAACATCAGGCCTAAGACGCTGTCCGGCAGTTTTTGGAATCAGTCACCATTAGCATAAAAGACCAACAAAACAATAAAACACAATAATGTGCTTCCTAGCATAGTGATAACATGCAAGAGCTAAAATTAAAAGAATACAAAAGGCCCATTAGATAGCACTAGGAAATTTGGAAACACCAGGATTAAGGTCATCCATGTCACCATAACTTGGCTCCGCAATGCAGGTGCGTTCTGATACAGCTTTATTGACTATTTCCACAGAACTGCACTCTTGTTATGTTGCACACACAGATACTTAACAAGCAAGCATTCAGTTTTTTATATCACCACTCTGGACAGCCTTAAGCCTCGTTGACCACACACAAATTTGACCTCGTGAAGCAGATCATTTATCTCCTGTACCCACCACAGAAATACCAGTGCTCCATAAGCACTCATCTATCCCTACAATGTCCCTGTTTTAGTTTTTGTAAGGGAAGGGAATCACAAAAGACACAGTGACACACAGTAAGAGAGATGTACCCACTAATTCCAAGAGGACAAACTGATATCTGTGACCTCTTTTTTTCCTTTAAAGGAAAATTCCTATTACATACATTCATATCACTGCTCCTATAGATTTCTATGCTACTCCTATGAGCTACAACACTTCTGCAAAGCAGAAGAGGGTCTGACCTGTAACAGAGGAGTGTTCAATGACACTTGAGATTATGGTTTTGGAAACACCAGATGTTAATTATTTCAGGGTAACTCTCTATGGTCATTTGTAGCCTGAGACAAATGCAAATCCACTGCAGATTCAACCTAACTCATACTTGCACACACTTCAAGGCAAGATTATCTGTTGGGCTGTAGGATACCACAGCAATCTGTGGCAGAGGCAAATGTAATCAACAGTTCTTCATACTAGCAAATGCCTTCCCTAGATCATGCTCCACAATTCCACAATCCCATGTCAATGCATTTCATTTTCTCTTCACAGAATATTCCTTTCAGGTTCAGCAAACATCCTATCATGCACCAATAACTAATCAAGGAATAGGGCCAAATTAAGGTGTAATCAGATAGGAGGCACAAAATAGAGTTTTAAAGTTCCTTCTCTCCCAAGCTGAAACTGTGACTGTCCTCCTCATTCCCTTGCACACACTCATTCATTCCATTGACAAGTAACATGCCAAAATTAGAATTTGTGACTGCAGAACTTCTCCTGTCAATTCCTTCTGTTAGGCACTATGAGGAACTGCCAAGGGAAAGCAAGTATGTGCACACACACAGTTACAATATCTCAGCAGAAGAGAGAGAACTTACCATAACACAAGGTTTTACCTCATTATACCCTCAGGCATGTAGCCAGTCAAATAGTCATTTTCTAAGCTCCAAGCACTGCATTTATATACAAAGCAAGGATTATGTGTACAAACTGCATGTGTATATGTAGATGTGCAAGTGCAACAGTGTTCCTTAGAGCTCTGAGATCGTAAGCCAATGCAAACCAATCTGGAAAAGGAATAAGGATCTTAAAAGGCAACACGAGTTTCAAAATTATGCAGCTCAGGGAAGAAGAGAGACTCTCTTGGAGTCCTCTACTGAGGGAAAGGCTAATAAGCTCACCCTTGATTAGACATCAGAGAATCCACACAGGAGAGAGCCGCTGGAAACCAGGCATCATTAGTTCCGCTGCTCACGGAACCACTTGTTAAAAAAAGCAAACAGAAATTCCAACGTGTGGCATCATACTGACACCCACGTTGGTCATCAGCAATCTTAAAATCCACTGCACAGACCTCTGCCACTGCAGCTAAGATGATAAATGACAGCAACAATACTTTGTCACCTTTTTCTAGCCTAAGAGGGAGATGAGGTTCTTTGCCAGAGGAGGTCACATTCTTATGCTGACATCAAAGCCATGGCAAAATTTAGAAACACTGGGTTTAATATTTCTAGGCTTTGGAGGGAATGTGGTCAAACTTTCTGCCTGACACTTCAAACTTAATTCCCCTTTTGCCCTTAGCCTTTTAGCCCAGAGCAATCCCCTCTCCTGCACCAAGGCCCAGACCCAAGCCCTTTACCCACACGCCTCTTGATCCTCCACTGCAGGGCATTTTGCTACTTCATTCCCTCAGTTACCTAACACTTATCTCCTCTCCCTCATGCTTCTGTTTCCCAAGGCCCAGACCCAAGCCACCAGACCCACATGCACCAGCCTCTTGATCCTCCACTGCAGGGCACTTGGCTACTTCACTCCCTCAGTTACCTAACACTTATCTCCTCTCCCTCATGCTTCTGTTTGTCTGTCCACATCCCATACTCTTGTCCCTATCTGTTCTGACAGTTCTAGGTACCTCATTTTCCACCACCTAGCAGGTCTGGTTCTTTCCTCCACCCCCCAGTCTTGGCTGTTTATAGCTAGCTTATTCCTGTGCTAGCTCTCCCCTCTGTCCCTTGCAGAGAGGCTCCCCATCACATCCTCTGCTGCATTCCCTAGTTTGTAGGCTCTTGTCTCTTCTCTCCTCCTTTCTGGCTCCCATCTCTACCAAGTTTCCAGATTTCCTTGCACAAACAGCTCCAGTCCCTGCTCATTCTCATCCCTTCCACATTTGAACCAAGCAGTGTCTTCTCATGCCTTGCTGTTGTGTCCATCAGAGGGGGAGGTTACTGTCCACACTGGGCACTAGAGACCCTTCTGAAGCAGAAGGAGCAGCTGTGCCTGAAGGAAAAGCATGTTTGGCCCTTCAGTGCAATTCTAGAAGATGCTTAGAGCTGCAGGAAGAGAAGATATATAGCCCAATCTTACACAGAAACTGAGAGAAGTTAGGCTGCATTTGTCCCCTCTGTGGAGATGGACTGTCTGCTCAGTGCCTGGGGTCATGCAAGCCTCAAGAAGCCTCTAAGAGAATATTACCTTCACATATTTCCACCTGCAAACTATAAATCATCTCAGAGCATGCTCAACAGATTTTTTCCAAGCTTAAAACTGGCCAAATTCAACAATATTGTCACAGACATATGTGGCTTACCAAACTCATAGCCAACACATTACAAATTGATTCAAAACTATGGGAAGTTCACTAAACAGTAATGCTAAATCCAGTACAGGAGAGAAAAAATAGGCTTAAAACAAGACATGTCTGAGAAGATGGCCACCTGCTGTATTCAAACCACCAGTTCCCCTTGTGTCCATAACCTTCTCTCTAATGAGGGTCTCCATCCAGCTTCCTCACCTTCTACAGCTCAGTTCACTAAGGCTTCTGTACACTTTTGCACCTTGGACTCATCTCTGAAGTTTCCAATGTCCCTCAGCTGCTTAATGTCTCTCAACCTTCCTGCTGTTCCCCAGTGAAAGTAAGGAAAACTCAAAACTAGAAGTGGAGAAGACAGAGCTTGTTGATTGCACTATGACGGTGAGGCCCTTCTCAAGCCGACAACCTTTCTGCTGGTATCCAAGCTCCAGAGCACAGCTTGCAAAACATTCCAGACTATAAACTGCTGTTCATCCTAGATTTTACTTAGTACCAGAGCTTAGCAATGCCTATACAGAGCTCTCTTCCTCTTACAAAGAAACTGCTTAGAGAACTGTCAAGAGAAAGAGAACTGATCATCAGGCCCAGAGCGGCTGAACACTTTGTCAGTCTTGTCCACTGATCACATCACACCACAGACTTCTGAAACTGCACAGGTACAGGCACCACACCAGGACTAAAAACCAATCCTACTGTATCCAGGACCTGCTTGCTACCTTTTCCTCAGCACCTTTTAAAGCACTGGGAAGAAGCCATGTGCTCCACACTGCCAGCATCTTTCTAGAGGGACTCTCGATGCTGATCTCATTTTCCAAAGAAAAAGCGAAATCTACAAAGGCGTTGGGGAAGATTAACAAAGAGCTGACAATGAATCCAGACAAGACTGAAGTGACATTACTCATGAAAGAAAATGCTTCACAGGACTGGGTTAGATGCTGTCCCCTGCAGGTGCAAGGATTCTTCCAGTAGCACAGTGAAAAGCACCAAGGACTCTGCCTGATGAATCCTAAGGACAGACGTCAAAGATCTGCAAGCATTGCCATCAGCAGCAAAATCCTCACACCTTTCCTTCCAAAAAAAAAACCCCTAGTCATAGAGATTCTTCCACCACCTTCACAGCAGCCTACTAATTCACTTCTAGACATGATACAGCAGTAAAACAGCTGCCATTTGCTGGAGCAGGCATCTCTACATTTAGTAGAGAATGGGATGAGTACTGCAGTACATGTATCAAGGTTTATGCTCCAATACCTCCCACATCTGCCTGGCTGTGCTGCTCACTCAAGGCCTTACTCTGTCTTTATCACCATACTAGGAGTCAGGAATTACAAATATTAGCCACCTGCCCAGACACTCATGACAAGAGAGCTCACAGAGCTCAAAAACAAAGCTTAAAAAAATAATTAAATTTGACAAAACAATCCCAGGTTTTAGGAATTGGGTATTAAAAAAAAAATAAAAATCACACTGATCAATGTAGTACAACTCCTTCCAGGAATCAGAGTACATTATTCTCAGTGTCTCATCATGGGAATCAGTGAAATCATACAAACGTAGTCATATGAATGCCAAAACCAACTCCTCCTCCAGCCTGAGAAAGAAGCAGGAGTAGAGCAACCTCACCCACAGTCTTAATTTAGCTAGCATATGTCTGCATACTGTAGTGACTAGAACTACTGAAATCATCCTCTACAACACAGAAGGATCCCAGTAATGCTCAAAGTTTTAGCCTGTGAGTCTATTCATATGCATATTATAGAGAAACGATTTTACTATGCTGCACAAAGGCCTTCTCTCCCACAGCTCCAAGAGAAGATAGTGCTTTCCTTTAGATTTCCAACAATCATTTTTAGTTCCAAACTTGTACATGGGATGCATCATCCAAAGTGCAGATCTCAAGGAGGGCAGAAGTACTCCCTCCTGAAGTACCATTATTGGGGGTCTTCAATAAATCTCAGTTTAGCTCTCTCACACCTAAGCACTGCTCAGAGAAAGGCCTGCTTAGAGTGGGAGCTGGTTAAAGAGGTACCACACTCAGATTAAACATAAAGAAATCTTAAACATAAAGAAATTACATGTTCCCACATATACACTCATCTGTTTTTTTCCCTGCAAAGGCTTTTTCATGAGCTGTTACACAGACTAAGCATGTTCATGAAGTTTCTGCTGAGTCACTCCACCTGGTCTTGGGCATCTTTTTTCCAAACTTACAAGTAAACAAGGAGCTATAATTAAAGCCCTGGTTCAGCTTTAATTCTAGTGTTCACTGCCAATTGTGTCCCCTGTAAATACATATTTAACAACCTAATTAGCAACCCAGACTGTAAGCAGCTTGAGTAGTGTGGATCTGTGGCTATGGCCCAAAATAAATGGTGGGATTACAAATAGCAAGCCACCTAACACTCCCACCCTTCCTCACCATACGCTGATTATATTTTCAAAGTGGAAGAACTGGGACACTGGCTAAGATAAAAAGGCTGATCCAAGCTCTGGTTTTGTACCCATTTAACTATGTTGATTAAAAAAAAGTAAACATTGAAAAACCGCTATAGATAAAAGTGAAAAAATGCCTGGGGTGGATGCACAGATTCTATGTAGATGCCTTCATATTCCTAAGGCAGAATTCCAGAAAGGTTAACTATATCTGTACCAAAACAAAGAACATCTAGGATGATAAAAGCAAAACTGTTTGATATGGGATCCTGGGCACATTATAGGCAAGTGAGAAGACTTAGGGACCGTCTCCTATTTCTGTTTCAATTTGGCTATTTCGCCTCTTATTTATCTTAATCATCCATCAGAAACACCTATCATGGAATCACCCAAAAGTGCTCCTGCTTCCCACCTAAGACAGACCATCACATTTACTGCCTTCCACTTTCTGCTCTGTCTGGTTCCCACCTTTGCTGAAACACCCACTGCTTATCCTCTGGTTCAAGTATTCCCTCCTACCTTATCTCTCCCCTCCCCACCACTTGTAAACTAAAGCCACATCCCTCCAAGTTCAGAAACTCAACCTCAGGGCTCAGAACTCTCCTCCCTCTTATCTGACACACTTAGGGCTCAGAAACACCCTTAATATTTAATTCAGAAATATCTCTTTTTTTTCCCTTGTTTTGTTTGGAATGCTGAGATAGAAGATCACATGGGGCAATACACACAGGAGCAGACACTACACACAGCTCACTTCCTGCTCAGTGTGTCTCCAGTTTGTAGTCTTGACACTGGACAGACTGGAGTCCCAACTGAGGAGCACCCAGGAGGAGCAGGGCTCTCAGCTACACCAGGAGTGCTCCAGCTGCACCAGCCAGCACTGCACTCTGCAGTAGAGCAGCCATACTACCTGGCTGTGCCATCAAGGATGTAGTTTAGCCTCCATAACATCCTGGTCATTAACTAACCTAGTAACATTAACAACTATATATTCAGGAAATCAAGACTGTCCACTAAAAGGAAATTCTTAGTTTTGGGTCAACCTATCAGCTTGTAACTATTCCTGACCAAAAGAAAACTCAACTCTTTCTGCAGCTCTAAGATTCTCTACTCAGGGACTCTCTAGGTACAAGGCAGAGATCTCTTGTTCCCCATGTAACCCTCTGAAGGGTTACACCCCATCCCCATGCAATGTTACAGTCAAGGTTTAACCCCACTCCCCACCTGTATGTCTTGCCATCCTTGTGCTGGTCCTCATCATCCTCGTTTGTCAGCACAAAGGGGTCGCTCATCTCTGGCAGCCCCGACTCCTGCAATCGTTTCTTCTTCCGGCCCCGGGGTGGCTTGGGGGCAACTCCCCCAGCCCCGCCACCTTCTGCAAGGGTGGTTGTCCCTTTCTTGGACAGGTCTGGAACCACCTGCAGGGCTGCCTGGGAGCCAGGGGGTAGCGCAGAGACAATCATGGGGGCTGAGATGGGAAAGGTCTGGGCAGAGGCGGCTGTGGTCACCAGAGAACCTGACGGGGAAGTTATCACCAGACCAGGACCTGCAAACAAAGGAAGGTGGAGGAAGTCAGTTATTACATCTCCAATTATGCCCAACCTCCTTATCCCACAGAAGCACCTGCTTTTGACTACAACACAAACAGAAGGGTAGCTTCCCCTCCCAAAGCATTCCCAGTCTCCACTGCTGGAAGTCAAACTTCCCTAAAAAGGGTGGATGTATGGAGTGCCTAGAGACTCACAGCGAAACCACACCAAGGCAGGCCACACCATCAGTAAGGCTGGGAATAACCTACAGGCCAATAAGGATTCTCCAGGACCTCGTGTTGCCCCATCCCACAGTGCCCTTTGTAGGCTGCTGCAGCCCTTGGAGTGCCCTACCTGCTGTCATGAGCCCAGCAGACTGCACTGGTACCACGGTGATGTTCTGAGTCACGGGGGCTTGGCTGTGTGGTGTCAGCTGCTCCGGCTTGGTGTCCGAGTCCATGGAGATCCCAGTGGGCAGGGCCACAGAGGTGGGGACTGTCAGCAAGGCAGGGTAGTGGGGGGGAGCCAGGCTGCAGCCCTTCTCTGTGGGCAATAGCTGCTCCTTCATCTTGTTAATGAACATGGTGTTCTCAATCTAAACGGGGGAAGGACAGGTTTTAGCACAGCCTGGCACAGCTTTGCCCAGCATTTGGCTGAGCAAGGAATGCAACAGAAACACTCATCGTGCAACACACATTGTAAACTTCTGACAGGAAGCAAGACCAACACAACAGGCTGGAAGATCTTACCTGTCCCGAGACGGTGGGCACTGCTGGCCAGAAGTACGGGGAGGAGTTGAAATGAGATTCTTCCATCCTAGCTGGGCACAGCGGGCAAGAAGAAGGGGGAAGGAAGACAGACACACAAACACACACGAAAAACCCATTAAACTCAAAGAGATTCCAACATGGAACTGACTCAGTCTAATGCTGTGACAGTTCCTTAATCTCCCATTTCTTGAGCAATTTCTCCCCCCTTTTGAGCTATCTGCCCAAATAAAAAAAATTATTTTCAGGGGGAAAAGATGCCTGTTATTCCCATGGGCTTGTGTCCATCTGACATGCCCCTTGCCCAGTAGTCCTCCATGCAAAAAACAGACTAGAAACCCAGAACACATTCAAATTTTCCAAATTATCGTCCACCCAAGTACAAGGCATAAATGAAGTCTGTGCATCTGCAAGCAGGCAAATACAGATGAAAACTGCTTTTCACCATCACAGACAGTCTGACCCCACAGGCAGAGAAAATCTTGGACCTTGCCTGTCCCTCCACCCCAGCTCAACCCTAAGGACCCAGATGCAGCAAAGGGACATTAGCAGTATGTTACACAGGAAGAAAGACAGGCAGAGAGAGGGAAACAGACTTGCCCAAGATAACAGACAGCCACAGCAGACCAAGAAGTCAAACTCAGGGCTCCTAACTTCCTGCTGCCCACCCAGCCCCACTCTTGAAAGAAACACAGAAATATCATTCAATATTCCTGCTCTCCTCCAATGTGACTAAGCAGTAGGAAAATAACCTGATTCCCCTGCTCCTGAGATACCCTATTTCCAAGTGAAATCATGTTGTGGGTCCCACTGCCCATTTTCTTCCCATCTTTGGGACAAGATTCTGTAGGACTCTGTCCCCAGGCAAGTGCCCACTGCTCCATCTCAACTCTCCCTGCATTCAGAAGATGAGTTAGACACCAAAAGAGTCTCCTGAGCACAGAGGTGTAATCTCTTTGGGAACACCTGACTGAAGAAGCACTTTCCTTTCTAATCCTTATATTCCTCTATGTAATACCATTAGTGAACAAAGTTTGTGACACTTGCAAAAACACTACTCAAAACCTAAAGAAATTAACAAAAGAGTATTTTCTGAAACAGAAGATACATCTATTCCTAAACAAATATGGCAAAAGTGGTAGGTAAAAACTATGTTCAGAATACATTTGGCAGAGAGCATAACTATTGCATGTTTTTCATTCAGCTACCTGCAAACTGTCCTACTCATATTTCTGTTTTGGTCTGTCAGTGGTCTAATAATTGAACAATATTGCTTCTGAAGGGTCTATCTCAATCATCAGGGGAGCCCAGAGGGATGCCCCCAGTAGCATGAAACACATTACAGAAGTATATGAAGACAGAATAAATACATGTGGAATTGCTGTGTGTGAGCCAAAATGCAAAGATAATTTTCCTCTATGTGGAGGAGCAGTATTTAAATGAACCAAATTACCCGATAATTTTGTTTTTATGAATTGCTCATGCAACAGCAAGGCCAAGTACTCCTGCCTCACTCAGTCACTGCAAATCAACCAATAAACACACTTAAGGATAAATTATTTACCTTACGTTGGTGGCATGCAGTCAGACTGCTCGCTGCCTGACTGAATTACTCTGGATTTACACCGCTGTGATTCAATCAGAGGCTGATGGGGCAAGACTCTTACCTTCCTTCCTCTGCTTTCTTTGCTGAGCCAAATTAATTATTAAGTACACTGCCCACAGCACAGCCCTATGCATGTAACACTTAATTACATGACTTTTTTCTTCCACAGGATGGGCACACATGAGATAACACATCCTTGGCAACTGAGCACCACCTGAATCAAGAGCGGTATTTTGCTTGGAATTTCCAAGTTTGAGGTTTTTTGCTTGGTGGTTGTTTTGTTTTTGAAATAAATAAGCAGTTATTTGCTTAGCTTCCACATCAAAAACACCAAAGTGAACCTGACTGTCCGAAACCACAAAGTCTCATATAATAATAATAATAATCAGATGCATTTTCCAGAGAAACTTTGTAGTTGTCCAAGACTCCCTGGGATGCAACTGCAAACTTCAGGAGTTAAACAGAAAGATGCCAATTTAAGCAAAAAAAACCTCACAACAGCTTTCTTATTTAAAGAGAAGAAGTAATGAAAGGAAAGCCCATGTCCAGATTCCAAAATCCAGACTAGCAGAGGCCAGGGCACTCCGTGGCTGCCTGTCTCCATCTTGTCTTCCACCAGAACCTCACAGAGAATCTAACTTTTGTTTGCTCAGCTTACACAGTGTGCAAGTCAAACACGGCTCTTACTGATTCTTCAAAGGACGGCTACACTGATTTCATTAGACTCCCTTAGAGTCCACCTCCCTGTCCAAAAATCTCAGTGCTTGAGCATGTTATCTATCAGGCCTCAAACTTCGGGCTTGAAAGGCTGAAGTGTGATGGAGTTATAAGAACGTGGAAGAAAAGGAGAAATGGTGTAAAAGTTGAAGCTTTCATGCAATTTCACTAGCAAGCCAGTCTTCCAAAGGCAGAAAACAAAGGTAAGATTCCTCCACCAACCTACTGGCCTAGTGCCCAGAGCTGTCCCTCCCCTACCCCACTTTCAGGCTCCAAGGGTATTTTGGAAACATGCACCCCTATTGGCAGCCCCCATCAGACGCTGCTCACACTTACTTTACCAGAACTCTGCTCGTAACCCTTCCAATTGCTCTATAACTACCAGACATGGGCTGGAGCTTCAACCCTGCACCACAGCACGCTCCCACTGCAGGGCCTTCATCATCCCAGCTTCCACAAACACGCCAGAGATGGGACCTTCTTCCTATTCACCAGTCTAGTATCAGACAGATGCCAACGTACCCTCCTGATGTAAACCAAAAACACTTTCTGTGTACAGACCACAAATGCACATACACCAAATAAACAACCGAGTGAACCAGAGAACTCACAAGGGACAAGGGATCTGGAGTTCAGACCTCACAGAATCACATACTGAACGTGCTGCACTTATGCTTCTTGGCAGGTCATCACTTTAATCGTAAACAGATAAATAAAAGCACGTGCAAGTACACGGTGAGAGAGAGGCTGTGTTTCTGGAAGGCACAGTCAAGGTTGGATATGCAGGTATTTATTCACAAGTTGACTTTTAACGTGGGTTTCTTTACTCTCCAGATGCCTGGCTTTTATTTCCCATTGGCATGGAGTTTCCAGTTAACAAAAGGCCCTGAGAGCGATGCTCGGGAACAATTTACACTGTTGTTTTACGTCTGCCCAAGATCTTTGTTCAATGACAAGGAGCTCTTAGGCTTAATTGCTGCAAAATACTAAGGATGCTGAAAGCCACACAGGCTGTCACAACAACACAAAAAACGCTTCCCCGGTAATCATAAGCACCACAAAGTTCAAACGCTGTTACACCTTTAGAACAAGCGCGTTTGAACACCCATCAGGAACACCCCAAATGTCCCGGATACCAAACCCGCACACCAGAGACAGAACTGCGGTGCCGTTCCCCGGCACTTGTGCAGCCTCTGAGGAACAGGTGCCTGCCAGAGGCAAACCCCGCGCCCCGGCTCCCCGCTCCCCGCGGCTCAGGCGCCCTCTCGCCCCCGCTGCGGGACCCGCGGCCCATCCCGCCTCTCCCAGCCCCGGCGGGGCTCACCCGCGCAGCTCCGGCAGCTCCTTACCCCTCTCACTCTCCCTCCTCTTGCATGTCTCCTCCTTGCAGGGCCGGCTCTGCGAACAACCCGCCGGGGTTACCGGGGCCCCGCACGGCNGGAAGCCCCGCTGCCCGGCCCCCCGCCCGCGGCCCCGCCGCCCCGCACGTTACCGGGCTCCCCCCCAGCGGCGGCCCCGGCCCGGCTCCGGCGGCGGCGGCCTCCTCACCGGAAAGACAGCGGGGAGGAGCTTCCGGGTCAGGGGGCGGGCCGCGCCTCGGCGCTTCCGGGTCGCCGGCAGGAGCGGAACGGCGTCATCAGCGGAGCGGTTTCGCTTGCAAACGGGGCGGCGGAGCGGCGGCAGCGGCCCGGGGCGGGCTCCGCGGGGCGGGGGCACCGGCAAGAGAGGGGGGCGGTCGCCCTCATGAATATTCATGAGGCGCCGTGAATGGTGATTCGGCCGCCGCCGCCGCCGCTTCTGGGTCGGTGCGGGACGGGGCCGGCCCGGAGGAGTTTTCCCGAGCGCCTGGGACGGTCCCAGCCCGCGCTGGCCCGAGCGCTTCCTGTTAAACGCGTTTGTCCCGCTAAGCCCACAGCAAGGAGTTCCCGCCCGCTGGCCCGGTGCCAGAACCGGCACCCCGGACCGTCTCGTTCCCGGTGGGAACAGCGGGGAATGGCCGGGCGTGGAGGGCAGCCCTGCTCCCTCAGCCGGGGCTCCGTGTGAGCTCGGCCAAGCGCCGCCTGTGCTTGTCCTGTGGCCGCTTCAGAGCTGCGGGCTGAGCTCGGCTTCGCTCCGGGATGAGCCCGGCTTTGGCGCCGGGCCGCCTCCAGGTCGGGCTGGGTTACCTCCCTCACCCGCGGTGTTGAGCTGTTTGCAGTGCTCTGGCTTGACAGAAAGCTCTTTTTTTTTTTTTTAAATTGTTGCGTGAGTTTTCTGCCAGCTTGGCATGCTGTTACAGCTCTTCCGAGGCAGCGTGAGTAAGAGGGTGGGACCGGGCAGGGCACAAGCAGAGCGGCCAGCGGTTAGATGGGCTCGGGCGGTGGCGAAGCCGCAGCATCCGGAGCAGCGGGCAGAGGGAAACCTGCCTGTCCCCAGAGCCCGCGGGGCTGCTGCTCATCGCAGGGGACACCAGACTTCCTCCTGGAGGAGTCGGGATTAGCCCTGCCTTCTTCAGCTGGAGTCACGTGAAGGCAATTGTTGATTTATTTAAATAAAAGGAGTTGGCAGCCTAATCAGTTTGGAAATTAATTTCCTTGTTAATTTGGGGGTTTTGACTTGCTCATGAATATTCACAAATGCTCATCTTGTTGTGGTGGTTTTTTTTTTCTCCTCTCCTCTATGTAATTTATTTTTGTGATTGTCAGATCACCTCTGAAGGTGACATTTCTCTCCTCGTTCTGCAACGCAGCAAATGTATTCAATCTTATGCCTTGGAAGAGGAGCTCCATCCTGGCACTGACATCTCTTTTACTTCTCTCTTCTTTGCCAGAGTGTCCTTTACAGCCTCCTTCCTCCCTGCATGCTACCTGGGAAGAAACAGGAGTGAGTCTCCTGGAAGAGGGCTGGCCTGGACGTGGTAACCGGGAGTGCTTGTCAGAATGCCCTATACCTGGCAAGGGAGATTGTCACTTGAGGACTGGGACAAAGTGGTTAATTTTTCTTAGGGTGCCTGGAGTTTTCTGCTCCCCCTCCTACCCCGCGCTGCCAAGCACCCTTCAGCAGCACGTGAGGCAGCGTGACTAACATCTGCCACAGACACTTGATTTGTCTTATCTCCTTTCCTTCGCAGGAGGCAAAGTCAGAGAAACACGGGTGTGTGTGTGTCTCTGGAGAGTACAGCTGGTCTCTTTACCTTCTTTCCCAGCTCTCTTTTCCCTCCCTTTACTTGTGCTGGCAGCTCTTGCTCCTTTCCACACAAGGGAAGAGCATCCCGGTTGGCACTGCGGGTTTCTCCTGGTGAGACATGCCCGTGTCCCACGTGTGTGTGTGTGTCTGTGTGTTTAGGGCTTCTAGGATTTCATAACTCTGGCAGGCTGGGCTCAGCTGAGGAGCGTGGTGAATAAAAACCTGTGTAACATCCCTGGAGCTGGGGGCGGCAGGAGCAGTGTGGGGTGAGGAGGTGCCCTCCTCAAGTGCCTTGATGTGTGCAGTGGAGACCCCCAGGCCAGTCTCCAGACCAGCTCATTTCTTTGGAAAGGCCAGCTTTGGTACAGCCTCCCATTTTCCAGCTCGGAGCTGTGTGAGGAGGGGTGGCCAGGCTGCAGCAGCCATGGGGTTTGCCCAGCAGCACCCCCAGCCCAGGCAGGGAGCTGGGGAGGGGGTGGCAGAGATGTTCCCAACTCTGCAGCAGGGAAATGAGGCAGCAGCGATGCAGAGTGACTGCAGGAGGTGAGGGAGCCCTGGAGCAGGTGGTAGGTGGAGGTTAGCGGGGCCTCCCTCCCGGGAGCAGAATCATGTGAATAGCACAGCCGGGTTCCCACCTCCTGCTGAGGGCACCAGCTCCTGACAAGCTCAGAAAAGAAAACCTGTGGAGAAAGCCAGCCGGTTACCAGGACAATTGCTCTCTCGCAACCTTTGTAACAACTTCTGCTGTGCAGCTCTGGCCCGGGAGGGTGGCAAACACACACCTCCACGCTGGCTGCCTGTTCCATCTCCCATCCTTGTTGCCTCCTCCACAATCACATCTGACTGTCACGTTCCCACCTCAGCACTTTCCTTCTTTATCTACTCTCCTGATTCCTCCAGTTCTCTCTTTTTTCACCACTCCAGCACAGAGCACACCCCCCTGGCTCTTCAGTTGTGATTACAGACCATCCTCCCGTGGTGCCACTCCACTCCCTTGTGCTCGAGCACCTTTTGTTTGCTGTCTGTGTGTAAGCTGCACTGCCCACGGTGGCTGTCCTGGTAACATACGTGGTATTTTGTGTCACAGGATCCTGCTTGGCTGGCTCCTAGGGCTGCTAAACCTGGCCTAATGAGGCCTCATTAAGCTGGCTCAAGTGGTACCTGAGTTTGTTGGGGCTATACTGACCAGTAGGCAGAGATGGACAGATTGACTTGGAAGGTGTGATGATATAGTGACACACATTTTAAGGATGGCAGCTGCTCATTCTCACCCAAATTTTTAGCAGCTTGTAGGACAATATTTGGTTTATTCTGCAGCTGGTATTTTAATCTTGAGAGTACATTTCTCAGCAAGGCGTGTTGTCCTCACTCTTTTCAGGGAACTGACATCTCTTTGGCAATCGGCTGATTAAATCCCCTGGCAGCACACAGCAGAGAGCATTTCAGCACGTCATTCTTGGTAGGTTTTTTTCTGTTGTGTTTTTTTTTTTTTCTCCTGCTGCATGGAAATAGATTGCATTTTCCCCTGCTTGGTAACTTTTCTGCTTAGTGTTGTTTAAGCTTTTAGAAATACACGGTAATGGAGAGTTATAGATGCGTGTTATCCTGCACATGCTTGGTTGCCTGAATAATTTCATCATAATGGCATCTTGCTCTGTTGAGGGCAAGGAGCAGAAACCACACACCTGGGATACACTCTGGAATTTGAAGCACATGCAGCAACAATGCAATCCTTTTTCAGTGAAAGAAGTAAGTTTCTATAAGTTTCTCTGGAACTGGGAGAAACTGGGAGGACTGGGAACTTGGAGGTGGGTCCCTGTTGGGCAGGAATGTAAAAACCTGTGATTGGATCAGCCTTGGCTCCAGGCTGAGTTCATTTGGCCACTGTAGTGTAGTAAGGGCAGTTAGTTACTGAAAATCTGACCAATGTGCCATGAATACAAATCCCATAATTTCGAAGGAGGAAAGAGTATTACTCATTAGATGTGTCAGGACAGCAAGAGTGGCTGAGGACCTTCAGCTCAGGGCAAAAATCCCAGTTACATCAGGAGTGCCTGAGAGGGTCTCTCTTCAGTGGGCACAGGCAAAGCCTGCTCCAGTAGGGCGATAAGTTCTCTGTGGCAATAACCCCTGTATTTTATTAGATCCCCACAAAAGTTATCAAGAAGCATTTTGAACATGATTCAGCAGTGAGCCCTTCAAGCAGTGAAGGTCCCCTAGGCTGCATTAGCAAAGGTGTAGTCAGCAGATCAAGGGAAATTATTATTCCCATCCACCTGAGAGGTGTGAGGCCCCACCTGGAAGATTACACCCAAGCTGCAGCATGGCCAGCAAAAGGCCCCCAAGGGGAGGGGAGAGCACACAATGCACAAGGAGAAGCCTGGGGGAGCTGGGTTTGTTAAACAGGGAAGACTGAGGGGGTTTCTAGTTGCTGTCTGCTCCTACCTAAAGGAAAGCTGTAGAGAAGAGGAAGCCAGCAACAAACAAGGGTCAAGAAACAAGGGACAAATGTTGGAACAAAGAAATTCTAAACATGTGTAAGAAAAAATTTCTTCCCCTTGAGAGCAGTTCAGTAGGGGAAGATGTACCTTAAAAGACTGGGATATCTCCATCCTGGGAGAAGTTCAGAAACTTGTGAGCAAGGCCCTAAAGCAAGCTGGTCTAGCTTTGGATTTACCCTGCTATAATTGGACTAGAGGCTTCTAGAAATCCCTTCCCACCTGACTCTTTGTGTGGCTCAGTGTTTCTGTGCTGCTGATCTGCCATGAGCCGGTGCTCAGTGTCTTCACAACGCAGGGAGCCAGAAGGTCAGTGTGCTTGTTTGGCCCCGTGGAAATGCATCTGTGCTGACAGCAGCATTAGCATCTGCAAAGCCTTTCTGCACGAATGTCTCTTCTCCAGCTGGCTCACCACCCTCTGCAGCACAACTTGTCCCATTTTATACTACACATGCACCTCCTAACAGCAAGATCTGGTTGGTTTGGGGGTGACTCCTTAAGCTGTGACACCCATGTTTTTCTGAACAGCAGCAATCACTGAAATGTCATTTAAAACTATATTGCAGCATGCGAGAGTTCCCTCCCTACACAAAACCTGCACCCCTTCAGAAGCAGAGAGACTTTAATAACTGCTTTAAATTCTGGTTTAGGTGTCTGCGTGTTTCTTTGCAGTCGGAAAATCTGTGATGGGTTTCAGGGGATTTCTGTTCCCTTTCAGAAGTTAAGTAGTCACTTCTCAGCCCCCCTATTTTTCAGAAACATGCCTCTGTGATAGCCTAAACTGTGGCTTTCAGCTCACCAGGAGAGCAGAGGGGTGGGTGCTCGGCTGATGCACTCCTCACACACAGCACCTTCAGTGCTCACCACAGTGCTGCTAAAACACCTCTGGGTCTTTACAGCTGCCTCCTGTCATTTCTCAATAAGAAAGATGATGCTGAAAAAGGTGGGAGAAGAGGACAGAATAAAGGGTGGAGAGCAGTAACTTGATGTATTAAGGCAAAAGCAGACCTCGAGAAGCTCTATCAAAGCAAGACTGGAGCTCACCACCTTACCTTGATATTTGTGGATTTTTTTTTTTTCCCAAAGCCCTCTGAGGAAGCAGCAGTTTTGGGAGCAAAGATTTGCAGCATATCCATCAACTTCAGAGTAAGCATGTCAGGGCTGGGGAAAAGGAGCTATATTTCAAGAAGAGAAAAAACAAAGTACTCTGAGCAGCTGCAAACCCATTAGTCTAGTCTCAACAGAGTATAAGGTTAAGAACAAATTACAGAAGGAAAACAGAATTAAAGCTACAGCAGTAAGTGGAAAATGGAATCAAATACAAAATGGGTTTATCAACAAAAGCACTGTGTGCCCTTAACTTGATCCTTTTCTTTACCACCTTTCCCTTACCTGGGTAAAAAAAGAAATTGGTAAATCTAATCTAGTTGGATTTCAGTAGGGCATTTGTTGCAGTAAGGGCTGGAAGGCAGCTAGATAAGCTGAAGTGAAAGGAATTAGTAGGAGAATTTTAGATGGGTAGAATGCCGGGGAGAGGCAGATGATGTGTGGAGTCAAAAGGGAACTGCCACCATGGAGGAATGTCACTGGCCTTGGGAATAATTCTGCTTTCAGTAATGGCTCTAGCTCAGCAAAAAGCAGCATGAAAAGGAAGTTTGCTGATTAAATGCATTTAGGAGAATTACTCACAGTCTGAACAGAGAAGTGTGAGGTCCTGTTCTTTGCTCCTGCTAACAGGAATGTCTTTTACACACAGAGATTCGCTGGTTAGAAATGACAGAAGAAGAGACAGATCTGGGTGCATTCATCATTCACGAGATGATTATGAAGCCCCGATGTGACGTGATCACAAAGACAACAGCCTTAAAGAGATCATTACGTTAATCTTATTTAGGATGCTGTATACAATTTGTCACTCATCTTCAGCAGTGGGCTCGGGGCTGGCAGCAGTGTGGGGGAGCTGGAATAGCAGAGTCTGTCTCTGCCTATCCTTGCTCTCCATAACAGCGGACATGGAGCCTTCCTTAGCTTAGGGAAAGGCTGGAATGGATGAACTCCTCTCTAAAAACCCATTTTACACACAGGGATGTGAGCAGTGAAATGAGCCATTAGAGAAGGGACAGAGCTCAGCCATGATTTAGTTGGGCAGTCCTTTTCTGAGTTTGGCCCTTTTTAAGGCTGCACAGATTTACCTCTCCCTACACTTTGCTGTGCTTCCTTGGCAGGCAGAGCAGGTTAGCACGACAAGCACAGCATTATAAGAAAAGATGTGCTGAACACAGGCCCACAAGCCCACATTTCTCTGCTCCATCCCCCAAAGAGTTTTTCCTTCAAGGGTAAGAGATCAGTCTGAAGTCTTGTGCTCTTTATCTAGGTGACTTCTTGGTGTTTCTCTCACACAATGCCTGCTCCCATAAGCTCTCTCAGAAAGGAAGTTTAAAACCCAGCATCTCAGAAAAGGATCGGTTCTTTGGAGAAATACACAAAAGCCAGTCTGAACTAAATGTGCCACATGCCCCTGTGGCAGAGCTGAAAGGGTTTCATTGTGCTGGTTTTCACATTGGAGAAAGAGTGCTAGGTCTTGAACCTGGTTTACACCTGGATGGGATTAGTGCTGATCTAACACTCGACTGAGGGTAGGGGGTTGCAGTAAGTATAGCTTGCTGCAGCTTGCTTCTGACAATGATTTCTGAGGTTTATTTAATTTAATTGGGGGAAATGAAATTGGGACGAGACCTCAGGCAATCATGTAATTCAGCCTCCTGACCCGACGACAAGATTAAGTAAGCACAACTCATTCCTGACAGATATTTGTTGAACCTCTTCTCAACAGCCTACAATGACAAGGCTCCCTGGCCAATCTAGTCCAGCATTTTATTGCTGGATAGTTTAAAAGCTTTTTCTACCACACAGCTTAAGCTCTCAGTGATGAAAATGAATCTACCGATTTTCACAGCCCCGTTGAAAAGTGTCTTTCCACCCTGACAGAGCAATCTCCCCAAACCAGCTGTATATACTTTTTGGCAATTGTGTGCATCTTTTGGAAATTCCAACTGTGGGGTTTTTTTCCCCCACTGTTTGTGCCTTTCACTCTATCAAAAGCTTTGGAGTCAAGACGTATCACATCTACTACACCCCCCCAGTTGGCCAGTGCATTCCCCTGTCAGACAGTGAGATTAGATGGGCTTAATGTGATCTTCCTCATGAATTGAAGTTGGAGGGTTTTTTTCAGGTTTGAAGTGCCCATCGGAGGGGAAGCTAATTCATACGTGCAGCTGCTGCCTGACAGGGATGAGAAGGAGGCTGGGGGAGAGGGGCTGAAGGGGAAGGAGGTAATTCCAGCCAGGACAAGTAGTCTGCTGTTTGGTTTCTAGGGATAACAGAGTCTGCCAGGAGCCCCGTGGGTAAGCACTGCAAAGTGTGGAAGGACAGTCTGCTACAAGTGTTTTCACGGTGTGTAACATCAGAGATGCACCAAGCCTGTGCACTGTGAACCCCTCTGGAATTCATTATGGACTCAAACATGCTGAGAGGTTTTCAGAGTTAACAGGCTTGGGCTGAATCACTCTGGGTGGCTTTTCAGATTTCAGCAGCACTTGCACCTTTATTGTATCCCAGAGTTTTCACAGCATCTGGAGCAGATCCCTGTGGGCAAGGCTCCCAAGTTTCAGGTAAACATCATGTTCAGGGAAGTACTTTTTTAGATGTGTTTACAACATCAGCAGGGAGAACTCACCAGCTGCCTTGCTTCCTCTCACTGTACTGCAGACAGCTTATCTCCCAGGGTTACTTCATCATCCTCCTTGTGCTGTAGTTCCCAAAGAGCTAAGCTCAGCAGCAGTAGTGTTAGCTAGTCACAGCACATCTTGCAAGCTTGCCACTGTTTCTCCCCCACATCACACACCTGGACACTCCTTTTTCCCCAGCAGGCAAGGCACACAGCCACATGGCAGGAGGGAACAGCTCCTGATGAGAAGCGGAGCAAGTTGCAGAGTGTTTCCCTGTCCATCCTGTCTTTTTCTCCCATACCAGCTTCATCCTTCCCTCATTCCACCTCTTCCTAGGATGGAGAAGTCATTCTGTCCTTGTTAGAGGCTAAGCCTGCCATCTGCTGAAGCCACGACTGTATCTGTGCCAGAGTACTCAGCCATGGGACACAGGGCAGGCTGGGGACCTGCAGTCACCCGTTCTGCAGTCACACAGCTGCTGCACTTTTAGCCAGATTCAGCTGCTGCTGCCTGAGGCAAAGCCAGGCACAGCTTGGGGTGGCACTCATCAGAAACCATTCCCAGAAGTGGTTTCACAGAACCACAGAGTGGCTGAGGTTGGAAGGGAGCTCTGGAGGTCTCTGATCCAGCCTGCCCGTGCTGAGGAATCACCCAGAGTGTCTCTGTGAGCCAGCAGTCCATGCTGGGTACGGACATCCAGCTAGACTTTGTGCCACTGCTCACCCTCTGTGCCCAGCCATTCAGCCAGGTTTCAGCCACCTCACTGTTTGCTCATCCAGCAACTTGTCTGTGAGCATTTTGTGGGTGACAGTGCCAAAGGCCCTGTTGAAGGTGAGGCATTTTATCATAGAAGGTTATCAAGTTGGTCAAGCGTGACTTCCCCTGGATGAATCCATCCTGACTATTCCTGATGATTTTCTTGTCACCCACGTGCCTGGAAATTATTTCTAGGATTACCTGTTCCATCATCTTCTCAGGGATCAGGGCGAAGCTGACTGATCCTGGATCCTCTTTCTTGCCCTTCTTGAAGACAGGAGAGATGTTTGCCTTCCCCAGGAGTTCAGGCACTTCTCCCAGGTGCTATGACCAATCAGGAGTTATCAAGAGTGGCCTCGCAATGGCTTCTGCTGGTTCGCTCAGCACTTGTGGGTGCACCTCAACAGGATTTGATGCATTTCTTCTGTTTCAGAGGCAAGCAGATCCAACTGCCTGTATCCATAAGCGTGTCTGCCTATTTGACAGAGCACTGTCCTTTTCTCATTTTGCACTCTCCATCCTTATGTTCCTCACTCTCCTCAGTGCTGTCTGCTTTCTGGGTAGTTTTCCACTATTCAAACTGAGTGCACAAGAGTTGCAAACTCGTTCCTGGGCCCTCTTACAAGACTCAAAAGCTCCTGGATTATGTATTGATTCTCCACATGGAAGCTTCTCTAGACAGGGCTTTAGGGAGTCCAGCTGTGGCCAGATGTTCTGCCTGGAGGAATGTGGGACCCAAGGGCACATGTTTCCTGCCCAGTGCCTCATTGGAAGCAGCAAGTCCTTGGATCAGGGCAGGTGAGTCCAGATGCAGCAAGTAGTGCTCTGCAGGTTCAGTTTCTTCCTTCCCACTCAGCTGGCTGAGCTCCTCCTCCCAGACAGGCTGGCATAATGATCTCCACATCCTCAGGGCAGTTCTCAGTCTCACCTAGATACTCAAGAGTTCCTAGAAAATCTTTTGCATCATTACCGGGCCTCATTTTAGCAAGGATGCTTGTGTTTTCCAGGAACTCTCTCAGCACCACGGTCACCTGGGGCTGCGCTTCCTCCAGCCTTGCAGGCAGAGTGAGCATCTGTCGCAGAAGCCTTGGCTCTGTCTGGGGAGCAGCTGCCACCTGAGAAATCACTCTTTGCTCGTTCCCTGTCTCCTTTTTCTGGAGTGGAGCCCTCCAGGCCTGCCAGCTGACAGCCCTTCGCTTCCCCCCGATCAGCTCCCATCGTCTGCACATCCTTGCTGTGGCAAGTATGGCCAGCTGCCCTTTTGGGTCAGCAAGAAGGCAGGTACTGCACACATACACATACAAAAAACCTCAGGAAGTAGAGAATAAATTTGAGAAATGCTACTTGCCCCCCCAAAACTTCTGGAGATAGGAGCCCAGCACAAAGCCTGGCTGCACAGAAGGATGCTAAGCAGCCTGTCTAGGGCAGGATTTGTGGCTGTCCTTCATATTGAATTTCCTGTAAGTCACTCTTTAGAAAATACGTACCCAGCAGCAAACACTGTAAGAAAATTTGTTTTAAACATTAGCAGTTTCTAAAGCACTAATATTTTAATGCAGTGAGAAAGGTGAGCTGGAAATGACAGCAGCATGGGTAACAGGGCAGTGGTGTACAGAGGGAGCCCCTCTGGCCATTCCTTGCTTCTGTGCTTGAAATCACCATGTATTAAAATTTCCAACATTTTCAGCCCTGGCACTTGTGCACTGTACATCTCTGTAGCCACGCTGGCAATCCTGGTCTGAATTCCCTTCATATGGAGCCTGGGATGGGGCTGAAGCTCATGGCAGCCTCCTAGCATCCTTCACCTTAGACACAGAAGCCTCTGTGGTAGAAACAGGATGACTGCAACTGCACAAAGGGGCAAACACCCTGATGCTGCCAAAAATCACAGGAGCCCTCCCCAGCTGTGGTTGTGGGCTGGAGATGGCTTTCCCCCACCACAGTGACTCTGCAGTGGGTCAGGACCTGCCCTCTCAGTGAGCACTGGTGTGCTCTTCCCAAAGCACTGGTGTGCTCTTCCCAAAGCACTGATGCCCCACGGCTGCATTTTTATGAGCTGACATTTGCCAGGAAGTTGCTGCCTGGGGTGTTTGTTGCAGAGTAGAGTGCCTGGTGAAATCTTTACCCCAGGACGTCCTAATCACATGTAATCTCCTTCTGTCCTTGAAAGTGGTGCACTGAAAGAACCCGGTATCCCATGGGCAAAAGCACTTTGCCTTTCATCCCAGAGCTGGCAGCCAAACTCCCCACCCTGCCTGCCCCCAAGGGACTGGCTCAGCCCTCCTTGCTCACCCCCTCTGGTCCCAGGTAACGCTCCCACTGATCATCACAGAACGCTTTCTGCTTGATGCAGTGAATGCAGACAGAGAGCTGACAGTCCCTCTGGCAGCTGCCAGCTCAGAAGGTGCACAAGTAAGGTTGCCTGGGCATGTACTTTAGCTCTAAATGCCCTGTTTTTCCACAAGTTTGCGTTTTGATGAACATAATGTTCTGGGAATGAATGAGCTATCACCAAGCAACATTAACTCTGTGTTAACAAAGGGCTTTGACATTGAATTTAAGCCTGAGGACAGTGCTGGCACAAGAATGAGTTATCACAGTCTGGGCCATGGGTACAGAGGATGGAAATTAGAAGGAGCTTCCCTCCTGCCAGTGCAAGGATCTGGAACAGCCTTTCAACAGCAGCAGTGAAGGCCAGGAGACAACTTCTTGTGGGACTGGAAGTCTCTGAGCAAGAGGATGCAATGGGGCTGCCTGCCACAGGCCAGGAGATCTCTATCAGTCCTCTCTTCTTATGCAATTGCAGGACATTTTCATAACAACTCTGCCCTCAAAGCAGCTCAAGCCAAGCTGGGTGCCTGGGGCTTGCCTGGAAGTGGGGCTGTGCGGGGCTGTGGGATGGTGCTGTAGGGCTGTAATTACCCAGGAGTGAGGACGTGCATCCTCCTGCCTCCAGCGTGCCGAGAGCTAAGCACAGAAATTGGAGGGGACAGTATGTGACAGGCAGGCCCAAGACCAATTGCTTCAGGTGATGGCTGGGTGTCTTGCAGATCTGAGGGGATTTCTGATGAGCAGAAGAGGGCTTCTCCACACTGCAGCATGGGGGAGAGTGAGCTGGGCACTCAGGAGCTTTGAGGCCAGCTCCCCACTGGCTTAGTGCCCAGCCAGGTACTGATTACTGGCCAGGGTCCCTCCATCACCCCTCTCCCAGCTGAATGAAACCACCTTGGCACAGGATGGGAAAAGGGGACGAGAGAAGGGGATGCCCCAGGAGCATCTGTCAGGGGGAAAGATGACAGCAGCTCTGCTGTCCACCACAGGCTGGGTGCTGGAGTGAAGCAGCTGCAGCTGCCTGGGAGCACCGCCTGCCTCGCTCCTCTCTTCTGCCAGCCCTGGACACCACAGCCCTGGGATGTGGCCCACAGCTCCAGCCAGCCCTGCCTCCCAGCACCCACCTGCACTCAACTGCCCAGCGCAGAAATCCTTGCATGAAACACCTCACTGCCAGATCACAGTGGAGTGAATGAGCTGGGGATAAAACGGGAGTTATGGGAAACTCAGTGGTTGACTGTCTCTGTTCTGTTCTTTAACAGATGATTAAGGCCTTGCCAGAGCGAGGTCTACATCGTTCCTCAGCGAGGAAGGTTAGGGGTTTCAAGCCTAGCTGCTGACTCATAACCAAGAAGAGGAGAAAAGGGAAAATTAGCATGAAGAATGCTGCTGAAATGGCTTGAATGTTGTTCAGAGATTACGTAGAAAATATATTGCTGCCTGTGTTATGGCTGGTGTGTTTAGTAGATGTTCTTAATGGAATCTGATCTTTTTAAAAACATGGGACACCTGTGTGTAGAGCATTTGCCTTATATCTGCAGATCCACTGCCAGAAGGGGCAGATTGTTAACAGCCTTCTCCAGAAAGCATCTTTAATTCCTGACGTTGTAACACCAGTGCTTTGTTCTAATTCTAGATGCCTTTGGATACCTTGGTGAGTTGTTGAACCACTGGATGGCATGTCCCTGTCCAGAGTCTAGCCTGGCTCTGCAGGGATTAAAATTTGGTCCCCACGAATGCATGTCTGCAGATCCTTCTGGGACACGAGTTTGGTGCTCCAGCTTCCCCATTAAATACTCAGTTTCTGGCTGCGCTGACTGGCAAACTCAGCAGAGGCCTGGAACATGACCTTCATCTAAGCTCTGTCACCTCCAGTGCACGTTGCTTCTGGATCAAGGCTGAGGCAGGCGGGGGAGGCTCAGGCTGCTGCTCCTGAGATAACTGGAAGGATCAGGGGAGCTGGGTGAGTGCTCAGTCTAAACAATGGCTTCAGAGTCAGGGCTGTGATCATACTCAAATTAATTTCAAATATGCACAGTAACACAAGAAGCAATTTGCATAAGACGTCACATGGAGTTGCATACAATTTCGCATATTTAAACAAAGCACAATAAAGCACAGCTCGGGCGGGTATGTGAAATCATTTGTGCAGTGAACCGTGCACACAAACGACGTACAATTATCACCAAAGAAGAAAACAAATGGCAGCAACCACCCAGGATGCAAAGTGAGCTCAGAAGTTGTGAAAAAAACAGCTTCTTCCTTCATCCAGCATCCTGATAGATGCTTGGAGTCAGGTTATCAGGCACTTCTTTTCCAGCAGGCCCTTCTGGTGCAAAGGATGGTTCTCGCTGGTTCATACCACTACTCACCCCTTCCTTCACATTTGCATCCTTGGCTTCAGCTTTGCTAAGCACTTTCTTCATGCATCATTCTTTCTGGGCTTTCCAGTGCATAGATTTCCAGGTGTGAGGGACTCTCCCCTCACCAGGCACTGCTCCAGTATCTGCTCCACGTGGTACTGTCCTTGCCCTTTAGTGGCAAAGGCCAGAGGCCAAAAGACTGGCTCTGGGAGCACAAGGGCAGCCTCTGACAGCCTCGTTTTTGGTGGTCTCAGTGCTGTGGTTGTTCAGAGTGCAATCCCCATGGCTTAGTTCTTGGTACCTCTGTAGGTCTCATGGAGTGGACTCCATCTCAGCTCCTGGAAAATGATGGCCAGACAACTAACATAGGTAAGGAAGCAAGATAAGGGAACAGCATTCCTTAAGTGGGAATGTATCATCCTTTGGAGCAAACATCAGAGGGCTGAGACCTTTAAACCTGCAAAAGAGACTTTCAGCCCCTGACCTACATTTTGTGACAGTCCTGCATCTCTCACGCATGGGTTGGGTCAGCACTGTAGCAGTGAGGCTGAGCTCTGGGGGCTTTCCTTTCCCTTCCCTCCCCAGGAGGCAGGGGAGGATTCAACTGCAGCTCCTGAAACAGCTGGAAGGATCAGGAGAGCTGGGTAAGTGCTCAGGCTAAATTGGGGCTTCAGTATGGCAGCACCCTGGTCCCCATGAGCTCCCAGAGCCCTGCTTCACCCACATTGTCTTCATTTACCCAGCACTTTCAATGCCCCCAGCTCTAAATTTCTATTCTGGTCCCTGCCTTTGACCCTCCTTCTCCTTCCAGCTCCATCATTAAATCCTAGCCACAATTTCTGGTTTCTGCCCCCTCTCTCCTCACCCTGCCTTTTCCTGTCCTCTTTCATATCCCTGCTCCCTCATACCTCTCTTTAGGCCTTTGCTTGACAGCCTCAGCTCCCTATATTTTAGTTAGGCAATTTGTTCCTCTCTGCAGGACTGCCTGAGTATGAACAAAGAACTGTCACCAAAACCCTGGAAGAGGCAGTGTTATGCTTAGTCACCCTTTTGTCCCAGCTCTCAGCTAACTTGCAGGTACCAGGGGAAAATCTGTCTCTTCCCCATATCCTGCACTCAGAATTACTGCACTGCATAGGGAGCTACAAGTAAGCTGGCCAATGTGGGTAGATACAAGAAACCCACATTTATCCAGGACAGTATTTTTGGTCTTCAGTTTTGTCATGGAGGCCCTGATGCTGGATATAAGAGAAATCTCATTATAAAGGAACCTCTTAGGGCTCCTGCTGTGTATCCAGCCAACGCAGGGTGCACAGAGTGTTGGATCTCATCTGTGTGATGTTTGTGTGATTTGTGTAATATGTCACATAAGAAAAGAATTGGCAAAGCAGAAAAAAAGGCATGGGAGAGAAACCACTTTGGGCTTAGATAACTCATCCTGGTATTGCCAAATGTGTCTGAATCCATATAATAAGACTGG